ATATAAAATGACAACGAAGAATTTTCATTTCATTTGCCATCGCTGACGCCGTTTTTTTCGATCATAAATATGATAGTATTCAGTTTATTTCACAATAATTAATTTTATTGCATTATTTCGTTCAGTATGAGATCTAAAATAGTAATTTCCAGTGAAACAAGAATTTTGACGAGCAAGGCATAAGAGCTTGTTACAGTTGCCAGGTATATTTAAAACTTTTTTCTTTTAAAGTATAAGAAAAAGGTTCCAGCATTTCTGGAGAAATCAGTGCCATTTCCCCTAGAACTAGGGGGATAATGCGAGTTTGCACAGCTGGTGCAAAATATTATAGAAAATCCCTATGTTAGAATGGTGAAATAATTAGATTAGATGGTGCCCTTCGAATGATATAGAATATTTTTAAATAGCTTTTAAGAAATTCCTTAGTGTATTTCACTAGTTTTATATTGGACAATTGCATATTTGTATATAAATACCTGTTAATTCAAAAGGTTGTTGTTTTTGTTTAATACATTCATTCCCCATATATCTTTAAGACTGCTTGGTCGTTGTTAGGTGTTAGTTACTTCTTTTATATTTTAATCACTGGGACAAAATTAAACGATTCAACATCAGGGCCTGAAGGCATCAGCTTGAACATTTTTCGTCCGATATACCCCGGGTCCTGACGGCCTATCTTCAACATGCCAGGTCTGACTCCCGTCGATTTAATAAATATATATATATATTTTTATTACAGGGTAAAATTGTTTATAACATAAAATATAAAAATATTAAAATCCGTATTTGGCTCGGCTCATCATACGGTTGTTTTGCTAGTTGCCCAAGCGCTTTTCAGTTCTTGTTCGTTGGCTTTTGCCTGTTGCGCTAAATACGTGATGTGGTGCTTTTTTCCTTCGTGTGGGATCTACACTCATCCTCGGTTTCCACTTTTGCTGCCAGGTCAGGGATCTAAAAAAATTGAGTAAATATAAAACAAATATCTATTCACAATTTCTGGTACAAAATTTTGCATAACCTAACCTCACAGAGTTAAACCAACTATTAATTATAAAGTGGTATTTTTTTTTTTATTTCTAATTGAGCAAGGTTTATAAAACTTCCTTAAAAAATATATGCGAAAAAAATAAATAAACCCATAAATAGATATATCCAGCAAACCAAAACCACTTCCATATCTCTGGATATATCCCATGGATATCCTATACTACCGTATGATCGAGAAAAAACGGCGTCAACGATGGCTATGAAATGAAGATCGCTGTCATTTTATATGTAAAACCCTAAGAATATACATCGATGTTCATTTCCAAGCCCAACTGGACGCCGTTTTTATTCGGTCATACTGATGAAAGTGTTAAAATGGGTCCACTCAGGTCATTATTTAAACCTATCATAAAATACTTAACGAAAACTTGAAGACTGAAGTCCTGCACACAACTTATACATAGGCTACAACACGTACTTAGATTTTCGCTCGGATCTCTCTTTCTTGAAATATGACCCATAGTTATTTTTTGTTTTTTAAATGGAAACTACTATTACTCTAACGGTATTTCGCGGTATTTTCAAACTTCAGACTATCTTCAGACTTTAGACTTCAAACTTTAAACTTTTTAAACTTGTCCAACTGTCAAAGAGGGGGCCTATATATACCCCCTGGCGGTTGTTTCTAGATTTTTCTAAAGAATTCTATAATTTTCTTTACTTTCTGGCGAATGCGCCAGGTTCCTCAATGCATGTTGCGATTTTTTAGCAGTATGCAGATTATATAACCGTAATACAGTTGACAATATGGTATATCTAACGTGACCATATTTTTTAAACTGAAAACGGGACATCGTTAGTTTTTATCCATTCACCATATTATTAGGAAAAAAAAAAGCACATATTTTCTCAAAAAGCTTTACTAACAGCGTTAAAGATAAATTCATAACAGTTGAGGTTTATTGAACATAAATTATTAATTATCAATTTTATATTTGTCAGATGACTTTGATGAAAGTGAAAAAATCTTGAAATAACCTAAAAAGTAACTTATAAAGAAAAGAACATAATCTTCACTGACCTGTTAAAGAGATTTTGTCATCCATATATATCTTTATCAGGTAAAATCTCTTGGCATGTCTTTTTTATATTCACTTTAGTTACCAACATCGCCTTGAGGACGGAAACCTGTAACTGAGTTTTTTCTGCTGTCCACAATTTGTTCATTAAAAAAATTCGGGGAACTGCTGCATTTGTGCCAGGCAGATCAGTATCACTATCTATTAGAATAGAAAACTGTTCATGTTTAGCAGGGTTCGACTGAAAGTGCTTAAACACTTCTACAGTTGTACGACTTTCCATCAGAAATATTTCCATTATTCCATTGATTTTACTTTTTGTGACGTGACGTGTATTTAGAAATTAGAGAAAATTCGTCAAACACTTCTGTGTCCTTATCAGAATCAAGATATCCCTTTTCAATCAACTTTATACAATGCTAACTGAACTTCTTCCCTATGCAGGTACTTTATTTAAATCCGCCCAATTAAAATATATCCAACTCTTTAGTAAACCAAGTCCACTGTTCCAAATATTCATCGACTCTGTTAAAGGAATTATGGTAATTTGTACTTTTTACAAAGACTTTTATTGAGCTTTACTGTGGGAATGAAGTCTTCCTAACTTATCTTCAGTCTCTTCTCTGCTTGATGAAGCTTCAACTTTGCCTCAGGCAGGGCAGAAAAAATGGTAGAGTAGTTCTTTGGGAATATATGTGCCACTAGCTTTCAATTTCACCATCAAACTACGGACTGTAAATGGAAGAAACGACTAGCCTGTTTCTGAGCCAAATTGTCTTTCAATAGGTTTATTTCTTTCTGCAGCTTCAATTGCCGATAAAGTCTGACCCTCAAATTTTAAAACAGCTTTTGAAAGCTTGACAGGCCCGACCATGTAAGAAATAAAGCCACACTTCCGATGATTGGGTTCTCATCAAAGGTTTTTTAATATTTGAGGACATTTCAATGCTCAAAAATTGCTTTAATGACTGGTACATCTTTAATACCCTTTCAAGTGGCAGGCATAAGCTTTATAAGCCACCTTTAAAATACGTAGCCCAGCATTTTTTGATATTCTGTTTCACTTTCGGTACAAAACTCCTTTAGAGCTTCAAGTCGGACTGTGTAAAATAAAAAAACGAATATATCTTTACAATAATGCATTCGTAATCTATCAATTTTAGGGCTTCGTGAGTTTAGTTACTGGCAGGGCGTCCGGTTTGGGACGTGCCGTTGTTGATCACTTTTGGCTTGTACAAAGCGGAGATAAAAAAGTAGTGCTGTGTGATCTCCCCAATTCCAAAGGCAAAAGAAATTAGCAGAGACAATTGGAGAAGATAAAAGTTGTCTTTGCTCCAGTTAATGTAATACTATAATGCATTGTGGATTATATGAGCTCCGCATCCAATACCTATTATTGCTTTATCCAGAGATGAGTTGTAATTTCACTAACACGTTATTAGTACCTCGCCTTGCTGCCCCTCAAAATTGACGTTGGCATTGTCTCCACACAAAACGCTACGACCCAGCAGACAAATTATTATCTCTTAACACTTGGACTAAATAACTGACAATGATATCAACATATTCACCCGGTTGGTTTTTAAAAAACTTGCACACCTTCGTAAGGTTGAAAAAGCGCACTAGGAGTAGGGTATATTTGGACTTTTACCATGATTTGAAGCGGAGTTGAAATTGAAATGCAATTGGACTTACCATAGATAAACTTTCAGTTATTTTATTTTACAGTTTGCGCCAAAAATACTTACAACAATAGCTTCTGTTTTAAACGCGCATCTACATTTAATGTTATCGAAACATTAATAGATTAAAATGAACCCGATACAAATGGTCAAAAAAGGCGTGATGATCAACACAGCCAGCATAGCAGCCTTTGTTGGTCGTCAAATGGGTCAAGCAGCTTTGCAGCTGCCTGATAAAGGGGCCATAGTCAGTATGACGCTACCTTTAAGCAAGAGATTTAATGAAACAGAGCATAAAAGTTGCTGTTACAGTTGCGCCAGACGCCCTCTGCCGCAGCGATATCCAAGTCCTTTAAGAAGTTGGCACACACTCGACTTCTTAAATATTTAACAATTGAAGAACTTGTAAGCAGCTGCGCGGATCGGCATTTTGTGTTTTTCAGATTTTAAATGATGTTCAATATCACCAGCACCGCTATGGTTGAAACACTGAATTCTGTACGACACTTTTCGCATCTGACATTTGATTTTAATTATTTGTTTGCTTAATAAACGGAAATTTTATTTTAAATTGTCATTACAAAGTTTTACGTTTCGGCATGATTAAATACTATTTATTAGTCTAATAACTTTTTAAACGTTAGTTGCGTCACGATTACTAATATTACGCGGTTATCAAAGAAAAATATTCGGAAAGTAAATATGCAAAATAATAATATGAAACATTACTAACGTATTACCAAACCAAAAACTTGTTATAGTTAGGCAACCAATATACCTTGCACATATATCTTTCATAACACGGATGGTCGAGAAAAACGGCGTCAACGATGGCTATGAAATGAAAGATCCTTTAATCATTTTATATGCAAAATTATACGGGGGAATGTCATCGATGGGCTTCATTTCAAGCCAACTGGACGCCGTTTTTATCGACGATCATACTGATACAGATTCATGTGGGTCCACTCCAGGTCCATTATTTAAACTCACGATAAAATACTTAACAATTTACTTGTTTCACCCTGTACACACAACTTATACTATTTACAACACAACTTATATACCCCCTGGCGGTTGTTTCTAGATTTTTCTAAAGAATTCTATAATTTTCTTTACTTTCTGGCGAATGCGCCAGGTTCCTCAATGCATGTTGCGATTTTTTAGCAGTATGCAGTTATGCAACCAGTAATACACCTTGACAATATGGTATATCCTTGTCGGTGCCTTTAGCCATCCTTTATCTGCTTTAGCTATGGCTTTAGCCATAGATAAAAGCGTATTTGGATAAAAAAAGGGATAAAAGTACAAGTTTTTTTAATGTTTTTTTAGGTTATTTTTTAAATTTTGTGCACAGATTTTGTGGCATTTTCCGAGTTTTTATTCAAAGATATTTTCCACATCATAAATGGGCAAGAAAGGCAAAGATAGGAAAAAGGGCAAAGGTGCCGAAAAGACTCACGCCAAAACCGAAAAGAAACTATCAAATAGATTGAAGAAAGAGCTTAAAAACTTGGGCGAGGTAGGTTATATAGTAATATAGCTCTATTTATAACAGTAATAAACATTTTTCAGGACGATATCGAGAATATTGTGGCCCAGATTGAAAAGGAGGAAAAACAACGCTTACAAGTAACCGAAATTCAATTGGAACAACCACCATCTAGAAGACTAAATTTCAGTTTTCTAAGTCATCCCGTTAAGGACCAGCTTATCCTGTATGGCGGAGAATATTTTAACGGTCAAAAGACGTTTATTTACGGCGATCTCTTTTTCTTCAACATCCAGAACAATACGTGGATGTTAGTAAAGGCCCCTGCAGGTCCACCTCCACGATGCGGTCATCAAATGGTCGCCACTTCTGCCAATAAAGGAGAACTGTGGCTGTTTGGCGGAGAGTACGCCAGTCCGACACAATCACAATTTTATCACTACAGAGATTTATGGGTATGTATTTATTCTATATACATGGGCTATTTTTAATGCATTTTTGTTTATAATTTAAGGTTTATCATATTGCTAATAAACAGTGGGAGAAAATAGCTTCGGTGGATGGTCCAAGCGCCAGAAGCGGCCACAGAATGGTGCTGGTAAAGAAGCAGATATTTGTTTTTGGCGGTTTCCACGATAATCTTAAAGACTACAAATATTTCAATGACGTATACACTTTCAATCTGGAGACTTACAAATGGAAGAAACTCGAACCTGTTGGAACTCCACCAGCCCCCAGGTATGCACAGGGTGTTCCAATAAAAGCCTCTTCCTACTTGAGGTTTTTTGACTTTAATTGTTTTTTTTTTAATATTTTAGATCAGGTTGTTGTATGGTTTCTTTACTAGATGGTAAAATTCTTATATATGGTGGATACAGTAAAGAGAAAATTAAAAAAGATGTTGATGCTGGAAAGGTATACACTGATGCGTTTCTTTTAGGGTTAGACAGTGGGTGTTCTCAATTTTTGGAGGTATTATTGTTAAAAATGTTTTTTCTTGTAGAGCACGACCCGACACAAACAAAATATAAATGGCAACAAATAAAAATAGGCGGGCAATCTTTTTCGCCCAGGTGTAGTATGCCGGTAGTTTCTTCTGTCAATAATCTCTCGGCGTATTGTTATGGAGGAGTTTTCGATATTGAAGAAGGTAAATACTGATTTGTCAGCGGTTTCTATAGTTATTCTCATGCAACTCTTCTTTGTTTCGACATCGCGTATAGTAACATCAAGGTTATTAAATTCCACTATTAGTTTGTAAGATTAGTTGTTGATTAAGTGTTGTAAAGAACATATTTTGAATTCTTGACTAAATGGTGAAGGAACCAGATCTAGTTTTTTGAAATTATAATCGTATTAATAGTGAGTTGAAGTGTTTTATCGTATTAAATTAAGGACCCACGGAATCAACAACAATATTAATAATTATATTTCGATAATTTTTAGATGAAGAGAATATATCTGGAAACTTTTTTAACGATTTTTACATGCTGGATTTGGAGAAATTGGTGTGGCATTCTGTAGTTTTGAACAGGAAATCGATAAAAGAGAATAAACCGAGACGAAAACTGAATAAAAACGAAGAAGATATAGGTATATTACTTTAATCTACCATACCATCGTAAAAAAAACGGCTGGGGAATGACAACCGATGATAATGTTGGCGAGGTCAAGCCCTAGACGTTTTACTGCCAGCTCGCCTTAAGAAGCTTATAATTTAATTTTATATTAAGTAAAAAATGCTTTTTAAATGGTGTAGTTTAAAATTCGAGAACCAACTTTTTTTTGGCAATAGATTTGTGTGTCTGGAAACGTTCGTTTTTTAATCTTTCTATAATTAGTGTTAATTTTTGACAAGCTTTATGTCAATTTTTAGAAAACGGCATCTAGAGATTGACCTCGCCAGAACTATTATCGTCATTCTAGCCGTCTTTGACGCCATTTTTTTGGATCATACGGTGTTTTAATAACAATATGAGTTTCTTTTCATTAAGATGACGAAAATGTGTCTGAAGTGGAGGAAACGATGAAATCAACAACTATATCCGACGATGGTGTGTTCAAAGTTACCATTGGTCCATCGACAGCATCAAAAGACAACGCGGAAAAGGATACAGTGGAAAAAATACACAATTTATTTCAACCTAGTTCTAGAATGAACTGTGGCTTAGCTATTAATCATGGAGTTCTATATTTATATGGAGGTAAAATAATTGTAACCATTATTATATTATGTACAGGGTGACCAAGTTTTCTAAAAAAAAATACTTTTTAAGGTATGTTTGAAGATGGTGACAAGCAATACACATTTAATGACCTGTATAGTATAGATTTAAAAAAACTAGATGAATGGAAGACAATTATAAACGATGATAGCACCAAAATGGAATGGTTGGGCTCTGATAGCGAAAGTGACAATAGCGAAAGTGAAGAATCTGAAGAAGATAATAGCGATTCTGAATCTGATATGGATACCACGTAGAATAAGATTATTTTTAAACATCTCTATAGGTATATAGAACTGTTAAGAAAGGTATGTTAATATTTTTTTTTTAAATAAATACACGTTTGTTTGTATCAAAAAAGTTGTTATTTAATTGTAAAAAAATCGAAAAATATATAACTTAACCTATCAAAATTATTGACATTTAATAATATACAAAAAAGGACTTTTTATGAGAATACAATTCGGAAGAAACATACAAAAACATTAAACAATATATTTGTACAGGTATATTACAGAAGTAGAGTATTTTTGAGTAAAAATAAAAAAAAAAGTTTTAATATCTGTAATTAGTGTACTATAAAACCTTTATAAAAAATTTAGTACACTTGTTTATGTAAACCAAGAAAAAGAATCATATATACAATACAGATGGATAGGAATGATATCTAAATGATTCAAACTTAGTTGATTATAATTTCAGGTCTTATTGTTTTTTTAAATCCAGATGTTATGGATCTTGGTTCTTTTTATACAAGGTTTGTTTCAAAACTAGAGCTGTATTTTTTATCAACATCTCCATTATTTCGTTAGTTATTCTGTCTTTAACGTATAGTTCGTTCAGCTCAAAGTTAGTCCATGTTGATTCTTCATTTTGCATTTCCTAAAAAAAAACAAATCTTTTAAAATTTAACAGTCAATATCCGACAGTTTATACCATACAACTGAAAAGACGGCGTCAAACGTCAAAGATGGCTGGGAAATGACAATCAATGGTAATTTTGGCAAGGTTAAGGCCTAGACGTCATTTACTTGGCCCGTGCTCTCCTTTATTTTTTAATGGAGCTCACTGCCAGTTGGCCTTAAGAAGGTTGTAATTTATTTTTATATTGAGTAAAAATGATTTTAAAATTTGCGAAAATATTTTTTTGGAAATAGATATGTGTGTCTGGAAATGTTCTATCTTTTTTTTAATCTTTCTATTATTAGCGTTAATTTTTGTCAAGATTTATATCAATTTTTAGTAAATGATGTCTAGGGATTGACCTCGCCAAATTTATAATCGTCATTCCCCAGCCGTCTTTGACGCCTTTTTTTGATCATCAGTAGTAGATAGTGGGTTAACTCTATGTTCACGTATTTCTACGAACTTGTAAGTAATAACCAGAACTAATAAAAAAATGGCCAATTGGTTCTGTATAAAGACCATTTTTTATTATGTAATTACGAATGTATAGTTTTCAGATTTTTTCCTATACTTGTAGTATAAGTTCTAGATCAACGGAAAATACGCTATAAATTTTGATTCCCTTGACAGTGAAATATACGTTTTTTGCAGCAGAAACGGCCGTATTTTTTTTACGTTAACTTAGAAGTTTGATTTTTTCATAGCTTCAAGGGATTGAGTATAGGCTATAGACATGAGTATATGGTTTTAATTTCAACTCGGTATTTCCACGCGTTCCCGAGTTAAAGGGTCTTGACAGACGGACGGACAACAAAGTGATCCTATAAGGGTTCCGTTTTTTCCTTTTGAGGTACAGAACTCTAAAAATAACTTACTTGTATAAGAACTTCATCCACATGATCCCTCTTCTTTCTCGACCATTTAATTATAGCGTTCTCTTTCCTGGATTCCTTTTTTTGAAACCCGAACAATTCCAAAAGTTTGCTGTTCATCAACTGCTGCAAACCGATCACATCCAACGGCTTTTGCTGAAGAAAAATCCCTTTATCTTCCACCCTCAACCACGAAGAACCAGGGTCGGGCTTAGAGAACTGACTGTAGTGCTCTATGGCTATCTCCTTGCACAAGTCGAACACATACTTGTAACAACCCTTGTCCACGTTTTTAGCTATCAGGCTCAAGGTTTTGTCCGAAATCGAAATATTATCCAAATTTTTCGACAGATAAGCTTTGTGAATGATTTTTGATGAATACTCAGCTATTTGTTCGACTTCTTCTTTGGTATTTGGAATTATAGAAGCTACTTTGACAGATTTGACTTTAGAGGGTGGAGTATATGGTGGAGGAGGTTTATTGGGAATTTCCCGAATGTACACCAAAGGAACTTGTTCTTTTTGTTGTTGCTCGGTGAGTAATTTGATCTGGAATCGAAAATAGTTTGGTTTGGTTTGTTAGAAAAACAGTACCATATGATGAAAAAAAACGACGTCAAAGACGGCTGTGGAATGACAATCGATAAAAATTTTGGCGAGGTCAAGCCCTAAATGTTATTTACTTGGCCAGTACTCTCCTTTATTTTTTATGGCTCTTACTGCCGGTTGGCCTTAAGAAGACTAATTTATTTTTATATGGAGTAAAAATACTTTTTGGAAATAGATTTTTGTGTCTGGAAAAGTTCCATCTTTCTATAATTACTGATAATTTTTGACGTCAGTCAAGTTTTATGTCAATTAAGTAAATGACGTCTAGAGATTGACCTCGTCAAAATTATCGATTGTTATTTCCCAACCGTCTATGACCCCGGTTTTTTTTTCGATCATATAGTGTTTAATAGAGGTTATGTAGAGCACGTACTTCCTGTTCGATGGCGAGTTGTTTTTTCAAGAGTTCTTCGGCCTCGTTGCCCAACGAAAAAGATTTTCTTTCGTCTAGCGGAGAACCTAAATTGAAAAGGTATAAACTCATTTTTTTCAGTTTTTTAAACATTTTTGCGAACTTTATGATACACACTGTATACAGGGTGTTCTTTAATGACAAAATAATATTCAAGGTTCACCTATAGGTTCTCAGACCTATTCTAAGGAAAAAACTTGCTATGAATGTACGTTCTAAAAAAATCTTGACTTTTAAGATACAGGTTGGTAAAATTTTCTAAAAAAAACTTTTTTTCATAATAACACTGATGTTATTATAGATATCTTTATACAATTTGATGCACGTCTTCTATGCATCAAAATGCATTTTTTGATGCACAATTTTAGATATTTCAACCAATGGCGTTCATACAGGTTTTAATATTGAATATTTTTGAAGAAAAGAAATGGCCACTGACTCCTCTTAAAATAAACATTATTTTCGAATTCTTTATTCATTTGTAAACAATCTTTTTCTCTTGATTTTTTTTTCATTTTTCACACATAGTTTTTGCTTTAAAAAATTAAGTCATTTATTTACTTTAGATTGGAAATCGTTTCTGCAACGACTGACTGGAAATTAAGAGATACAACAATTTTTTTGTATATCAAAACATGAATTTTATGCATAGAAGACGTGTATCAAATTTCATAAAGATATGTATAATCATATAAGAGTTATATGAAAGAAGAAAATTTTACCACCCTGTATCACAAAAGTTAAGCTGTTTAGGACATATGTACATTCAAACGATTTTTTTTCTTAGAATAAGCCTAAGAATTATACTCTTAAAAATTAACATGTCCATTCAAAGCACATTGTATAATAAACATAAACCCTTAAAAAGATATACTATATTACTAAAAAAGTGTATTTATTTTTGGTTTTATTACTAAAATTTTATTCAAATAATAGGAACTAATATTTATTACAACATTCTGCTTTTAAAAAATAATATAAAATAGTTAATTTTTAAATTTACCTGAATCTGGAGACTGGTTCGGCGAATTCAAATCGTACGTCATCACGCACAAATCCTGCATTCTGGGGCTTTTATGGGCCCCCGTTACCTGACTTGCCTCGCTCATAATCTCACGAACACGCTTTTTAACGTCCACAGTCTTAGTACCATCTGCTTCAGGCGAACTCTGACTCGATTTCTGAGAAACTTCTTCTTCGACGCTTGAAGATGACGAACCCGCATGATTAGTTGGTTCCGATTCTTCAATTTGCACTTCTTCAGGTATATCGACTATCGTCTGACTATTCTCTTCACTATTTGAAGAAGTTGACGCGCCTTCTTCGGGTATTTTTTCAGTTTCTGCTTCACTGGCGACACTAACAGAAGTTGAAGAAGTGTTTTCTTCCTCTTGTACAGGAAAATTCTGAAGAAAATTCACCGAATTTTGATGTTGGCTAAGAGAAGCTGCTTTCTCTTCGTCTGTCTTGTTTTCCGAGTATATATTTGAGGAGGTTTGGGTAAAATGATCAACAACTTCCATTTCCACTAAAGTTGGAGCTTCAGAATTTGAAGGAACATCTTCATGAATTTCTTCTGGTCTGGGTGAAGAAACCACCTCATCAGATACTGAAGAAGCTTCAACTGAACTATTCAAGTCCTCATTAGATGAAGATACTTCATGACTAGTTGAAGATTTGTAGTCTGTGACGGGATTCGAGATTTCTTCAAGTTCCGGAATATCTTCTTTTACAGTGCTAGACTCGGAAACTGAAACACTGTCACTAATCACTATAACAGAATAGTTTTCAATGTCCTTTTTCGATGCAGTGTCTGTATCTTCTACACTCTCTGCATTTTCTTCTAAAACATTGTCGGGTTCCTTAAAACTAACGGTATCCTCAGGTACATTTTCTTCAATTTCTTCAACTAAAGAAGGTTCCTCATCTTCTTCCTTATCTAGTTTAGTATCTTCCTCTAAGGTGTTTTCTGAGAAATTTATTAGGTTGTCTGTTTCTTCAATATTTGGTGCTTTATCAGGTTCATCTTCTTCGCCAGGATCTTCGATCATTTTCACAGACTCTACATCGGTTTCTTCTTCTTCGATCTCACTGATCAGTTGACTGGACCTAGAAGAAACTTGCTCTTCTTGTTTCTCTTCTTCTGGAGGTTTAGAAGTATGCACCAAACTGAAGTTGAGAATTTTATCTTCAATTTTGTTGAAGTCTTCGATAAGTTGACTGATTGAAGAAATACTGGTAACGTTATCTGCCTCGAAATCGTCGGTGTTGTAGGATGTTTTGGACGAGTCTTCAGTTTCTTCAGCTTGGTGTTGTGGAACTTCAACTCTGCTCATTTCGGAGAGGGTTATTTGAGTTTTTGGTGAAGGTTCATCGCTGTTCGACAGTTTTTCCTCCTCTTTCTCGCTAGGTATCTTCGAAACAATAGTCTTCACTTTGGTTTCCAGGTCCTCGATGGCGCGTTCTTCGTGCAACAGTTTCTGGTGCCATTGTAGCAGTTCTTCCACAGTTTTGCGACGTTTGGACAAAGCTTGTTCACGCATCAACAGTTTCCTACAAGAAATCACCGAAATTAGCAACTAATCGCATCAAAAATGGTGTCATAGTAGGCGTAGAAACATAATTTCGATGAAGTTTTTCACAGTGACAGATGTTCAAATTCTTCTAAATTTTGAAATTCTGTATTTATTTATATTGTTGATGTACTTTTAAAAAGACTTTTATGCAGTGTTTGACAAAAAGTTCCCAAAAAATGGGATTTTTTTTTTAAATAAGAGCAAGACTTTTAAAGGATGGTACATTGGGACTTGGGACAAAAGAAACATATTTTTTTACCATTTTTAATGTAAATTGAAAATATCCGTGTTTACTTTGAAAATAAAAAAAAATAATTTTTGCATTTTGAGAATCGTCGGGATCAGCTTATTCGACACTCTGTGTTGCCAGATGGACAAAAAATGATCCAACTGATTGAAAAGATGGCTTGGAATTGACGATCGATGACATTCCTCATATAGTTTTGCATATAAAATGACAGGCAATCTTCATTTCATAGCCGCATTCTGACCCCGTTTTTTACCGATCATATTGTACTTCGTAATATGGCGATAGAGAATCTGAAATGGCTGTTAAGATTTATTTTTTCAGTTTCATTTTAAACGTTAATGCCTCTAAAAATATACAATTAAAACAACAAATTGTGTGGTTCATTTGAACTATCTATGCTGGATTTGTAAATACCGTATGATCGAAAAAAATGACATCAAAGGGGGCTGGGGAATGACAATCGATAATCATTTTGGCGAGGTCAATATCTAGACATCATTTACTTAAAATTGACATAAAACTAGTCAAAAATTAAAAAATAAATTACAACCTTCTTCTTAAGGCCAACTGGCACAAAGAGCCATTAAAAAGTCAAGAAGAGCACAGGCCAAGTAAATGACGTTTGGCACTTGACCTCGAAATTATCAATTGTCAATCTCCGTCCGTCTTTGATTTTTCGATCGTATGGTATCTATCGAAATCTTCCCTGACTTCTCGGACAGACTTTAGAAAGAAGAAATATTAAGTCATGACTGATTCTATATAAAATCTTTTTCAGTAACTCTCAACAACAGTTTTTTTCCTCATTTCTAGCGAACTTTTCAGCACACACTGTACAACTCGCGCGATGTCACTCTCACTGGAAAACGTTATGTTGTTTTCATTCGATCACATGGTATCGTAAGGGATATAATAAAAGTAATATACACCTAAATTCCGGGGAAGACTGTTTAAAACATCGATTGCTTGTTGTAAACGTTTCGTAGTTGGTTTTTGAAGAAGGACTGTTTAACAAATTGGAGTGCTTGTAGCCGTTGTTTACATCGGGCCTTGTCGTGACAAATGTAGTTGTAGAACGCGGGGACTGAATGGATGTAAAATCTGACTAATTTTAAAACGAGCGTTCGACGTCCTGGACGCGAGCCAAACAGGATATCTATAATTAGGACGGAGGGAACGGTCTTTGTGTTCCTTTTTTCCTAGTCTATAAATCCGTATTAGTATCTTACTTCGATAGGAAAAAATCGCAGATTGAAGGGCTGAAGTTTTTTCTATTCTTTACGCTATTAACAGGAAGTTTAGTTGTATTTTAAATAGTGACATTTCTATATTTTACAATTACTTACACAAAAAAATATATTGTCAAGGAAGAAAAAATACATTATCGGGGGGTTGCTTTGTTTTATGTAATTCTCTCAGATTAGGCAAATAAAAGAGTCCTCCTACTCTGGGTACCAGCTCACCAAGTAATAGAAGGGAATGAAAAAGCAAACGATCTAGCTAGAAAAGAAGCGAACGCTCCACTAACTGGACCAGAACCGTTGTGCTTCCCAAGTGGAAACCAACTTTAAGCAGAACTCAAGAACATGGGATTCGTAACCTGGAATGGGAATCGTCCAGCGGTCTAAAACACTCGAAGAAAATTTTCAGGACAGAGAAAAATCAAAGATTTTCCTTGACTTAAGTAAGAACCATATTCGGATTGTCACGGGGTTTTTAACAGAACATTGTCTACTTAGTGGACACCTCAGTAGATTGAAGCAACGAAACAACGGCGAATGCAGATTCTGTGGGGAAAATGGTGAAACACCAGAACAGCTCATCACTGAATGCGCCGAGATACAACCATTCGTGTCATAAACTTTGGTACCACTGATATCGGAGATGGAGAACTAACCTCTATAAAACTGTCTCAGATACTGGCTTTTGTCAAGGCCTGAGACTGTATGATGAGTTCTAACTCAAGAAAGGGGGACACAATAGATCTATATCTATAGGGTCGCGGTGATTAACTTTCCCCCTCTCCCCTCGTACAATCTACAATGTCATTTTTTTTTAAACACACGGTTTGTTTCCATACATACACAACACCCCCATAATTTTAAACAAGCAATATATTATTTCTCGTAGTTTTTAATATACACCCTGTGTATTAAAACCTACGAGCAGAGAGTTTTCAAAAATAGAAGCGAAAAGCGACACTAAATCATTTTGTCCTCTGGTTGAAAATAACTCTTTCCGGCGCCTCAAAATGCGTTAAGGCCCCCATAAACTTGGCATACACTGCTCGGTCTTAACCGTACAGTTAAAACCGCGCGGGTAGAAAGCATGTCCAAGCAACCTCCACACACTGTCTCATTTTGGTCAGTTCATTTTATGCGCGCCGTAGCGTAGTTAAGAACAATGGATTCGAGATACAACTTGCTAGCAGTGGCGGCGCTATTTGCGGTAAAAAAGAATATGTAGCAAAGGAATGGAAGAAAATGCACCGAAAAAATATATAAAGAACTGCTCGCGCTTCTGACTTGAATAAAACTGCGCGGTTTTGCCGCTTTATGTCCATATACTATCGGGTAGGAACAAACGGGTCAAACCGTACGGTTAAAGTATCTGGCGAAGATAGATATTGAACGTACGGGTAAAACTAGGCTGAACACACGTACACTGACGTTTTTAACTGAACAGTCATACCCGTTCGGTTAAAACCGTGTAAAATAACCGAAGTGTATGGGGACCTTTAGAGTGTATAAACAATACACTCTTAAAAAAATTGACAAAACGAAAAAATCGACAAATAATAAAGCTAAATTAAATATTATAGAATATTAAACATTAATTTCTAATAGATACTTTCCTTATAGAAAATAGAAATTTATTAACAATTTAATATTAGAAACACCGTTTACTATTACCCTTGTATATGAATATATAAACAAGGCTATTACACAGAGTTCGTATTTTAGGAGGAAGTGGAAAAATTGTGATGTTTACATTAATTCTGAACGGCGCACGTGTTTCTACCTGCTCGAAAACATTTTAAAATACCTCACCGTCGAGATTTATGTAAAACAAGATAACGTACAGCGTATTTGTTCAATTAAACCGCCATGTTTATTTTCAGGACGGATTAGTTAATGTATCCGTTACGATGACTGACAGGATTGTTGGTTAAAATTAAGTAGCATCCTTGTGTAGCATGTGATATGTTATAAAAACAACGTCATGGTATGCGCAGAAGAAACATTTTTGTTTGATTAAAAATTTAATTTGCGATATGAAGCTAGGTCGAAGCGATTTCATATGCCCTTTGTTATAGACATGTACCGTACGATCGTAAAAAGGCATGAAATACGGCTGGTACGGCTTGTAATAATTTATTTTTATATCGAGTAAAAATGATTTTTAAATGGTGTAGTTTAAAATTCGAGAAAAAATATTTTTTTGGAAATAAGAATTGTGTCTGGAAACGTTCTATCATTTTTTAATCTTTCTATAATTAATGTTAATTTTGACAAGTTTTAGGTCGAGAGATTTTTAGTAAATGACATCTAGAGATTGACCTCGCCAAAATTATCACGATTGTCATTCCCTAGCCGTTTTTGACGCCGTTTTTTTTTTCGATTATAAGGTATATTAATAGTTAAAAATCTATAAATCTTTATATAAAAAAAATGTGGCGAAATTATATTATGTTATCTACAGTAATTTCTTTAAAAATCTAAAACAGAAGAAATTCGTCTATTTATGCTACCTGGTAACCGTTTAGGGTCGTTTTTAATGGGAAACAACAATTTGCTGGGAATTCCAACAATTTTCTGGTACTTAGATGATTCTAAATTCTAAAGAGACTCATTTCCAACGTGACCATTGCACAGTTTATATATAATTGTTTAACAACATAGTTTAATTTTTTTTATATTATTTGTAAGTACCTCTTCCTACTTTTAGATATGTATATTTTGTTCTTTTAGTTTAATGTTTTTATTTTCTAATTTAACGCCCGACTATCAAAATTCGATCTACAGTGGCAACCTAGCATTTTCCGTTTACATCTACAGTGGGATTCTGTAAGCTCCGTAGCAAGAAATTTCCTGTCTAGCCTATATGCTATTTGTATACGATTGATGAGTCACTAGACAGGAGAAATGTTTTCAGAATCGCTAAGCTGGTATATCTTGGGTACCTTCGTTTTGTACAGTAAGGTCTCTCTTATTTTTATTATTTGCCTGAGATTTTTGTGGTTGATTTTAATCATTCTTTATTTTTTGAGTGATATAAATACACAAAAAAAAATATTTTCTTAATTTACATTAAAGAATATATGAAATGTATTATTTAAATTTACAATTATTTACCTCTTATTAAATATTTCTTTCAATAATTTCACTCCAAAATGTTTTTTAAATTTAATAACTGAGAAAATAAAGACCACATTTCACACACTTATAAAAGTCTTACATTAACAGACGCAATAGTAACTCAACTGGGCATAAAGCAATTAGTGTTAAAACTCATTTCGTCAATTGGCATTCCAAGATAACTTTATTAGCTTTTCCTGTGTGTTGGTTTAATACTGGTATGCGCCGTAATAAAAACGATATAAAATATTTTAGTAATTCATTGATAAAAATATTAAAAAAATGCATTGAATTGAATATTAAAAAAAACATTCATTAATTTGGATAGAAATATTCAAAATTATACTTTTCATTAAAAAAAAACTTGGTTTCTTACTTGTTAAGCCCGACCTTAAGATACTGTTAGTTTTGAAGTTTTTTTATTATATGATTTTTATTTACTGCAGAAACTATAGTCTGTCCAGCGAGGGAATAACGATTTCGACATACAACATTCAGAGAAAAACAACTTACATTTGAATTAAAATGACGAACAACAACTGTAACTGTCACGTATTCTTTCACTGGACAAACTATACTTAATAAATGTCTTTTGGAGGTACTTGTGTATCAAAAAATATAGTACTGTTTCATGTCACTCAAAGAGCTATAGTCTGTCCAGTGAGGGAATGATTGATGACGACATCCAAAATATGACAGATAAAAACTAATTTACTTGTGAGGGTGCAGCCACACTATCCTAAAAACGGCGTATCGGCGTAACGACCTTGAATCGATTTCCAGTAATTCTATTGGCTGAAATTTTTGACAGATGAATTTGACAGATAAAATTTCTGACAGATGAATGTTTCAGCCAATAGAATTACTGGAAATCTATTCAAGGTCATTACGCTGTTACGCCGATACGCTGTTTTTAGGATAGTGTGGCTGCACCCTGAGTTAAAATGACAGACAACAATTAATTGTCACTGTCATATATTCTTTCATTGGACAGACTATACTTAAAAGTGCATTTTAGAGGTACTGTCTAAAAAAATATGATACTTACTGTTTCATATCAGTCAATGCACTGTCGCTTATACTCTTGTGCTTTTTGAATGTAAACTCCACAGATTCCAATTCTGAATTCTCACTGTGTGGAACAGTGGTTGCAACATTAACCATAGAACGAGTTCTAGAAGTCAGAGTTTGAATCTGGAAACGCAAACAACGAAAATTTGAATCTTTACTTCCTTTTTTTAATTAAAAAAAAATAGAAATAGTCAATAAATCCTCGTTTCGGAACCAAATTAATACAGATAAAGACATGGTACATTTGAACTACTAAGTATACGAGTAGTTATTCTCGCGTAACTTTGTCGTTTCGACATTTGGCATATTTGGAAAAATTAATAACGCGTACCTCTTGGTCTGTGGCCGTCCCAGCTATAGACAAAGATGTCTCTGAGTGTATAGAGTTGGTCTGGATGACTTTTAAAGGTCCGGAAGTCCTTCTTTCACTTCTGTCCCTGCTTCCGGTCTTTATAATAGCCAGTGGCATACTTCCGGAATGCAGCTGGTTCTTTATACCATTTCGCTGTTGACGTAGAACGGTTTTTCTCTTGCTAGAAGCTTCTTTTTGCATCTGCTTCAACCTAGACAATCGTTATAATGTTAAAATAAAAAAAATAGATTTCAAAAGTATTTCGTTCATTTAAACTATTTATGCGAGTATTATTATAAAAAGTCCACTAACCCTGTAGAGTAAGACAGTTTTTCACTTACTATAAGCTACATTTTGCCTCTGTTTCAAGCGAAACAATATTTTAAATGTTAATGTCTCTAAAAAATATATGATTAAAACAACAAATTGTGTGGTTCATTTGAACTATCTATTCTGGATTTATTAAACAAACAATTTTGATTGTTTTGATGGACTTTGTTCAGTCATATTGAGAAATACTGTAATATTACATATTAATGAAAAAAAAACGTCGTCAAAGACTGGCTGGGGAATGACAATCAATGATAATTTTGCCAAGGTCATATTATTGCCTCTATACGTCATTTACTAAAAATTGACATAAAACTTGTCAAAAATTAACACTACTACAGAAAGATTAAAAAAGGATAGAACGGTTTCAGACACAAATCTATTTCAAAAAAAAATATTTTTTTTTGAATTTTAAACTACACCAATTAAAAATTAATTTTACTCAATTTAAAAATAAATTACAACATTCTTAAAATTTATTATTGATTGTCATTCCCGGGCCATCTTTAACGCCGACTTTTTTCGATCGTATGGTATTACCGGATATGAGTTATACCTATGATTATAAAACAAGAAACTGGTTCAACTTGTTTGGTACATTTGAACTATAGTCTGTGCAACGAGAGGATAGAGTGATAGTGACAGTTGTTACTGTCATTTTAATTAGCAGGGAAACTTTCTTTTTTTTTGGATGTCGTCTGTCGAAATCCTACTTGACTCGTTGGGCAAACTATACTACTGCGTTTATTATATTTTTACAACTAGTTACTTTTTAGTAGAAAAATCCTCCAAATACTACTCACATTTTTTAAAAGTGAAATCCAGGTTAAAATTCTATAAAAATCATCCTCTATTTCGAAAGTTTGAGTGATTCTCAATAATTAAATATCTTAATTGAATTACACACACTTAATCGTCGAAATATTTTGAGCTTTTAAACCTAATTGGGACATTGTAAAGAATCTTCTTTGCGTGTGGTAGTACATGAATTATTAATTATCGAACTATTTTAATAAATAAAAATAACGGAATCTTAATAATTACAAGAAAAAATACGTCGAATTCCATTCTTAAATTACCGATGAAACTGATAAGATTAATCGAATGTTGTAAAAACATTCAAAATGTAATCATAACACACGTAACTTACAGATAAGAAGATATCTTAAAGTAGAGCGAGATAAAATAAAAATACGACTGCGAATATTTATTTTTTACTGTTTGTTTTATGTAAATAATTATTCGAAAACGGCACACAGTTAAATTTAGACTAGTATCGCCTTGGTTGTGTTTGATTTGTTCATAATAATTTAGCGCAAGTTTGTACACAATATGCGTTGTGGTTTCAGGAATTCAGTGAAGATTTTTTTTATTTTTTGTAACATATAGTATCGAAAAAAAAACGGCGTCAAAGACGGCTGGGGAATGACAATCGATGATAATTTTGGCGAGGTCAATCTCTAGACGTCATTTACTAAAAATTGATATAAAACTTCTCAAAAATTTACAATAATTATAGAAAGTTTAAAAAAGATATAAGGTTTTCAGACACACAAATCTATTTAAAAAAAAATAGAATTTTAAACCAAAAACCACACTATTTAAAAATCATTTTTACTCCATATAAAATATATTACAACCTTCTGAAGGCCAACTAGCAGTAAGCGCCATTGAAAAATAAAGCAGAGCACAGGCCAAGTAAATTACATCTAGGGCAACGTCAACGTTGGCTTGTATATGAAGATCGCTGTCATTTTATGTTTAATTATACCGTATGATCGAGAAAAAAACGGCGTCAGCGATGGCTATGAAAAAGATCGCTGTCATTTTATATGTAAATTTATATGGGAAATGTCATTGATCGTCATTTCCAAGCCATCTGGACGCTATCATACGGTATATGGGGAATATCGTCGATCGCCGTTTCCTGGTCAACTCGACACCGGTTTTTTTCGATCGTACGAGAGTATTACCTTTGCATTTCCTGTCGTTCTTGCTGATGTCTAAGCAATATTCCCCTTTGTTTTCTCTTGATTAGTGACGCTTCTTCGAACCTTTTTGTTTCAATAAACTGCCTAAATAATAAAAAATACTATAGTAATTTTACATATACAGGGTCTCCAACAAAATGAGAATTTTTTTTACAATTATTTAAGATACAGAAAGAAACAACAATATAATAGGATTTATTCTTGTTAGATTTACTTTATTTTGTGTAATTTTAGTGGTAAAAATTAGATTTTTTTGAAATTATTTGGAAAAAATACCAGAAAATTGGTAATCTTTAAAAATCCCTGGATATTTATGAAATTCAGTACATAGAGGCAGTATCGAATTCTGAACAACTTTTCTCTTTGACATTTTTCGATATTTTGTCACCCAACCCTACATTTGGCATATGTAAAAAGACAGTTATTATTTGACATATATGCCAAAACGATTTATTTTATAATTGAGCATACTGAAGAAATTTTGCATCAACATCTCTTCAATAACTGAAAAATATTAGTAGCGGGCTTAATAATATTTTTTTATGACACACCCTGTATATATTTCGATGCAACTTACTTTTTTTGCATTTCTAACCAAACCAACTCGCTTCTTGTCTTATCCAAAAGCGCGTGTTCTCTGATTTTAACGATTTTTTTCAAATTCTCGATCCGCAGGTCTTCGTCTTTGATTAGTTGATCAAACTTAATAGAAAAAAAAATTAAACTTTATTACAACAAAGAAAAAAAAATCATACCATTTTTAGTGAAATTCCAGCAACGTTTCTAAACATAAAATTTTCATCGTTCACATGATCAACATCGCTTCTTTTTGTGATAGAACCATCGAAGGTACGACTCGAATATTGGATTATAGAACTAGTTTTCTCGCTCATGACAGTCTCATTATCCATTTTACAGTCATTTATCAAGTCTTTCCATTGAGATGTGCTATTCAAATCCAGCAAGTTGATGTGTGAATGGATTTCCGACGTGTCGCTTCTCAGTTCTAAGTTTGGTATTTCTTCCGTTTCAAAAGAACCTCGGCTGTAGTTTATGCTAGAAAATTTGCTGGACTTATGACTGATTTTGCTTCTTTTGCTGCTCGAAGAATTCTGTTGTGATATGGAATTGACGATAGAGGTTTGAGTGTCTCGAGTGTGCAAAATTTTCTTGGCCATTGTTTCCGAATCGTTTTTACAACGTAAGCTTTCAAATTCCTGAAAAAAAAATAAAAGATATACAGGGTGGCCCTGTCTTCCCACAATAACTCCAGCTTTCCTATTTAGAGCGTCAGCACACGGGTCGTCTGGCTTTCGAAACGGAAGCGTCTTGAACTCCAAGCAAATCTCCCTCCACTCTACCATGACTCTACCTTCGTATGTAAATAATAGCACAGATTATAAACTTATATAATCGTCAAATGCATTGTTTTTCGTGGTTCCAATTTTCGGAGTCGCGCACTAGTTAGGTTACTAGTTTGCGCACATAGCACGCCCACTTATGGCCTCTAAAATTGTGCACAGCGCCTGAGCGGCCCAGTTATTACGCTGTTTAAACACGAGTTTATTTTTGCGCTCAGGAAATTTTACTCGTTTGCTCGTCGTCATAAAAAAACAATTTTCTAATCTGTGATGATAGTATCAATCACCGCCAAACGACCCGTTCGTGGACCTACTATTATTTACGTAGGAAGTAGAGTTCGAGACGCTTCCGCTTCGAGTTTGGGGCGACCCGTGTGTGCACGGTCTTAAGATTTTCATATATACTCGGTGTTCTACAGTACGTCCCTGAATTGTCTTTACAAGAGGAAAAACTTTTATATTATTGACATTTTGAGAAAAATTTATTCTAAAATTTTTTGCTATATTATACTTTTTTATATTTCCATACCGTTTTAAGAAAAAATAAAAAAATAAACTGAAAAGTTAACATGGTTAGCGAAACGCGCGTCCAGTGTAAAAGTAAAAGATTTTTTTTTGGTGTATTGTGGTGATTTAGTGTTTTATTTTGCTGTTGTAACATCAAAGTTTCCAACTCTCAACTGTAATACCCATTTTTCTCCAACAAATTGCCTCTATGAGAATATTCTTCATTATACAATTATCTACATCATTGTACCGTATGATCGAGAAAAAACGGCGTCAACGATGGCTATGAAATGAAGGTCGCTGTCATTTTATATGTAAATTTATATGGGAAATGTCATCGATCGTCATTTCCCAGCCAACTGGACGCCATTTTTTTTTCGATCATACGGTATTTGGGAGGTCATAAGCTTCTAAGAAATTAAATAAAATACCCATATCCGTCGTTAAAAAAATTAAGTTGATGATGGTTCCAAAAAAAAACGAAACGTTATTTTGAGTTACATTTTTTCTAACTGTCAAAATAAACTTTTAAAAAAATTAAAACGAAAACCGGAAATTTCAGTTTTTCAATCATATCTCCGGAAACAATATACTAAAGGTACCTCGAATTTGTAGCACCCTGTATATACCACATCTAATAAAGATACAATCTAATAAAAAAACCTGACAGAGCCTGACAACAAAAATATTCAGAAATAAGACTTTTTAGCACAAAAAGAAGCTTAGATAAACCCTTTGATAAACCCCAGAAAGCTTATTAAACGTGAAGCAGGAGGCTTAAAAAATTACCTTTTCAATTTCAGCAAAATGCCTCAGAGATTTATTAAAATCGTTTAAAAGATGAATTTCCGCCTCAAATTTTAAATGGATCTGATTTGAATTATTCTGAAAAAATAAATATTTTTAATTCACACTGAACTTTAAAATAATACCATAAGATCGAAAAAAAACGGCGTCAAAGACGGCTGGGGTATGATAATCGATTAGGTTTGGCAATTTTTTTTTTAACTTTGGCAAGGCCAAGCCTTAGACGCCATTTACTTGACCCGTACTCTTCTTTATTTAATGGCACTTACTGCTAGTTGGCTTGAGGAAGGTTGTAATTTAATATTATATTGAGAAAAAATTATTTTTAAATGGTGTAGTTTAAAATTAAATAATTTTTTGGAAATAAGGTTTGTGTGTCTGGAAACGTTCTATTCTTTTTAATCTCTCTATAATTAGTGTTAATTTTTGACAAGTTTTATGTTAATTTTTAGTAAACGACGTCTAGAGATTGACCCAGCCATTTTTGACGCCGTTTTTTTCGATCATACGGTATAAACTTACCAGGTTTTTTTCTTCATTGATATTTTTAATTGATATCTTTCTTAAAGACGCCTGTTTATCAACATAAGTCTTAATTTTTTTATTTTCCTCTTCAAGCCTTAACGACACTTTAGGCTCAATCAAAGCAAAATCACTCATATTCTCTTTGTCAGAGCTCACATCCGATAATTCCTCGGTCACAATTTCCTCTATTTCGCTAACCGAACTTCTTGATTTACTCACAGATGATTTCTTTTTACTCTGTGAATCCGACGATTTTACATTTTTAGTATTATCCTGTGAAGCAAAACTACTCGAACTATACGTTTCTAAAATTAGATTTAATGAAAATAAATTGTCAGAGATTATAGAATTTTTAAGTTTGAAATTTAAAACTAAACGCGCGAACTGTCAACCAAACGGAAGATAAAGCCCCGTTCTGAGACACGTCAAAAGAACCAATGAGATTTGTATAAAATTCAAACAGCTGTCAATTTTAAATTTAGTATAGCTCCCATTGGTTGTTTGAAATGTCAAACAGTATCGCCAGCGACAAAACGTAGTTCTGAGATGGTTCTGAGAACGGGGCAAGCACTGGAGTATCACTGGAGTTACTTCACAGAGTTACTTCCACAGATTACTTCTCTTATCTATGCACTGGAGACGGATCAGATATATGCAGGTTATGTTTCAAAAAACATGTGGCACTCGTCGGGAGATTCATCACGTAAAAATAAGATTTATTTTTTAGGCATATACATAGGCCCGATTCTGCTTTATTTCGTAGCTACAGGGAATTAAAACCTTTTTTTTATTTATTTTAATTTTCTTCCAAGTGCTTTTAGCGATTCGAATGACATTTTCCAGATAAAAGTAACTATAAGTACGACATATTTTAATGCTAAAAATTTTCAACATATTTACCAGGGACGTGCATATGGGTTATCATTAGTATATTTTTCTAAAGAAAATGTGTGCCACTGACTTTTCTCTCATGCTAGCAAAATTGTGTAGATCGTTTGATGCCGATTAAATGTTGTTTCTTGATATTTTGCCGGTTTCGGGCTCCCTGATGAGATAAACACAAATTTTTAATTTATTGCCTTAATTCAAGTCTAAAGGTGCGTTCACCCGCCTGCGCCGCTCCGCGCCGCGCAAAACATTTTTTTAGCATGTACTTTTAAGTGTATTTTTTTTAGCGCGCACAAAAGTATATGTTAAAAAAATGATTTGCGCGGTGCGGCGCGGGGTGGCACAGCCGGTATAAGAGCACCTTAATAGCAACCTTTAAAATTTGTATTGTCATTAATTGGCCAAAGCGTGAAATAAGTACTTATTGATTCCACATCAAAAAATATAACAAAAAATCCTATAAACATGGGTGAGGAAATCCATAGTTTTAAAGTTACAGGATGCTTTAAAAAATAGGTCTTTTTGTAATTATCTTAAATACCATTATTTCTTTTGAATTTGTTGTAGGTAGCACTGAACATCAATGTTATAAAATACAACTTTTAATTGGCATTAAACGGCCCTACAATTTTGCTAACAAGGTAAAAAAAACTCAGTGACGCATGTTTTTTTTAGAAAAATATTACAGTGATATTTCTTTATTTTTATTTTCCAGTGATATATTCTTTGCCCATATGCACTAGCCTGGTGATTCTGTCGAAACTTTTTTAGCATTAAAATATGTGCCACTTAAACGCACTGACGACCAGGTCGCAGCGACCAGCATTTGATTCGATGTTATAGGAAACGCAGCTGCGACCAGCCAACGGTCAGGACCAAAGATATTTAAACTATTAAATATCTTTGGTCAGGACGCTAGTGCGCGTTGTATCATTATTTGATTTGATTACAGGTCCCAGCGAACAAGCTGCGACCGCTTGGGCGTGGACGTTAATGCGCTTTGTATCATTTGATTGGTGGTCGTTGGCTGGTCGCTGCGGCCTGGTCGTCAATGCGTTTGAGCTCTTATAGTAACTTTGACCCTCAAAATTCAGCAAGTAAAATGGGCGATAAGCAAGAATTGGTGTTTACCAGTTACTACCAGTATTTTACGTTTTCATAGAAGATACAAGTAAAAATGTAAAAAATACATTTTATATTGTTCAAGTCTTTAAAACTTAACAGAGTTTTGTGGACGTAGATATATGTTTTAGGATTTTAACGTAAAAAAATCTCGTAAAAAACAAATTATTTTACACGTCAAGATCTAGTTTTTTACCTACCCATCCTTGTACAAATATTAATGTTGAGAATAAGTAATATTTAGAACTTACACTGCCTTATTTAAATTTAAGAAACGCATATACATACCAGAATTAATAGATTTTGCTTTCATCAATTCAATAATACTGCTAGATTTGTGAGATGACATTTCATTATTAGAAATCTTCGAAGATTCACTCTTAAAATCGCTGTATTTCTTAACAGACGTTCTGCTCTCAGTCGGAATACTAGGAATATTTTTAGAAGTATCAGATTCAGAGTTTGTATTAGATTTCGTAATGGTTTTGCCATCTTTTACTGAAGGTTCAGATCTCCCTCCTATTTCTATATGATCCAGAGCTCTAGGATCCAAATTTAGGCACTTATGTGACAAAAATGACTTTAAATCGCTTTTTTTATTGCTTTTTTCACTTAAAGAGGGATTTTTAAAACTATCTTGTACACCCACATCAACTAAATCTTGTCTTCTATCACTATTAATGGCGAATTTTAACTGTCTCCTTACAGTATTGATAAAATTATATGGATCAGTTTGTGGAGCAGAATCTTTAAGCCACTCTGGGAACTCGACAGGCGTCTTTTGTGGTTCTTTTAATACAGGTTCGATGTCGGGTGGTCTCAAAGTCATATTTGAGAGAACTATTATTTTTTTCTTTGAGTCAATCGGTTCAACAAAATGCTCAATCGGTTTTTGAGGCCCTGTATCATCAGATACTAGCTTAAAATTTTCTTTGTAACTGTTATTAGGAGTCAGAGGTTTATTTCCTACATTTTCATTAATAGACATGTCTCTAGAAGGTATTTGATCATAATTTAATAAAAAAATACTTATATAAATCAAAATTTACCTTCTAGATCTTCCCCTCTTCTGAGCTGGGATATTCTCAGACAGTGAAGATGATGCTTGAGCAATATCCTGATTACTTCCATGATTTTTAATGCTTACAGGTGATGTATAATGTACTTCAGTGTTTTGTCTGTTTAAAAATTAATAATAAGTACTTTTTATATAGTAGTAATAAAAATTAAACTTACATTTTAGGTGATAACTTATTTTCTACATTTTCAAATGGTTTTATACAATAATTTGGTTCAGGCAGATATAACAAATTTGAATCCTTTATTCTTGGCTCTTTAATATCACTAAAAATAACAAAAATTTGTACTTTATCCTGTCCAGATTAATTTAAATTTAGTTCTACTTACCTAATCTTTCCATCAACTTTCCCTACATAGTTTTTGCTTCTACCTGCACAATTATAACCATGAATTATGCTATCTCTGTGTAAATTTGCTTGTGCCTTTTCTCTAGACACTGATCTGTTACGTAATGTACCTCTGGGTTCTCTACTATTTGATCTAGACCGAATTATCGGTGGTTCTCTAGATTTTGACCTCTGCCTTTTAGCCTCTACATTTTTCTTTACTAATTCCGTTGCTTTTTGCTGTAGTTCTTGCAGTTTCTCTTTGCGTAACTCCAACGCTGTTTTAGAGTCTGTTTTTTTAGAGTTGACTTCGACGAGTCGTCGTTCTTTCTGCTTTTTTATGTATTCCCTTGCCTGTTTTACATCATAACTTTTCTTTTTTGGAGATAGAGCTACATCACTCTGAGCATTAACTATATCAGGATTACTAGTTCCTTGCTTTTTTGGATGCAGTGAGTGTTTAGAATCGTAGCTTTTGATAATTTGAACTTTGTTAGATGAGTGTCCAAGTATGTCATTAGATTCAGGTTTGCTATAATTTATATTTCCTTTAATACCAGATGCTATCAAATTCTGTAATTCTTCCTTTAATCTTTCAGTTTCTTTAGCGGTTTCTAATATTCTTTTGGCAACAGATTCTTTATCCATTATTTATAACAAAAACACACAAATTACAACTTTATACAATAAAAAATAAAATGAGACTGATTTTTACCGGTTTTATCTTATATTTTTCAGAAATATAACTGTAAGTATTTGGATCACATTTAAATAGATTTATTGGATCACATTTAAAATAGATTTATGATTTATTTTATAATTTATAACTAAAAAAACAACTTGAAATATATAACATAACCATAAACCTTAAACACAACAAGGGATGGTTATTCTTCTTCTGCGTTCTGCGGAAAGGATAAATGACTCTGGAAACATCTAATGGTGGGTTCATACAGCCAAATAAAATAAAATAAGAATAAAATAAAATAAGAAATAAGGAATTCTTATTTGTGTGCGTTCATACAGTCAAATAAAATAAAATAAGAAATATATATTTGCTCATGCGCAGTACGATGAGGCTGGATAAAAGTTAACTTTTACGATTGTTTATAGTAATTTTACTATTTATAGTATATTTATTTATTCGTTGCCTACTATATTATACATTTTACTTATGTGAAATTATAAAATAAATTAAATCCAAACTGAAAATATTTGTAGGTTAGAATTAAGCGTGCGCAAAGCCGTTTTCACATAAAATAAAACAAGAAGTTAAAAGATAAAGACTTCTTATTTTATTTGTTATTTTATTTGGCTGTATGAACGCATGTACGGTATCCCATATAACCAACTTTCTTATTTTATTTTATTTTATTCTTATTTTATTTTATTTGGCTGTATGAACCCACCATAATTCTCTGATCCAATTCCCGATCCAATCCAGATATGGCCACTTGCCCTTACGGTATTTAGCCAGCACACTTAGTGGCCACAGCTGCCAGGGCTAACCGGCCGAGGAGATAGTTTTATTCTTTTTTTTATTAATTTAAAGGCCTAAGCTAATAGGACTATCCGGTCTGGTAATAGTTCGGCATTCCTTCGGTTGGGTGTTGAAACAGGATCCGCCTTTAAGCTGGCTGAATGTCGTAATAGACAAGTGGCCAAAAATAGAAAAAAAAAAAAAAAAAAAAAAGGATCCGCCTTAAGCGGGTGCAACTTTGTTCATGTTTCAAAGCGATAGCAAAGTAATTTGTAGCTTGATACACTATGTTCAGTAGCAACATCGATTCGTAGCGATATTCTGATTTCTCGCTTTGTGGCGAGGCGACAGTCTAGACACGTGTGCAAGAGTGTGATAGTGATACCATATTTCGCAGCATTTGAGCGACAATAGTTTTGCAATGAACATAGTATCGATGTGGCTTCGACATCGCTTCTAAACGATCGGTTGCTAACTTGAAGAAAGTTGCACCCCCCCAAGGATACTATAGAGATAAGGATAGTTCGATTCCTATCTTCCTGCATTGTCAGTTTTTTTACGTCATCTACTGACCGAGTTGAAGTTGGCGCTAAAGATTTTAGACAGTGACAGTTATTTTTGCATTTGACGGACGAGCGCACAGTGCGTTCGAAGATAAATTTAGCGGGACAAAAGCGTTTGGTTAGAAATAAGCCAAAAAATGTGTACTGATAAGAATAAATAGTAGACATTCCAATTGATACAAAAATGCATGAATATTCTTTGTATTTCGATACATTTTTATCAACCAAATTTGGTCGTTTTCTGCTCAGCAAGGCAGAGATCATACGAAAGCAAAATATTTACAAGTGCTTATACATTTTATTAGAAAGCCAAATTATGCTGAAGATTGCCAAAGGTATGTACTTTTCTACTGTATGTATATTATTTGTTAAAATCCTTCGTGCCTTTGTTCTGCAGATATCAAACTTTCACTTTTTTTTCAAATATCGATATATTGAATGATGTAGATCTTTTGAGTTACCAATAGTTACCAACACAGGTAGTCACAGTCACAGGGAGTTCAAGCTTAACAGGTGAATGCTCAAAAAGATTCATTTCAATCGGATAGTATAAAACCAAAACAATTCCATCAAAAGGCACTGAGTTTAAAAAATTGTCTAAGATACTGTACAAAAACCGAGTGTTAAAATTAAAATATCTATCTTATTTATTATTTTCAAAATAAAATATATTTTTTTAAAATAAATTATAGAGGGTGTCACAAGATTACAAATTAAAAAAAAACTGCTAAAGAGTTTTTTGATATCATAATTTTATGTATTTGGCAATAGTTTACAATACGGTTTTTGTGTGTCATGTACGAATAATATATCATAGTTTTATTATCTTGTATTTATTTATTAATAAATTAAGTTGTTAATAAATAAATAAATTTAACCATATAGTTGCTATATATTAGACCATTTGCTACGTTTTTAGATTTTAAGTCCCAAACATTGGTCTTGAGATTTTGTCCCGCTAGAATAACCATCCGCCGCACTGTGGAGCGTTGGTCAGCGCGTGACGTAGCATTCCACGGCGACTACGACCAAGGACTATACACACAGTAAATGTACCTATGTATATAATGTACATGACATTTATAATGTATGTAACTATTATTTATTTTTATAAACTACTTAGCACACCAAAATTCTCAGATACAGATCTAATTTTTTACAAAAATATGTAATATTAAGATCAAATCAATATAAATAATTATAACTAAATTGGAATCTCTTATCATTACAGCTACACTCTAGCTAAGCAGACTTTTATGTATTGTTAACCATTAATTTTAAACATCCAAACACTTTTGGTTTATAGTTTAAAGGAGGTATTAGTGCCCTATTCTAATGCTTTGCACCTTTAGAATTTAAAAAAGGCCATGTATTTGCTTAGATTAAAAAATCCTTCATATTGTCCTACATTTCAAATGGGCGGCGTTGGCGTTGTTTGAAAGCGCACTGATGGTGACGTCAACGCTTTCGAACGCTTCGGCAAAAATTTCGTGGGAACTCGGCTATCCTCTGTGTGTATAGTCCTTGGACTACGACAGCGGCGATTTGACGCGATCGAACAGTCCTTTAGAATGTATACTGTGATATATACAGTCCTTGGCACCCCCCTGGTTTCGGCTTCTAAACGATCGGTTTGGATCGGTTGCTAACTTGAAATAAACATAACCAACTTTTAACTTCTAACCATAGATAAAGGAATAACTTATAACCAGATAAATGCTTATAAAAAAAATGAGAGTGGCTCAGGGGTCAATGCGAATGATATATGATTTAATCATATATAATTAATAGTAGTAGTAGTTTGTAGTTTGGTTTTACGGCCACAGCTGATAAAAAAAAATCAAAAATGGACAAATCTTTGTGACTACCTGTGTTGGTAACTATTGGTAACTCAAAAGATCTACATCATTCAATATCGAAAAAAAAAGTGAAAGTTTGATATCTGCAGAACAAAGGCAGGAAGGATTTTAACATATAATATACGTACAGTAGAAAAGTACATACCTTTGGCAATCTTCAACATAGTTTGGCTTTCTAATAAAATGTATAAGCACTTGTAAATATTTTGTTTTTGTATGATCTCTGCCTTGCTGGGCAGAAAACGACCAAATTTGGTGGATAAAAATGTATCGAAATACAAAGAATATTCATGCATTTTTGTATCAATTGGAATGTCTACTATTTATTCTTATCAGTACACATTTTTTGGCTTATTTCTGACCAAACGCTTTTGTCCCGCTAAATTTATCTTCCAACGCACTGTGCGCTCGTCTGTCAAATGCAAAAATAACTGTCACTGTCTAAAATCTTCAGCGCCAACTTCAACTCGGTCAGTAGATGACGTAAAAAAAACTGACAGTGCAGGAAGATAGGAATCGAACTATCCTTATCTCTATAGGCGCGTTCGGTATTCACGTCCGACCGCTCGGATCGATCTCGATCGTTCGTTTATGACATCCAGATCAAGATGTAGGGGAAGTAAATCTCAACCCCTTGTGTATGTGTTTTGTGTCTCAACCACAGAATATACTAACGAAAAAGAAGCCCAAGTTCCTTGTAATAAATCGGTTCCATTTTCGTAACGCCATCTCTCGACATAGCTGACATTATAGGTTAGCAAAAGGGGTGCGGGGCCGGGGGGAATTGTAAAATACACTTTTTTATTTTAATTATTTTTATTCGCTATTTGCAATTTTATTTTTAAAACATATTATGTGAAACAATCACATAATATGTCTTAAAAAAAATAAAATTACAAACGGAAACAAAAGGAATTAAATAATCTGAAGTTTATTGATAAAAAAGATAGGCTATGCAAATTCATAAGTATATTAAGTATAACCTCTTTGGTATAACATTGTTAAACAAACATTAACAAATCATAACATATCAGATCATAGAACTAAAAAAAGTACTATTACATAAAAACAGGTGATACAATACTTCAAAATTAATTTTAACATATCAAAACCGAGAAATCAAACTGCAAACACAACCACACTTATCACAACAGAAATTAACACACGCTTCCGCGGCAAATGTCCAAGAAAGACTGATCATTCTGATTGGTCCTGGTCCGGTCGTAGCTCAAGTCGTATTGTCGGTAAGCAAAATCCCTGTCCAAAAATTTTGACGATCAGCGCCATCATCCGTCATAATTGGGAAACTTTTGCTGGAACCATTTTTAATATTTCACTTACATGGCCCTGGTCTCAACCGTTCGGTAAATAAAATCGGAGCAATCGGACGGTGATCTTTTTGCTCGGAGAATTTTGACGGAGTAAACAGATTAATTTGTTAGTGAGGTTAAATTTCCAAGTTGATGTCAAGTTTTAAATTGTTTTGTTGCTTAATGCAAAACCACGTACAAAACTCAAAAAATAAATTACTGGTCCTTTTGTTTTTGAACGTTGATAGATTTCAATTGGGAATTGGGATTTCAAACTTGTCACTTTTCCCTAAGTGATCCGAACATTCCAAACCGTTCGGTAATTTCAGGTTACTCCATCCAATCTGTGATCACGTGACAAAAAATCCGTCGACATCTGGATGTGATTACCGAACTTGGTTTATATAGTAGGGAGTTTTCGTTGCTTTAAAAAAATTCAACGGTACGGTTAACGGATACGTAACCATAACCGCTATTTTGACAGATAAAAAAACAGTTTTCGGACTTTCGGTTCATCGGTTCGGAGCCGACATACGATACGATAACCGAAAACTGACAGCTAAGCACAGCCCGTAGCGTAGTATTTTGATTTTTGGTTTTTGTATTGTTGTTTGATTTGAAAGTGCTTTATATGACTTTATTGGGTATCGCTATATAGGATGGACAATTTAATTTTATTGGACTCTAGTGATGAATCGGATTTGGAGGATGCTGTGCTGTTGGAAGGGTTTGAAAACAACATCGAATATCGAGCAGAACTTTATGGGGAGTTCAACCTAAAAATATTATCTGACCAAGAGTGCAAAGCTAACTTCTGCTTTGAAAAAAAAGACATTCCTCGATTAGTTGAAGCACTAAGAATTCCCAACGAGTTTAACACAGATAAAATAAATAATCAAAACATAAACAAAATAGAATGATGTTAGGTTAGATCTGTATCTTTCAATGTTGTGTTTCTACTGCGCTAGTGCGCATGCGTACCGCTATGTTAACGGCTTTGGCTAACGTCCGTAAAATATCGGCAGCTAGCGGTTACGATATACGATAATCGAAATTGAAATGTCAAAGTTGTCAATTAGCGTTAACCGGAATTGCAATTTGTAAGCAACGAAAACTCCCTAGTAGTATCCTTGCATTTGACCAAATACGCATTTGACCAAAGTATTGCTGACTAAAAGCCTAAAAGCGGATGACAGAAAAACGAAACATGAGAACATAACCTTATTTTAAATTGTATATATTTTTGGTTTTAGTTATGGAGTTTTAAGCCGGAGTCTCATGCATCCGAAATCCGATGACACGACGATCCGACGGTGCTCCTATTGGTCGAAATATTTTGACAACAATTTTTATCCGATAATTTTAACTAATCATCCGACGTCGTATAAAGTAAAGTAAAGTGTGTTTTTTAACCTCACTTTTTTTGAAAACATTTGTTTTTAAAAACAAGTTTAGTGGGAAGTGGGCAATTTCGGGATATTTGGCGAGGAAGTTATTTTTATAAGTGTTTCTCCAATAAAACATGACATGAATCTCTATTCAGCGCAGCAGAAAAATGTTAAAACTGTCAAATTTCGGAACCACGGTGCAAAAACTTAAATGGCAGGATTTGGAACAAGAATTGCCAAATCCTGCTGTCAGAGGGCGCCACTGTCGATTTAAAAATACGTGGGCGGAGTAAGAGGGAAGGAAAAGTTTCTTCCCGCCACCCGTCTCATCATAATATTTCGTCATTTTTCCCGGCAGCCATCAGTGCCTAACTTTGTCTGGAGCTGAGAGGTATGTGTTTTGTGGCTGTGAGTGTCGTAGTGTTCATTCCCAAAGTAAAGACGTTTTATGTTGTGTGCCCGGCCTTTTATAGTGTATTATTTTAAATTAAAAACTTTTTATTTTGTGTATCCATTTAGAGTGAATTATTCTTTATATGTAAGTACCTAGAAATTAGTTTATAATAATATAACCTGCTCGATAAAAGCTAGGTTAGGTTAAGTTAATTGTACCTTGGAAATGGCTATCGATGGAAGATTGATATTCATTAATTGGTTAGATTTACTAATATAATTTACATTTTAAATGCCATCAATTGTCATTCCTAAGGTAGCTTGATGCAGCTTTTCGTAATCGTATTGTACAATATGATCGAAAAAAAACGGCGTCACCGTTGGCTATGAAATAAATATCGCTGTCATTCTCTCTCTATATGTAAAATTATATGAGGAACGTCATCGACCGCGTCATTTCCAAGCCAACTTGACTTCGTTTTTTCGATCATACGGTATTACTTTAGTATTACCATGTACCTAGGTATAGAAATTTAGAAAACAAAAAGAATACAAAAATAGTTGTATATATATATATTTTATCCGAGCAATAATTGTAATGTTTAATTTTTAGTTGCCTATAAATTTAATGAGCCGCATTTGTATTGTAAAATTTCGAAATCTACGAAAAAAGAAAAAATAAATAAAAATTTATAACAAAAAATAAATGATTTTTATTATAAACTTCCTTGTAATATCTGGTATATAATCAATTCACATGTGTTATTAATCATACACCTATTATTAAGTTAAATCTGATAGTACTTTTTGATTTTGGTATAGAAAATATTGTAATGTTATTTTTACCGCATGTGTATTGTTTAACAATTATAGACTAGATATTTGTTTGGCAAGTATATTAAATCAAACATCTTTTACAACATATTTTTAAAAAAATATATTGTATAAGATGTTTATTTAAATTTACTTGAAACAAATTATCTGGCATAAAATCATCCTAGTTTAAATATTGTATGATCGAAGAATACGGCTTCAAGTTAACTTAGAAATGACTATTGATGACATTAACCATATAACTTTACAAAGAAAATGTTATCGATCGTCATTTTTAAGTTAACCCAGATATTACTGAAACATTTATTTTTATTTTTCCTTATAAAAATTTAGTGACGGTTTAGATAAGCTATTTGAAACATTTTTTTCTTATAAATATTTTTATTTTAAATAAAAGATTTGGAGATAGTAGGTGTATGTTTAAACGGACGGTAGGAACTAGGACTACTTTTACAACTTAACCAAATGTGGATATACCTACAATTTGATTTTTCATTGAAATGACAACATAAAAGTAAAACAGAAATTGTAATAGACTTTTATTGTTTAGTGTGATAACTTCGGAAACAGGTTTTTGGATGAAGCGCCACATCGCACTTTTCAAAACGGAATGCTGCCTGTTTGTGGCACACGGCACACCTGGTCTGCTTCTCTTGATAGATAACCAGATGGTCAAGCCTGTCGTATCTTGATTCGGATGGCTTACTTTTCTTCGATGGACCACGTTTTGTTGTTTTCTTAAAAGTTTCCAGCAATGCAGCAGCAAGACATCTTCGAAAAAAACCATATGATCCATATTCCCGCCGTTGCGTATTTTGGTTGTATAATATTCTTTCCAGTCTGAAAAGTCAGGTTTTATATCTTCTTTTTTCCAAGAATATAAAGGTGTTTTCCTTCTTGTTTGGCAATGCCTGTTGCTGATTGGTAGGTAAATATGTTGCCAAGGGAAGTTCATCCTCGGAATCATAATGATTATCCTCAAACACCCTGTAGGATTGCTAAGAGAATCAGCATCTTCAGTCATTTTTAAACGTTTAACAGATGTTGATGGAATATCATCTCTGTTTTTATCGCCTTCACATTCCCTGCCATCAGGGGACTGACGATCAAAAATTAATTCAGCATCAGCCATTAGCTGGCTCCCAGGAAGGTTATCTAAGCTAACGGTATTTTCGTCGCCAGAATCCTCATCGGTGTTCCATCCATCTGGCGGAAAAAGAACAATTCCGTCAGGCCATTTCTGTCTCATCACTCAAATTTTGAATCTCTTCTATCTCATGCAGTTTTAGCGGCTTCTTCCACTTCCTGCAATCAAAAGAGCCGTTTTTGAGAAAATCTATTTTTATTTTTTCTTCGTTGCCTTTAAATTTAAGTTTAGAGAAAAATATTAAAAAATATATAAAGAAGATATTTACAGAGAGTCCCCATACATACCGATTTTGTTCGAAATCGGCCGAACGGTATATAGGAGAAAAGAGGAACACACACACATACATAGAGACACATACATTATGTACATACACGCACATACATGCATACCCGCACAGGCATACACACACGGCGCAATTTTTTTCGAATTTTGGACGATTATAAACCTAGTGGTTGCGAAAAAAAATATTTTTCCATTATTACCTCTTTATGCTACCGCATGTTTAAACCAACACCACACTTTGAAGTTATTTTACCAATGAGAAAATAAAATTATTGGGTTAAATTATCCTAAATATAAAAACTATACTTCCAAACTAATGTAAATGTATGTATGTACAATAATTCATTATTATAATATTTCTAAAATTCTTACCTCAATTATCCATGTTTTTTACTCTTGAAGTCACTAAATTTCACAAATTATTTCTGGCGCTCAAAACACGCCCTAATAACCACTTATTGGAAATCTACTGAAGAAACATCAACAGGTTATTGTCTTGGTGGCGCCATCTACCAAAGTTTATCCGAATCTTTATTTTACAAGAGTTTGTAAAGTGTATGTTTAAACGGACGGTAGGCCTATCTGGGTTAACTTGGAATCGTTGTTTTTCGAACATACGGTATATTAAATTAATTAGGTGTAATATAATACTATAGATGGCGCTGCTAAAATTGCTTTGAATGCAATGCAGATTTCTTTTTAAAATTTAATTGCAGATTTCTTTTTTTAAATTTAATTTGTAGTTCTAAATCCGTGTCATAGATGGCGTATCAAAATGGTGTCCTAATTTTTTGTACGGAAGATTTCGTTCTGTTTTAATCTGTTCTGTGTTCGGAACGAACTTTCGGATGTATGTGACAGGCTTTTTTTATTTCACACGATAACTTCAAATTTCGGATGTCGTACCATGGTCGTACCATCGGATTTCGGATGCATGAGACTCCGGCCAGGGTTCGGAAGTAGTTAATTAAGACGTAATTTACCTGATTAATTACGTGTAGTTTTTCTTCAAAAACTACGTCTTTTCCCGTTCATTAACTACATGAAAACTACGTTAATAAACTATGTATTGATATTATGAATAATTTTCCTTTGTATGAGGTGTAATAGAGATAATATGATGTAAATATTATATTTAAAGCCATATTCCTTCTGATTTCTTAAATGCATTATGTGTTTTTAAAGCTTCAACTTATTAAAACCTCACCTCAAACCTTTGATATTTGAAAGTTACATACATAGGTTACATAAACAACACCCTCTACATAAACTACATTAACTACATGTCATGTAGTTTATGTAGTTTTTAAAAGTAACATGTAGTTTTCCGAACCCTGACTCCGGCTTTAGTGTTTGTGGTGTATATTTTATTAATTTTCTATATAAAAAAGTGTTATTTCTAACTACCTTTTGAAGTTAAATATGGAACTAAATCTAAGAACTATTTGCCGAATATGTCTAAGAACTAGTACGAATTTAATATCGTTCTTTAATGACCATATATTTGAAATGCTAACTTTTTGTGAATTCTACACTGAAATGACTGTAAGTATTCTTTTGGGATAAATCCAATACGTTTAGGTGACTGTTTAGACTTTTTCAAGATAGATGACAAAGATGAATTGCCACAAAACATATGCGAAACATGTAGAGACTCGGTTCTACAAAGTTACAAATTGAAATTGTTATGCGTTTCATCCAAGATAACTTTAGACTCAATTGTTAAAAATTATGAAAATTATATTAGCAATAATGGAAATAGTAATTATAATCTAATAAAATATTATACTCCTGCATCTAATCAAACTACTGGAATTGTTTGTAACACCAAAACTAACTTATCTGGTAAAAAAATATTTGGACGGAATATTTGTATATCTTTTTCATTTATATATTTAAAATTACAGATGGTGAGACAGATAATGTTAAATGTAACAGAGAATATAAAGAATATACAACAGTACTATTAGAAGATAAGGTTGATAATGAAGAAAGTCCTGAAGATATGTAAGTAAATTCTTTTTTATATCACTCATATTCTCATATTATCATGTTATTTTACAGAAATAAATACGCATGTGAAAAATGCAAGATAGAATTTTCTTTTGAACAAGATTCTATAATCCATCAGTCTATTCATTCACCAAATTTAACATGTACTAGCTGTAACAAGTCATTCATAAGTATGTATAAGCCTTCTATTACTTCATCTCACAATATATTTATATTTTTAGCAATAAAGAAATTAAAACGACATATTAAGACACATATGACTTTAAAAACGCACTTGTGCGACCTATGTGATAAGGGTTTCAGTGAATTAGACGCTTTGAAAAAACACATCAAACTAACACACATGGGAATATCAAGGGATAAAAAGTATACTTGTAGTGTATGTGGAAAAAAGTAATACTTATATTTTCACTCACTATAATTTAATTTAAACTATGTACTTATTTAGATTTACAGATCAGTATTATTTAAATCTTCACAGTAGAAAACATACTGGAGAAAAACCACTGATATGTAATGTTTGTGATAAGTCTTTCTATGACCCAAGATCACTGAGGGTGCATATTTTAGCACACAAAGGAAGTAAAGCTTACTTATGTAATCATTGTGGGTAATTAAACATTTAAAATAATTAATTTTGTAATACTAAATATTGTATTTTTTCTAGAAAATCTTTTGTACAAAGTTCTCATCTGAAAAAGCATCTGGTAGTGCACACTAACGACAAATCTTACGTTTGTGATATTTGTTCTAAGAAATTTACCCAGTCAAGTTCATTACAAAGACATAAAAAACTGCATGGTAATATTTAATGTACTTTAACATTATATTTGATACAGGGTGATTTTCGGCTCTCACCATTGGGATCTCAGAAGCGGATAGAGATACAGGGTGGCTTAAACTGGGGCAACGCTGCCTGTTAGTGAGCCCAGTGATAATCTGTTTAGTGATTGAACTTATTTTTGTCGTACGTCGTATTTATACGGCGGAAAAGTTTAATTTCCAGTTTTTGTTTTTTTACGAGTTTATTTTGATAGGAAAAATCTGCAAGTACATTCTCAAAGAAACTTTTTTAGCTTTATCCTTTAGTAACGTCAATAGCCACTTGCGACGTTTCGTTTCTCTGAGACCATCAACTTTTTTTCATCGTTTTTTTAAAATAAATACCTGGATTTTTTTATTTCATTTTTTAGAAGCTTATAACCTCCCAAATGCAATTTACACACACATAATGTAAGTGACCCATATACCCATCTCTCTCCAACACATTTCCTCTTAGAATATTTTTCATTATACATTTCGTGAACAAGTGCACTATTTATTTATTTCAGTCTTTAGGATACAAACGGAACAAAAGTCCAAAACTAGTATCCTGATATTACAGTTTACAATAATTTTCCATTAACAATATTATAAGTTATAAAACAAGTAACATCTACAATATATTTAGATTTCTTAATTAATACAAAGCATAGAGGTAGTGCGTTTTACAGGTCCCTGTAGTCTATATATACATAGTATCACAGGACAGGAGATCGGTCTACTCTAACAATCTCAACTTAAGCCTATTCTTAAAGGTTAGTAGATTTTGATTGAAAAAAATCCAGTTCAGAATCAGAACAATACAAGTTAGCAGCCCTAACCATCCTCACCAATGGTGCATTCTGGTAATAATTGGTCCTACAATATGGAACCCAAAAGAGGTCATGACCCCTCAGCGCACGGACAGGCACATTAATCTTAACTCTCGATAGGATATTTGGAGAGCTAGACAGATTATTAATGATCTTAAACAAAGTTAAAATGTCAGACAGAGTACGTCTCTTTTCCAATTCAAGAATTTTGAAGCGCCGCCGTATCTCTGAGTAATCATGATGTGCTACGTGGAAGTGCGATTTATAGCCAAGGAATCTCAAAAATTTCTTTGTATTTTTTCCAGTCTCTCAACGTTATTTCTATATACAGGGCTCCATATGACAGATGCGAATTGTAGTTTACTAAATACATATGAGTAATACAGAGTCAAAATCGTTTTGGAGTTATTGAAATCAGCACATTGTCTTTTAATGTATCCAAGGGTCCTATTACAATCATTAACCAGTTTGTCAATATGGAGTTGAAAAGTCATTTTAGAGTCAAACAGAATCACTAGATCTGGTAACTCTGTTTAAAACAGAACTTCCAAGTTTATAATTATAGTTAATGATTGTAGATGCCCTAGAGAACGACAATACAGAACATTGGTCAGGATTCAAAAATAGCTGATTTTCATTGCAAAACTCGATCAGCCTCTCAAGACTAGCTTGTAGAATTTCACAATCTGACATGGAATTAACTCTGAGAAAGATCTTCAGATCATCAGCGTAGCAAAGGAACAGGCAGTTATCAAAACATAGCGTTATACAATTAATATACATTACAAAGAGAAGGGGGCCGAGGTGAGAACCCTGTGGAACCCCCGATGACGGGGAGAATGTACCCGAGCAAAAGCCCAAAAGCGCCACAAACATAGATCTATTGAGCAAATAAGACTCAAACCATCTCAGCAGATCTCCACAGACTCCCATCTCCTCCAGCACCTGAATCATAATTTCATGGCTGATCTTATCAAATGCTTTGCTGAAATCTGTAAATATGACATCGACTTGACAAAACGAGTCAAATGCTTCATATATGTATGTTGAGTATTCCATGAGATTTAGTTCTAGATTCCTTTTTTTAAGAAAACCATACTGCTCTGGTATAATATCAGCGATTACAAAATTGAAAATATATGGGTAGACTAGCTTTTCAAAAAGTTTGGAGAAGGTACATAATTTGCTGATGGGCCTATAATTCTTGACGTCGCACTTCTTGCCGTTCTTATAGATGGGCGTGATGGCAGAAACTTTCCATGTGTCTGGGAATACTCCAGAAGAGAGAGACTGGTTAAAAAGAAGTGTTAGTGGTATGCAAAGCGAAGCCGTGCATTTTTTTGCGAATATGGCTGGGATGTTATCAGGGCCCGCCCCTTTTTTTTCATCTAGCCCCTCGAGAACTTTTTGGACCTCATCTGCGGTTAACAACACACTAGACAATGACTTATTACTGGTTTGACAATACCTTTGAGACCTCTTTATTGCTTGCGACCTTGGTACATACACACTTTGAAAAAAATCGCAAAACAACTCACAGATCTCGGCTCCATCCCTCGCTACCCGATTCCCAAACCTCATCTCCCCTGGAGTCCCCGTATTTGACCTCTTTTTTGACACAAATCGCCCAATTTTTTTATTGTTACTATTAATGCATCCTCTACTTTGTGAGCGCAATAATCTAAAAGCATTGTAAAGACTTTCGTCTTTGCTAATTTTCCATTTTTTGTGTATTTTATTTTTTCTTAGAATAAGTTTAATAGTATTTTGAGAGAAATAAGGTGGAAATTTATTATTTATTCTTTTTAGGGGGACATTGTTTTGTATGGTTTTGTTTAAAGTTTCATAAAATACTTTGACATTCTCATTAATAGTTATTAATTATAAGTGCGCTATATCATTGTATTTGGGAGGTCCCGTATGTCTTACCGTTTCTGAGATCTCAATGGTAAGAGCCGATTTTAAAACACCCGGTATATAATGTATATTCATTCAAAAATGAAATAAAATATAGAGCTTTAAAAAGTGTATTACTATAGCATAATACATATTCTAAACATTGAAAAACTGTTATAAAAAGAGGCGAAATTATATATATATATATATATATACATATATATATATATATATATATATATATATATATATATATATATATATATATATATATATATATATACAGGTTGTCCCAGGCTGAGCGTGCATTAGAAGTTTCTAGAGAACTAAAAAATCTAGATCGGAGATTTTTTGCACATTACTGTTTCAGAACGAGAATGTTTCTAAACTTATTTTAGGTATAGGAACATGTATAATCAAAAAGTGACGAATTAAAAAACCTTTTCACTAGTGAAATAAAAAAAGTGGGTTTCCATTTGAAAATAACGATTTATAATTTTTTAATCGCTCGATTCCATGACAGCTACGGCCAATATTACCTATATGACATTCGAACAATTTAATTTTTGAAATAGATAGCCACATGTCTTCTCTTTATGCCACAGTGGCTGTGACAATCACTAAATTTGTTGTTTAGGCTGTAAAAAAATTTTTGACAGGCAGTTTTTTCCTCCAAAAATCTTTTTTTTTCTCAAAAACAGTTATATTAGGTATAGAGTGTTTAATATCAAAATTCATAAAATTTTACAGAGAATTTAAGTATGTAATAAAATTTGGGGGTACCCATTTAAAATAAGAAAGTTGCTGTCAACTTCCGGTATTTCCGAAAGCGCCGCCATATTGAAAATATTTTTAATCGATAGATCTCGTTATGAAACAGTATGTGCAAAAAATCTCCGATCTAGATATTTTAGTTCTCTAGAAACTTCTAATACAGGCTCAGCATGGGACACCCTCTATACAAATAAAGAGAAATGACATACCCTAAATAATATAAATATAATAAACTATATTTCTAATATAATTTTCACTCGTCATCAGACACTATACATATAACATCATTGTTTTCGCTTGCTGATTTTTTTGATGTGGGATGGTTCACAGGAATTATATTAATAGATGAAAGTTTTTTAATGGCAGATAATGCTTCTTGTTCAGTCTTTTTATGCCTTGAAGGTGACATAGTCCTTTCTTGACTATGCTGATTTGTTATGACTGAAGTGGGTTGTTTGGGATTCGTTTCTTGGACAAATAAATCCTTTTTAACTCTTAACCTTCCTTTGGAAGTGTCGGTTGATGTAGTTGATGGACTGTGTTCTTTAATTTTAGGTTTGGATGGGCTATTTGAGCAACCTTTTAAAAATAACGGGTTTTCAGGGTGTTTAGATTTTGTTTTGAGCTTTAATGGTGGCACCTAAGGAAGTAAAATAGAAACATATTATAAAATTATACAATATTTAATTCCTTTACTGCACCGACTTCATGAAATATAGTTCCACATGCAAGAACAAACCTTTTTGCTTTTTATAACAGGCACTAAAAGCTCTCTACATTGTTTCACATAAATCTTTATAAAATCTATAGAATTGTTTAGTTACAGGTGAAATGTTATTGTCTCATTTATCAAGAGTTGTTTGTTAAAAACTATATATAGTTTTTCTCACGTTAAGGTTGTAATTTATTACTATATTGAATAAAAATTATTTTTAAATGGTGTAGTTTAAAAAAAAATTGGAAATAGATTTGTGTCTGGCAACCTCTATCCTTTTTTAATCTTCCTATAATTAGTGATAATTTTGACAAGTTTTATGTGAATTTCTAGTAAATGACGTCTAGAGATTGATATCGCCAAAATTATCATCGATTGTCATCCTCGGCCATATTTGACGCCGTTTTTTTTTGATCATGCGGTATTTGCTATTAAATTAACTTGAATTTAGTCTGATTCTATGGTTTTTATTTAGACCAACTTAAATTTATTAAAAAAAAGTGACCGGTTACGTGAGAAGAACTATAGCTACTAATTTCTATAAAGCAATTCTATCATTTTTTTGTTTCATCATTTAATATGGGTTTATAGAGAGTGTTTCTACATTTTTTTTTGTCTTTTCAACTACATACAAGTTCTATTGACTACAAAATGAAAAAATAATACAAAGAAAAATCTACGACTGTTCCATTCGGCTGGACTTACATTTTTTTATATTTTTTTGCGAATTACATAGTTAGAATGAAGGATTCCAAATATATGGTTTCCGGGGTTGTTGAGGTGCGTTTTGTGGCTAGTGGAAAAATTAGTTAATCTTTGTTGGTTATTTATGATTGACATTTACAAGAAATAATATAAAATAAACATAAAAAAGCGTAACGAACTTATAAAAATTGAAATTTACCAAGAGAAGTCAAATAAAAAGATTTTAAAAGGCTACCACGATGTCACTCCCGTATTTGATATTAGATTGAACTACAGATATAGAGGTAGGGAGAGGGAGCATCTATAGACTCATATAGGTTGCTTCATGCAGCACCTCTAGGGCGAGGAGACGCGCGGGCGAGAGGGAGTTAGTGATAGAGGCTGGAGACATTTTAGAACTTTCAGCTGTCGACGTGAACGTTATGCGGTAGCTAAAAAATTGGATTTGTGATTTTCTTGTTTTTTTTTAATTTTTTGTAAGTCATAATTGAGTCGCCTAGTTTCAAAACACGACAAATCCACAAAAGTCAAATGTTGGGAAATTGGAAAAAAACTGTTTTAGAGTTGTTAAAGAGTAAATATAAAGTCAATATTTTATTGCCAGGAAATGATAAGATTTGTCGCAGTTTGCAAAGTATATATGATGTTAGGTTGTAAAGAACTAGAAGACGAATCCATTAACATATATAACTCATTTTTCTCGAAAAATGGATTTGTCGGGTTTTGAAACTAGGCGACTCAATTATTTTAAAAATAATTAATAAAATGACGCATAATCTAAGTCATATTATTTTAAAAATCAAAAAAATTAATAAAATGACGCATAAACCGTACTGTAAACTATTGCCCAATAAATAAAATTATGAGATCAGGTGGAGTACTTGTGTTTATTTAATTTTAACATTCGTACACCATGACAAAAAAAAATTTGAACGCGCACTCGTCGAAGCTCATTCTCCCTACCTCTAGTATTGAACATAACTTTTTTTATTAATAATGTAATATAAAATTTGGTTCACGTACCTGAGTTATTGATATGCCACTTTCAGGATAATACTTAGGAGCTGGAATCTGCGAAGGTGCCGAAGTAACTGTCAAAGACGTAGGTATTTTGTGCTCCATAGAAAAGTTAGGTACTGTACTCTTAGGAGGTACAGGATAATGCGAAAAAGGCGCATGTTTAGATACTGCAGCAGGCAAAGTCATAGCCGGAGATACCGACAATGCGGAGGGAATATTCAAATTTTTAAGAAGATTCATCGATGATTCTTCTCTTTCTTTAACTTCCACGTTCTTCATCAACTGTTCCTTCTTCTTTTCAGCCAACTTCTCCTGCAGCGTCTTCCCAGGACTCGTATTATGCTTAATAAACGAAGGACTAGACGTTGCAGGGGGAGTCAAAGGCATATTGTGCCCCAAATTCGCGCCGGTGCCTGAAGAATGGGCTGCGGGCGCCTGCTTGGCTGAAGAAGGAGAACCTGCTCCAAAAGGCAAAGCAGGAGATATATAGCTGGTTTTCGGTAGGTCGTACATTGAAGTGCTCGGAGGTATTTGAGGTTTGGAATAAGGTCCTTTTGAGCTGGTATTTGGTGAAATGTATGAAGAGGTCGTCAAAATAGTGTTTGAAGTAGTAGTGACTGGAGTTATCGAAATATTTGGATGTTCTTTCATGTAAATATTTGCGCTCTTTTCTTCAGAAGTCTGACAAGGTTTTGTGGGTGACGGTTCTTTGAAAACAGGTTTTGGCTTGAATTTTTGAGGATACTGCGAGGCAGATGTCGTTTTTGTCCCGCTACTGTGCTTAGGTTTGCTAACCAAAGACCCTGATGTTGTTGGTTTGAACAAATTCGAACTACCACCATGTTTAGGCAGCATTGTTTCCAAAAACTTTATTTGATCAGCATTCAAACCTGTCGTACTTGGAACTTGATTAAACCCTTTAAATCCCGAACTACTCTGTTGTACGCTGGTACTGGCAGGGCCCAAAATGTTACTAGCTGACAGAAACTGATTGGTAACAGCCTGAGCTACTGCAGGATTTGTTAGTTGTCCTTTAGACATAGCCTGTAAGAGCTGAGTGAGCTGGGCTATACTCGACCCTTGACTGTACTGTTTTATCAGCTGATCTTGGTAGTGTTTGAGGTAAGCCATGTTGCTTTCGTACATTGAAGGCCAAGCATACGAAGATGCGGGACTTTTAGGTCTAGGAGATCGTATTTTGCTACCATGGACTTTGGGCAAAGGAGGCCTGCCCCTGGGTCTTCCCAGTGAAGGAGGTTTCATCATTTTTTGTATGTTACTTGTCATAGCCAAAGGATTTGGATGTACAGGTGGACTTGCCACGCCGGGACTTCGAGAAAATGCAACACTGTTAGTGTTGCTGGGAAGTGTATGGTGGGCTTTGTGTTTTTCGCCGGGTCTGTGCTGTTGGCAGAACTTTATAGCTAGATCGAGAATATTGACAGTATCTGGAACAGTTTCTTTGATGAATTTCTTGTAGACTTCGACAAGCATGCTTGAGAAGAGGGTTTCTTTACTTGGCATGTTTTTCTGAACCTGTAATGGCAAACATTGACTTCAAAATTTGCTCTTTATCTTTGTTATTCATTTATTAATAGATCAAAAAAATATTTTTAAAATGTGCGTAACAAATATAAATTAATATATTTTTTCAACTAATTAAGAAAACTAAGCTACTACACTTACCTTCTGATATATCCGGAAAATATCCATCAACAACTTCACGATCTGCTGATTCTGCATGTTTTCAACATTTTTAATCTGTGACCTCAAGCTCTGAGTGCTCATTTTCAGAGCCTGCTCCGAAAATACGTCTCTATCGCTCTCTTTAATGTATATCTTGTCTCTATCAGGAGTCTTCCTCAACTGCATACATATGTCCATTAAAGTTCTATTATCGTTAGTGTTTCTCAATACTTGCAACACCAAAGAAATACACCTGTTCATGTGAGCTGCCAGTGATCCAGGCCTATCTATTTCCGTTGATGGAATTCTCCAAATGTTGTTGAAGAAATTATTTGCTTTTCTGTCAGAGAACAATCCACAAACCATGGTGGAATCCTTGCATTTGTACTCACCCAAAAGCAATTGCTTGCACTTAGTATAATCTTTCCGTCCTTTATAGTGAAAATATAAGTGAGCCAGCCTGTACAGAGCTTTATAATTCTGTGGCAGTCTTGTGATGCATAGTTCCAGTCCACTAATACACTTATCAACAAGCTGAGAGATGTCATTGTGTGACATATTGCCATTGGTTTCTTCTGACGATGATGAGTCAGAATCGTCAGATTCTGAGTCTGTGCTGGTGGTGGATGACGAAGAGGAAGAACTGGAAGAATCTTCTTCCACCGATGTTCTACGGTTATCGGTGTCAGTCTCGCTGTCACTTTTTTCTTTGGGTTTTGTCAGTGGAATTGATGTTTGTGGATTTTCGTCCACTTGCATTTTTTCTTCTGAATCTGTCAAAGAAATTGTTAGTTCAAAAAAAATAGTAAAAAAAGTTTTCGGAAATATTGTAAAGAGTGACTGAATATTGTAAAAACGACAAATAAGTATACATAGAGAGGGGTGATAAAATATTAAAATGATCAAATATAGAAGTTATTCAAAATTCTATTTACTCTGTTTACAAGGTGTACCAAAAAGTTTGCAACTAATAGGATTGTTTATTAAAAAAAAATAAGTGCGATCGTCAAAATGTTTTAAAATCTCAAAGAAGTACGTAAATATAGAAGGGTTATAAAATACTAAAGTGACAAGATATGGAAAAGTATCAAAGAAAAAAAATTCTTCAGAATTTGATTTAATACGTATACAGGGTGCGCTAAAAAGTTCGAAACTAATAGTATTTTTTTATTATAAGTTTATTAAAAAAATAACTATGGTCGTCAAAATGTTTTAAAATCTCAAAGAAATAAGTAAACATAGAAGGGTTATGAAATACTAAAATGACAAGATATTGAAAAGTACAAAAGAAAAAATTTGTTCAGAATTCGATTTAATACCCTATACAGGATGTGCCAAAAAGTTAGCAACTAATAGTATTTTTTTATTAGGTAATAAGTTTATTAAAAAATAACTGTGGTCGTCAAAATGCTTTAACGTCTCAAAGAAATGAGTAAACGTAGAGGGGTTATAAAATACTACAATGACAAGATATCGAAAAGTATTAGAGAGAAAAGTTATTCAGATTCGATATCTATACAGGGCGTGTCAAGATGCAATATGTACCTTTTGGTATAACAGCGTCATTTTCTTTGACCACTACCTCTTCAATCTGTTCTGTTCCGCTATTATTTGGATCAGAATCATCCAGTTTGTCCACATCCTTCATAGTTTGTTCCATCATCTTATCCAAAAGATACTGGACATCTTTTTGACCTTCTGAACCTTCTTTTAACACAGTATCTCGTTTTTCCTCGTTATTTTCCTCAATTTTATCAACTTGTTCGACGTTGACACACTCATCTTCCGAATCAGAAATCATGATAACATCTTGAACTTCCTCAACAGCTATACAATCATCTTCTTCTTTTTTATCAGTTTCCGCATTTTTAGTCTCTTTATCCGCTAAAATTTCGTCGACTTTCCTCAGAATATCTTCCAAACATTCCTGTACTACAGATTCGGAAAATTCATCTATCTCGTTTTTTGCAACTTCGAAATTTTTTATTGAATTCAAAAATTGGTCTTGAAAGCTTGTAGAACTGACAGTGTTGGTTATTGGTTCAGGTTCTGTAGGGTTTTCTGGCCTAGAATTTAGAGAAAACAAAAAAATAAAATATTTATTATTAAAGAAAATTCTTACTGTTGAACTTCGGGCTGCATGGGAGGTGCTGCGTAGTACCCCGACGCAGTACTGACACATTTTTTGAAGAAAGCACCTAAAGTGTTCGGAATATCTTTTCCTTCGTGCATTTCCAAGTACTTCAATATAGAAGCATGGATTCTGTAATGCAGCTCCAATGCCTCTACCGATAAATGTTGGGGGTTGTTGTAGTTTATTTTTTCCGGGTATACAGCATTGTTTTCATTCAGTAGATTTGTCGCCTTAAGAGTAAAGATGTTTTATATCAATAATTACGTTGTATATTGAGTTGCTTACCGTTAAGTAGTACTGTAAGTACTCTGTGGGTTCTTTGCGTTTTTTTTCGGCTATTTTGCCAAGAATGTAGTACTGCAACCAACGTTCGTCCGGTTCGTTTTGGCTCTTGTTCGATTCGAAAAGACCAATGGCGTGCTCCAGGCTGTTTCCAGAGCTGTCTAGATAACTCTCCTTTTCGCTTTCCAGTAGTTCAAATCTACAGAAAATAAGAGAATATATACATATATGCATAGCAAGAGCAGTATATATATATATATATATATATATATATATATATACAGAAAATAAGAGAGATATATATATATATATATATATATATATATATATATATATATATATATATATATATATATATATATATATATATATATATATATATATAGGTAAATTTATTTTGATTTATATATAACTTTTTAAGCCCTTTCATACGATACCATATTATGACACGCCCATATGACACGCTCAATTAAAAATTTGGACCGCCGCTGTTCCTTGCATAAAACCCTGTTTTTTGTGATTGAATTAAAAATATACGGCTTTCAGATTTTTGTCTTCTGTACAAATTAGTAAAAATTTAAAAAATCTACAAAACATTTGGTCACCTATATAATTATAACCGCGCATACCGTTGCTTAACCTCGATGATTGATTATGTACTTTAAATAAAGAATATATTTTTTATGGTTTTCTTAGAAATGTATAAGACGGTATTACTTGCCAAATTTCATAGTTCTCTTCTATTAGAAAAGGTATAAGAAAATCAATTGACAAGTGTCAAATACGTTTTTTGCGGCATAAACAGCCGTATCTTTTTTTTACGTTAACTTAGAAGTTTGATTTTTTCATAGCTTTAACTGTAGACCTGAGTATATGATTTTAATTTCAACTCGATACCTGCACGTATTCCCGAGATAAAGGGTTTTGACAGACAGACAAATAACAAAGTGATCCTATAAGGGTTCCGTTTTTTCTTTTTGAGGTACGGAACCCTAAAAACGGGTTTAGTAAAAAACTTACTTTTCCATGCTGAAATTCTCCGACTCGTACTTAATCAGCCTAGAACAAAACGCGTGCACCATATACTCGAACGATCCACACTCTATCCACAAAACGCAATCTTCCGGCCCCAATTCCAGAGCTTTTTTGTAACAGATCTGTGCCGACTTTGCCTTATCCAGAAAATCCGACTCGTTTTTTAATTTCTCGCAGAAATTCAGTATACTCTCCAGCTGCGCCGTGTAGCTGAGCGCTAGGCACGCCCACGTGTCCAGTCTCGATGGATTTATGCACAAATCCAACTGAAAATATTTGATGCAACGGTTGAATTCCTTTTCTTTGAAGTAGTAGTCCCCTAACAGGTAATAGATGGCACGGATCTTGTTGGGGAAGTCCATAGGTTCGGGGATTTTTTCTGCCTTACCGTGGACGTAGTCCATGACCTTGGGCAGGTGGGTGTGAAGGTCACAAACGAAGGGCATCAGTGCCAGAATCCTTTTGAACAGTTGTTCTAGATCGGCGGATATTGAGGCGGTTTTGAAAGAATTGAATTCCGGCAGGATTTCAGGTGCGTAATATTGGTAGAGTTGGAAAGAACGTTCCCAGGTTAGGGGGAGAGGATCGACGTTGTGGTCCACTAAATGCCGAGATATCTGGAAGAAAATCGAATACTAAAACTCAAAAGTATGAAATTCTGTATCTGTAAAAAATCTGTCTCCTAGATGAAGTAATGCGGTTAGGTTAGGAACTGAGGTTGGAGAAACTGACCTCACAGAATACTTTAGTTATACCCTTGTCTATATAAATATAGTCTGACAATGAGGGGTATTGTGAGCTGCTGCCACCATGCGGCCTTTTTTTGAACCTTAAACATGAATGAAAATCGCCAAGAATTTTACCCCTCAATTAAAATGGTGGGAGATGGGCGGATCTAGGTTTAATAGTATATTTCAGTATATTTTTAACTTTCTTTTCTGAATCCGAGTTCCGAGTTTTTAACCTTGATTTAACCTTGGTCGGGCACAAATTTTATTTCCATGCAAAAAATATATAAAGAAGCAATTTTTGACAGAGAAATTTTTATTTTAATATTATTATATCTTTAAATAAAATTTTGAGCTAACTTCCAAACAGATGCACAAGAAAGAATGTTTTCAATAAAATGAAATTAAATTGTACAGAATTTTTTTTTCAATATTGAAGATTATTTTATATCTATTAATCCCTGTATATGAATACAAGACAAGGATACAAGGTATTAATTGAATTAGATCTGTATTAGAAATATAAAATATAAGAATTATTTAATTATACGCATTGAAAATAGTTTTAGTTTTCCTGAAGAATTTTTCTACATATTTTAATAAGTGTAATCAATGGAAAAAAATATTTTTTCTTAATTTTGAATGGTATTTTTATTGTAAATATGAACAAAAGACCATATTTATCTATATAAACAAAAGAAAACAATTTGGAAAATTTGCCTACAGTATGTCCCCCAAGTTTTCTCTAAAACAGTGTGGAAATTTGACAAAGAATAAACGGGATTAACCATTTAGACAAGCAAAATCTTTTTATGAAAAATGCATTTTTTTTAAATGTTAATAAAAAACTGCTTCTGTAAAGACAATCCAGGGATATACTGTATATTAGATACTTCGATAATGTTTATATATGTTATTCAATAAGGTTTATAGGGAAAGGAAGAATGACTGGAAAATTGGGGATAAACTGCAAGTACTTTTTTCTATGGGATTTTTGTATGAACTAAAGATCATAATGTTAGTGTTAGTGTATGAACCCGTAAGTTGTTTGTTTGTAAGAATTTATAATATATTTTAAACACATTTATTAATTAATAAAGATTTATTCTGAAGTTTACAATTAAGAATAAGTCGCCAAAATTGCTAATATTTATCTTCTGTTCTTAATACTCTTATAAAAAATGGTAATTTCTTGTGTAGATACACTGTATTTTTTTTATAAAACTTTAGGAGGTTTAAAATTCTATTTATTCACTAGGGTTGCGATATATGTATGTATGTATATTTTTTCTTTGTGATGTTCATTGTGAAATTAGTTTTCATTAAAAATATTTTTTCAAGAGACTAAGACAAACAGAAATTGAACAAATTGAAATACTAAAATCTATTACTTCATCAATTTGGTTCATAAACTTGTTGTAGTAAGTATTAATAGGTACGTAGGTATTATATTTATGTGTTTAAATCAAGTAAAATTTAGTCAAATTTAGATATCGGTATCTTCTCTTGGATTTAGAATGAGTTTAAACTTGCAAAGAAACTGCAATTACAACACACACTTTCTAGTTAATCATTAATTTATCACTAGAAAACAATTACATATCACATTTTTTGCACTGATAACCACTGTCAAATCACTATTTAATGTTAGCTGTCAGTCTCTTAAGACTTCGGCTGCAAATGCACTAATGGATGTGCATGAGCACATTAGTCCACTTTTTTATTTAATATTGCATAGAGTAGATCTTCCATTTTGTCTTGAGTCCCATCCACTGTCTGATGTTACGAAGCCAACGATGATCAACTGAAGGAATTGGTATCTATTGTTATGTATCACGTAACCCCATCCTCTGTTAATACACTTGTATGCATAATACTGGCAACTTTTTAGGAACATCCATTAGGGTTTATGGTCCTAATTTTTGGGGCATCTAGTGGATTCAATCAGCATGTCCAGCTTGAAATCATTCATAGTTGACTGGTTGGTATATTTTCTAGCTTGCTGCTTCTAGCAATATATTTTGATATTGTATGCACTAATTTAACTGTTAGGTCACTAATTCTATGACAATGGCAATCGTGTTAACCTTAAAACAGAACATAATTGATATTAAAAAACGATAAATACGATCAAAAACATACATAGATTTATATCGAAGAAATGTTATAATTTTTGCTACAGTAGATTACAGTACTTACCAGTCCTATTATTTTCGGTAGTTCCACAATAGTTCTGAACGCAATATATGCCTGGAAAATCAATATTGGCCTAGGAATTTCTGAATTTCCCTTTTATTTTCAGATTTTGATTGTTTGTTTTGAAGTATCGCGTGAGGTTAGGTTTCATCTTTCATCAACAACAGTTTGCGCGCGCTCCTTTTTCGTTCAAAATTTGTTCGATTGTTTATCGTCTCTATTTTCTTAATTATGCAGTCGAATTATTCTTTTTGGTAATAAATGGAATGTTGGGAATTTTGTTATTACTCTGATTTAAATATTCAGCCCAGAATTTTTTTTAGATACTCATTGTTTTTAAGAAAGACTCTAACATGACCCCAACTAACGGAAAGTAAAATCATTCCTAATAAGGAAACTCTAGTAATCGACCAATTAGAGAGTGAGAAATCCCACTTTTCCTAAAAATTCGAAATCGTAGCGTAGGGGAATACGAAAACTTCTGAGGAGCCCTCGCCACCTGGTGAACAGAGCCCCAAAGCATCCGATCATTGTATATCTATATCATCTATAATCAAGGGTTATACGGAAGCGACAGTAAACGTCGCTTTGAAGTACATATGTCACAATTTTTTTAACAGTTAAAATCACTTGTACAGGGTGTAGGGTGTCTCATTTTCGTATGTTTTACAGGGTCTCACCTTTATAAGTAAAGATACAAAGATGCTGTTTTCGCATTACTGTACTATTTTTTTATGAAACCAAAAATTTGTAATTTATAAAAAATAAATAATTTAAATAATATATATATACATAATTTTTTTTTTTAAATAATTTATAAGAAATAAATATTTATGTTTTTGGATTGCCCTCTTAGTGGATAGTATGATTTTTTGGGATGCGGGACAACTTACCTAAATCCGGGATTTTCCCGGAAATCCCGGACGTCTTGCAACCCTACTTAGATGTAGTTTATTATATTATGTTTGACTTGTGCAAGTACTGTCGTATCCTAGCATCAATAAACTATCTATCTATATATTTAGTTCCTGAAATGCAGGGCGAATGTAATTAATTATTAAATTAATTGATGCATTTTTCTAATCCCATCGTATCTAGGTTATCTTATAAGTTACCGAAAAGGTGTCTTAATCCCATTTCCACAGAGTTTTTCACGTAGAATTCATTGGCGTAACTAGTTTGAAATATGACCCAAACTTTTTTTTTTTTTTGACTGCGATACCCTGTACATTATTTTTTATTTTATTTGCCATTGTTATAAGTAATAAGTCATCAAATATCAAAATAAAAATAAGTCATCAAATATCAAACAACAATCAAATAATATAATAATCTTAATTGAATCTTACCTTGTTCTTCTTGCTGGGGTACAAATACAGACAGAAAAGCGCTTGTTCAATGTGAACTTCGATCTTGTCTCTCACCGGCTCGAAAATAGGCGTGTCCAATCTATCCAGGACCGTATCCAGGATAAAATGCAGGAGTTGTCCACGCTCGGTCAAACACCAACCCTTTGGACCTTTAAAAATTCCAAAAAATGTTGATGGTTATTATAACACTTTTTTTTAAATACCTAAAAATTCGTGAGCTGAAAACAGAATCGCTATGGAAGATGGTAGTTCCTGTTCCACAGACTCTGGACTTTCTTCTGTATCAACCTTGTTTCTTTTACAGTGATTGTGTTTTTTATTAGCGTACTGACGATGTTCTTCCCTGTAAATTATTAGTTAGCTAATTCCTGGGGTGGGCGAATAATAAAGTGTTTTTTACGCGGAAAAACTGTTTATTTATGTGTAAAAATTGTTCTAAAAAAAATATTTTTTTCTACCGCGAAAAATAATTTAGAACTTGATTAAAATACAAACCTTAGCAAAATATAGTGAAGCAAAATCCACGGAGTCACACAATCAAAAGGTATAACGAGCATATCAGTGTTCAGTTGAATACATACAATCCTCGTCAAACTCTCCACCAATCTGCACCGTTTTTCTTCAGACAGTTTATCGATAATACTCACAGTCTCTTTTTTGATAATTTCCAGGAAAAATCCAAGACATTTCTCGATAATTTTCTGCCATTTATCCTGATCCACGTTGGGTTTCCCGTAATTTTGCAGTGCTTCGTACAAACATTCTTCAGTCCAGATAAAACACTGTTCCCAGTTAGTGTACCACAGTGAATGCATTAAAATACCTAACTGCGCAGGTCGGCCCATTCTGCCTACTTTCGAGTAACTTCCGGTCCCGAAAGTTAACCTCAAAATATCGATAACCTCGTCATATTGCTGTGAGTTAAATAAACTCTCCACACTACTCAGTGAGATCATCATGTTTAAGTGTTTTATGATTTTTTCTATGATCTGACCAGTGATAAAACCGTATTTCGAGAAATTAGGAAGATTTAAAGAAAACCTTTCTAATGATCCCGATTCTTTAGTCTCAATTTCTTCCATGATCAATTGTAAAGCTCTGATAGCTAAGTCATTTTGGTCAGTTTTACGAAAATAGTGAGACTGTAACCAATGAAATCTGATGAAGAACGAAGTGAATTCTTCTCTCCACTGGTCAGCCCAGTTGCTGACCAGTTGGAGATAACCCAGTTGAATGGGAAGGATAGTTTCGGAAGATTCAGAGCTGAAAGTGACCAGTTCTCCAAAAAGCAGCGTTGCCAGCGCGTCTTGGCGTATTTCCTCGAAAGTGTGACCGCCACAGAATACTTGCGGCTGGTCGCAATGTTCTCTGAACATGTTGTAGATCTAAAAGTTTATTTTGCTCTGAGGAGAATTTAAAAATCTAAATAAACATTACAAATAAATATTTTTGAGTTTTTTTAAACACTGGTTCACCCTGTGTATTTCTTATTTCTTGAGCCCTGGTCAAACATAACCTCTTACGGCTCTTACCAGTCAGGGTGCATCCACACCATCCTAGAAAAAGCGGAACGGCCGGCGCGGCGTATCGGCATAACGACCTTGTATCGATCTCCAGCAATTGTATTGACTAAAATTTTTCGAAAATCATCTGTCAAAAATTTCAGCCAATAGAATTGCTGGAAATCGATACAAGGTCGTTACGCCGAAATGCCGTTCCGCTTTTTCTAGGATGGTGTGGATGCACCCTCAGGTAAGGGCTCTAACTCACTGACGACCAGGTCGCAACGGCCTGGCCGTCGACTGGCCGGATGTATTACGTTTATAGTTGCGGCCACATGAACGACCAGTTTCAACAGAGTTGTCAGATCTAACGTTTTTTTACGATTTTCCAATTAGAAAATATTGTTTCAGAAAGAATTAAGTTTCAGATTTTTTGTACATGACTCCAATACAACTAAAAAAAATAATTTAATAAAAAAACAAGTGGTTGTAGAAAAACTTTAAATATGATTTTTTTATTTTTTAACATCGAAACTCGAAGGTATAATAACAGGTATCATACCAACCATAAATAGAGTATGTCATATAAAAATATTTTGAATTTTTACTAGAATCGACGCTTGATAAAAAAAGGGACTAAATTTAAGTTTCCCTTTGATCCAGTCTGTATACTATTTCTTTGGATTTTTTGCACGTGTGCAAAAACTACACTAAAACACTATATCTTAGAGAAAATAAAATATTGTGCGTTGAATTTGAGGGATTTCGTATGAAAAATTATTAATTTGGAAGAAAACCGGCAACAAGCGGCAGAAAATTATATTTTAGTGCAGTCTACTGGTCGCAACGACCAACGGACGGCCAGGACGTTAGTGTGCGCGGTATTATTTGATTTAATGGTTTTAGAGGTAGCAGCGGCCTGGCCTGTGCGACGAGGCTGTGCGACCTGGTCGTCAGTTGTTCGAGCCTTAAGAGCGCTGTCATAGTGACTTTCCTAATAAATTTTAAATTAATAAAAGTAAAAATAATATTAACTAATTAATTACCAAACCAAACCTAACCTAATCTATCTATTTTAACTAAAATGTTTATAAAAGTACCCAAAAAAACATTAATAATGATATTAACATACTGTCAAGGTGTATTACTGGTTGCATAACTGCGTACTGCTGGATAGTCGCGGAGTGCATTGAGGAACCTGGCGCATTCGCCAGAAAGTAAAGAAAATTATAGAATTCTTTAGAAAAATCTAGAAACAACCGCCAGGGGGTATATAAGGCCCGCGCTTTGACAGTTGGACAAGTTTAAAGTCTAAAGTCTGAAGATAGTCTGAAGTCTGAAGTTTGAAAATACCGCGAAATACCGTTAGAGTAATAGTAGTTGCATAAATTGTGTTGTAAATAGTATAAGTTGTGTGTACAGGGTGAGACAAATAAATTCGTTAAGTATTTTATCGTGAGTTTAAATAGTGGACCCACGGAATCCGTAACAATACTTCGTTTTCAAACACAAGCCGTAGAATGCAATCCGCAGAAATTTGTCATCAACGATGTTTGATCAAGATAAAATGTAAATAATTTTGTCTCCTTTTAACGTTAGATATCTTTCAATTTAAACAACAGAATAGGTAAGAAAGCAATATTTCTTTGTATAAATCAAAAAATACAAATATACGCTTTGTATTAATATAAAAAAATTTAATAAACACTGACCTGTACGTAGAGCGGAACAAGTTTTTTGGGCCACTGATACTGCCACAGTTTGGACAGTTCAAACGTGAGCTCTTTTAACAAAACGATTACGTCCACATCCTTCCTCTCTTTAGTCCAAAATTTCATAACGTCCTCTTTTTCACGATCCGTTCCAAAATAGGCTTCAAAATTCACAGACTTTGGTGAATGAATTGGTGATAAAAAATTCAGTTCCTTATCTTCAACGTACATATTGTATATGTCCATTGTGTTCATTGAGTCTTCCCCTAAAATTAATAATTATAATAAAATGTCTTTGTTTCCAAGTCGTACAATTGAAAATAACTGACGGGATCATTCAGTTTTACAAAAATTGCCGTTTTGCCAACAATAGAAAAAAATATAAGTAAATATCCAGAAAATAATCTGGATACTATGTAACAGCAACTTTAATAAGTTAAGTAACTTCAACAATGGGAGAAGCAGTTATTGATTGGGATCGTGAAAAAGATTTACAACTATTTTTTTTGCACAAAGAAAATATTTTATAATTTTAATTTTATTGTGGGTTGAGTGTAAATGGCTATGTAGCATATTGCATTGTTTTAGCTTAAAAAAACTTGAATTATACGGCTTTTTTTGCGAGAGCGACCGGAGCTACGTTAATAAAGAGATGGCTATGTACGTCAATCATGGCCATAATAGACTGTAATTTTGCCTCATCACGAGATTTTTTGGAAATATTGCACTTCCATTTATCCGAATTTCTACTAACTTTTGACCTTTCTTTTCGGTCGCATTTCCCTCTATTTAATAATAAATAATTTAAAAAAACGCACAAATACTACTGGTAGTAAACAAGCTGTGGCAAAAATTTTCTATGCTCCGTGTAAACAAAAGACTATAGCAAATACTGTCTTTCGATTGAGGTACATAGCCATCTCTTTATTAAAGCAGCGCCGGTAGCTCTCGCAAAAAAGCCGGATAATTCAAGTTTTTTTAAGCTAAAACAATGAAATATTTTGAAAAAAGAGCTACATTATAACCAGGAGATATCGGCAATAATAATGTTTTTGTCATTTGATCAAAGTTCAGAATTTATCTGTAAAAATAGCGCTAAAACTAAAACCAAAGCTGAACATGCGCTAAAAACGGCGAGCGTTGTACTGACCATTTTTTTATTTATACTCGTTATTACTGCTAGTATAAACCGATAGACCTAAATTTTGAATATGTTGTAACTAAATGTATAACTAATTAAATGATAGTATTCATATCTGTCAGTTTTAAAATTTATAACAGAGATTTTTATCTCAAAGTTATAATAAGCTGGGGCAATGTAAACAAATCAAAAATATAAAAAATAATCCAGTTATTTAGGCTTGTCGGAAGTGCTAAAGACTCCTGAGTATTTCTATGCAAAAATCAACACGATACGGTAATTATTAACGAAATGACGGCAGGTTTAAAATTATTTATTTTGTTAATTCGGCGCGCAACAACGCGTCGCTGTCTCGCCTGCCTACTGGGCTGCCCGCGGCCACGCGCTAAGGTCGTTGTGCAATCCGGACGCTCAATTTCATTTCAGTTAACAAAGACGTTTATTATTATTTTTATTAAAAACCGGAATTATGGGATTGTGAAATTAAAAATTATTACTTAGGAAGTTTGACGCCGGAAATTCACCGGTCACTACCTGGTTCACCGCAAATGACAACTTTTGATTTTTAAAAGGTACCCTCGGTATTTTTTACCGTATATGATAGAAAATTACATTCTAAATAAAATGATATATCATGTCAACTTTTGACATTTTCGAGTTTTTTTGAGTGCCATGGCCATAAATAAATGTAACGACTGAATTTGACTCGAAATACCATGTATGTGGTACCAAATTATTCGTAAAAAAATGATTACTACAACAGTTAATTAATAGTCGACACAGATTTAGTATTTTAGCCCCCATATATGTATGTATATGTTGGATGTTGTTTTAAATATATAAATAAAAAATATATATAATATAGAATATAATATAATAAAGAAAACTTTATTTTTTTATTTATTTGTTAATAATTAATTAAGAAATAAAGAACTTACCACCCTGATTCAGTGATTCACTAGTAACTTTATTTTTTAACAAATATTTTGGTACAATCCTATTTAAAGCATCTTCTACAGTGAAATCTTTATTAGCTTTTTTTGGGGGCTTCCTCTTACTGTGCCATCCCCATATTTGCAACTCTGACAACACATCTCTTTTGCGTTTAGTCCCTTTAGGCCGGCCTCTCTGATTGGCAGTATCACCATTATCACCATCTGTCTCATCATTATCCAATTCCATATTCTGTTCCTACATGATATCATTCCATAGAAAAAAATATAATTTAAGTAAGACTTACCTCATCATTATCTGTCTGTATTGGTGTAAGATTATCTTGGTTATCATTGCCATTAGTGTTGTCACTTGTTTGAGAAAACCTTCTCTCAACAGTTGCTGGCTCACATCCATTTTTTTCTGGACCTGTAGTGTTTTCTGTAGAAGCTTCTCCATTCTTTAACTCTTGAGATTTCTTTTCTTTATCTTCAACCTCATCAGAAACTTTATCTGAATAATTTGAATGGACTGACTCATCAGCATGCTGGCTCATACATTTACTGAGATCCAGAAAAGTAAAATGGCTCTAAAAAAATTAAATTAATAAATTAAGGACTTGAGAATATGTAATATAGATACCATTTCATTGTCTGTAAGATATTGATGACAGTAGATTATAGTTTGTGCTAATGCTGTCCAAGTATACTCATCTAAAGATCTTGGTAAAGGTATGGTTTTAAAAGGCTTGGAGCATAAAGATTTTTCTATCTCATTAACTTTATCACATAATTTTTGAGCATCTTTTAATATCTCTTCTTCTTCATCTTTCTCAATTTCTACGTCAATAGGTGGTTCCCAAATACTACAAAAAATCTAAAGTAGTCTAAATATTACTTTAAACTAATAAAATACATACTAATCTGGATTATACAGCTGATAGTATTCTCTTGTAGCAGGATTGTCTCTGTATAGCTGTTGTCTTAAAACCAAGCCTTTTGTGTAATTTGGATCTAACATCAAGGCTTTTCCTATGTAGACCAAACATGATATTGTATCTTTAATTGCAAATAAGACTGATATAAGATTATCAAGACAAGGCCAGTGAGATTCGTTACATTCCAAGCCCTTAAAATGTTTAAATTATTAATTTGTTACATGAAAAAGAGTTAATAAAAACTTACTTTGGAGAAGGCGTATGAAGCTTTTCTGAATTTATTATCCTTCAAAGCTAATTTTCCGATCCTTGTCCATAGTGTAACATCAGTATGATCTAATTCTGAAGCCTGAAATAGTACATATTATAATTATATTTCTTCACTTATATCTAAGTTTACCAAAGTATAAGTTTCCAGAGCTCGAGATATATTATTCCGACTTAAATAGGTATTACCTAAATTCACATAGCAGGAATATTTCAATGTGGACATGGATTTAGGTAAACCACCATTATTTTCGAGTTTAGGAATATTCTCTTCGATAAGCTCTTTAAGGATTTGCTCAGAGACTGCATAATTTTTTTCAGCTATGGATCTTAAGGCCTTATTGTAATACTCCAAGACAACTTCTTCCTAAAGCGTTTAGTTTTTACATTTATTGTATTATAAAACGAAGAATATACGGTTTACCTGTGCTTCTCTACCGATAATAGGAATATCTTCATCTGAACTAGATTCTTGATTTAAAGCCTTTATTTTCAACATTTTTCTTATTTAATTACTCATTATCAGTTACCACTAATTCACAGAAGTTCCTATTAAAGAAAAATCTCTTAATTCTAAGTAATATTCATGGAAAATATTAAAAAACTACTTTACTTTTAATTCCTACTTGTTTTTGCATTTTTTAAAACTTGCCGAACTTTGACACTTTGTAATAACAAAAAAATTGAACAGATCAATGGAACAGATAAGGCGCGTTCGGTATTCACGTCCGACCGCTCGGATCGATCTCGATCGTTCGTTTATGACATCCAGATGTAGGGGAAGTAAATCTCAACCGTTCGGTAAATAAAATCGGAGCAATCGGACGGTGATCTTTTTGCTCGGAGAATTATGAGGGTGCAGCCACACTATCCTAAAAACGGCGTATCGGCGTAACGGCGTAATGACCTTGAATGGATTTCCAGTAATTCTATTGGCTGAAAAATTCATCTGTCAGAAATTTTATCTGTCAAATTCATCTGTCAAATATTTCAGCCAATAGAATTACTGGAAATCGATTCAAGGTCGTTACGCCGTTACGCCGATACGCCGTTTTTAGGATAGTGTGGCTGCACCCTGACGGAGCAAACAGATTAATTTGTTAGTGAGGTTAAATTTCCAAGTTGATGTCAAGTTTTAAATTGTTTATTTTGTTGCTTAATGCAAAACCACGTACAAAACTCAAAAAATAAATTACTGGTCCTTTTGTCTTTGAACGTTGAAAGATTTCAATCACAAAACATCCCCCTTTAGAACTTTTTCTTTATTGTCCATAAGCGGGAGTAAAAGACCAACCGCCCGAACAAACACTAGAGGCGCCACCGGTCATCAAATGGTGAAAAAATTGCGAAAATTTAATCATCTAATTTTGACACAAGGGGTCGCGCTTAACTTTTTTAATTTTAATTTTTATTTTAATTCAATATTCATTGTTTTCAAACTATATTATTATACTTTGTTGTATTTTGTGAATGTATAAATGTTTTCTTAGTATAAAGTTGCATTATATTAATTTAAATTATACTTACATATTTAAAATTTAAATATTATGACATATATGTCAGTTGCCGTCTACTTGATAACAAAAAGTTAGTTAATGTCAGAAATAGTTAAAATCATGTTAAAATATTAAAATTTACAAGTTATAATTAGATATTTTATATTATTTCAAAAATAAAAACATAATGGTACAGCGTTATGTTGATATGCAAGTCCAAAACAAAAAGTGCCGTTATATTTTTCAGTTTTCGTTGTCAGCCGCGGAAGTTTCAGTGATTTTAGTGTTTTCGGATATTTTTATTTGTGAAATAGAAATAATAAAAAAATAAAGGTAAAGGTGTGGATCCGGTGGCTGACCTTGAAGCCCATATTTGCTGCTTTTGATCATCGATACTACGCAAGCGCACATCGTCGATGTTGCCAAATTGCAGTTTATTTTCGAATTATTTGCAGTTGAAATTTTTTTTTGCGTGTTAATCAATAATAATACAAATTCTATAATTTCAGATTTATCTTTATATCCAAAATTAAGGTAAGAAGGATAATGAAGATTGTGAAATGAAAGTATTATAATATATAAAATTGTAATAATAATAACATTTATTTATATGTTTACATTTGAATTAAAATTTATCATTTACGGATTTTTTCTTAATGGTTTTAAACTTATTAGAATTATTTTATTTCTTTCAAGTTATTTAATTTCTAGTTATTTACAGGCAACAATATTTTTGATTATATGCATGTATTGATGTTTTGAAGTACTACCATGACGGGTCTTATTATAGAACAATAAACGTCAATCGGAGATGAGGTAACATTTTACCTATTATATAATGTTACTATGTAATATAATATACTTTGATTATAATTAATGTTTGTATCATAATTTCTTAAAAATATCAAGCATAGATATCAAGTTAGTGGATTTTATCGAAGAGTGTGTTGATAAGACTAAAATAAGCTTTATGTTTTATCTTTTTCTCTTTAGAAGGGAGATGGCTTGTATCGTAAAATACATTACAGTATTTAATATCGTATACTTTGTTATTCTTTTCTTAATTTACTGTAATTTCTTGTTTCCTATAATGCCAAATCTTGACAATATGGTGAAGGTTGAGTTTTGATCTTATTAGTTTTATAAGAATAATATAATAATAATAGAAATACAAGACTAAATTAAGACTTAGTTTGTGATTTATATTAAGATCTTTCTTATAATATTTGTTATGTCTTCATCTTAATACTATATTATGCTTGGTCTGGAATTTAAGTTGTTTAAATAATGTTAAAATATCTTAATTTTGCATATCCTATTCATCCTTCCATTAGGAAAAATATGGTTTATAAATCATATATGCTAAGAAAATCACATAAATTAGGTGTAAGAATACAGAAATCTTAATGTAGCAGAAAAATTAATGCAATATATGTATAAGCAGAATTAAACAAGGTAACTATTAATGTTGCTGAAGCTGATTCTACAATTTTAATTACGGAGGCTAAAAGGCCTTTTAAGGCCTCCGTAGTTTTGATGGAATGTTAAAAAAAATCTATTATGAACTTGACATGGAGCTACAGCATTTAAAAATTAAAAAAAAAAGAAAAAATTTGGACACATTCCTTTTAATTTCCCGAATTTTTAATAAAGCACTTTTTAAACGTAGCATTATAATCTAGATAGGAATCTAGAGTTTTATTTCTATATAATTTTATTGACTGAAAATACATAATAAGCATTCACGTGTTGTGCGAAATATTAAAATAATATACCGCGTACTATGATTGAAAAAAAAAATAGCGTCAGCAATGACTATGAAATGAAGATCGCTGTCATTTTATGGAAATGTCCTCAATTGTCATTTCCCAGACAACTGGACGCCGTTTTTTCAATCATACGGTATATATTGACAAAAAAACACGGAAAAGCACATATTTGTTTTCAACTGAAAATAATTCCAAAATAACTCACAATCTGGCAACATCGAAGATGTGCGCATGCGTAGTGTCTGTGACTATATGCAGCAAAAACTCGTTTCAAGGTCAGCCACCGGATCCACACCATTACCAAAATAAATAATTGCGTTTAGATTGCAAAACGAAAAGTGGAAGTTTTATTGCAATGTAAGTAAGCCTTTATCCATTTTATATTTTACTTTTTTCATACCTACGACAAATATACATATATTGAAATTTTTTAATTCGTTTTATTTAAAAAATGTTAGAAAACAAGCTTGTAATCCTGTAATTGACATAATTGTTATGTAATATATTCCATTTAAATGTAATATATTACTTTACAATTAAAAAAATGTAAATCTAAAAAATATATACAGGCAATAATTGAAATTTTTAGCGTGCGAACAAACACGAGAGGCGCTTTATTATTTACTTTCATTTCTTAACATGACAGAAGAAGTTCTAAAGGGGGATGTTTTGTGATTTCAATTGGGAATTGGGATTTCAAACTTGTCACATGCTTGTCACTTTTCCCTTAGCGATCCGAACATTCCAAACCGTTCGGTAATTTCAGGTTACTCCATCCAATCTGTGATCACGTGACAAAAAATCCGTCGACATCTGGATGTGATTACCGAACTTGGCTATAATAAAAAAAAAGGACCTGATCATATTTAAAGTGCTGTCTGAAGCAAAGTCAAGAAGCTATATTACGGTGAAAGAAGAAAATGAATCATATATAATTTTTGATTTAAAATAATATGACTGATTATGTTTTAAGGGTTGCCCGAAAATGAATGATTTTTTCCAAAGAACAAATATCATTTCAAATGTCATGGAACAAAATTTGTGGAACAAAGTGTCAATTTTTTTGTCGCGTTTCTGACCTGTGTTTCTGACGTAGTGAAAGGTTGCCGTGTTAAATTAACAAATTTTGTTTATTTATTGTCTTAATTTGGGTTTTTATTAATTTATTTGTGGTTTATATAAACAAATATAGTGCGAGCCGTTGTCATCAAATCCGTAATTTTGAGTTGACGATTATTGTTGACTAAAGACTTGAGATAGCCCAGCCCACCTTAAGGTATGTGTGTGTCTCTGACGTAATTGTTTTGATGTTAGAAATTATTTAGCTGAAAGCAATTTTATTAAATTCCAATTTAAAATAAAAACTGGTATTCCCAAACATGATATTTTGCGAACAATATGTTTGATTAGTTCTTTGACACATTTTAGAATTTTTTTTGTTTACCTCGCTCTATGAATAAATTAGCTTTGATTATAAAGTAAAATTTTCTAAAAATGATATAAAACATGTATAAAACTGATGACCACCGTCCTTTTAGATTATTGATTAATTTTTGTTGTTAAGGTTGTTTTGAACTTTGTATATTAATAATTATAGATTCTTAAATTTTCATATTTCTTGTTTTATTAGTAATATTCCCTGTTGGTGGTTTATTTTTATCTCCTTAAGTAATCAACAAGTTGAAACTTGTTTGTGATATATTTGTTTAGCCAATGCTGATTCATTTCTCTTGAGATAATCTTCAATTGAATGCAATAAAACGATCAATTGAAGCATTTAACTGTTGAAAAATAAGAAGTAAGAGCAACATTAGTCAGATAATTTTATTTTGTTTAATCACAGTTGCATATTAATAGTTTAAAATTATTTTTATCTCTTTATTCCTTTGTCGGTTAGTTAACTACAGTCTTTATAAACAAGATAAGAGGTCCTACATCATTATTTTCAATTTATAGTATTTCAATTGATAAAATATTATGCTGTCTATTCAAAATTTATTTCATTAATAAATGGATAGAGGTATCTCGAAGTTGTGTTCTTGTTTTTATTTTGTTTGGGTATATTTTTCAGGCTCAAATTAGGATTTAGGATGTAAATCACATGGTGCTTTATTTTTTCGTACCTGATCTACTTACTATATTTTCTATACACATGGAGCACAATAAAAAGCATGAAAAGTGCTCCTGCGAAAACTTGGACACGTCCTTGGAAAGCGATAGCAGCAATTCTGAATCTCCCCAAACTTCAAAAGAGAAAAGAAGCAAAATTAGCCTATTTGGCAGAGCAAAAGCCCTACATTTCAATAAGAGAAGAAACAAGAAATCATCTCAAAACTCTCTTAATTCTTGTGGTAATAATATAATTTTTTTTGATTATTTTTATGTTAATTGTTATTAATTTAAAGGCGCTTCGACAAGTTCTATCAAGAAATCTCAAAAATGGAGTCTAAAACTAAGCTGTACAGGTAGAAAAACTCACAAATCTTCTTCCAGTACTCAGGAAAGTTCAAACTGTTGTAAATGCAGTTGTTTCAATAGATTCAGTGATGTAAATGCCTCTTCTATACCTGATACTGATTTAGAAACGAAAACTTTTCAAGAAGAAACCAACAATACCTCTTCATCAGAAGGTCTTGTATTTATTGTTGTAAATAGATAAAAATTATTAATTTATATGGATTTTTAGATGGTATCAGTACAAATAGTGCGACTAGCGAGACAATCCGCGAAGAACCTGTTAGAAATGAACCTGAAATTCCTCAGGTTCATATCGAACAGGCTGAAGGTATTAGAGGAATTTACAGTACTGCAATGTCCGGCAATGGCACTCCATCTAGTATTGTCATAAGCGCGCCATTTATAGATGGACAATGGTATGTTTATTTTTATTTTACTGTGTAAAATCAATGGAAATACATGGACCTATAGCGTGGAATTCACTCACAGATATGCCCGGCAGATCTACCCGGCGGGACACCCGGCAGTTAGATCTGTGAGTGTATTTCATGCGTGTGGGCACGATCTGCCTGCCCGCCGCCCGGCCTTCTCGGCTCATTTCGCAGACCGGGCAGAGGCACATCGGCAAGTGAATGTAAGTTGTGGGGCCAGGCGCCAGGCAGCCGCGCAGCCGGCAGTGTCAGTGAATCATCAACTGAAATTGTCCGGAAAGTGTGGGCCCAAAATACAGTTCCCGCCAAGTAAATCTGCCAGGCATATCCGTGGGTGAATTCAAAATCACATACATGCCCGCCGGGTAGATTTGCCGGGCATATCTGTGAGTGAATTCCACGCTTATAACACTAGAAACCAAATTGTTACCAGTTGACACCAAAACTATTTGGCCAGTGCTGTGCCAGACAGTTAATATAAAAATATTATATAAATAATAAATAGGGCAGAATTAAATGGAAATTGCAATTCTACTTGTTTCACAAATAATGTTATAAATTATTCTATGGTTTTTAATGAATTATTCAATTTTTTAGCTCTGAAAATTAGTTTGTAAATGGGATCAAAATTTAATTTAATACTTACTGTTACAAATTATTAGACATTTAGTTATAAATAATTTTTAGTTATTATTTATTTAACATTTTGATAAGAAGTTTTTTTTTCTACGCATATGGTGGATGCTGCTTTTTGGGTGGTGTAATGCAAATTATTTAAAGAAAAGTTATTAAAACGTTCACAAAACTAGTATGGTCTATTGTGCCCAATGTAGCAAATATTGTACAAATAAATTGTACAAAATTCAATAAAAAAAAACTAAAAAGGTGGAGTGCAGGAAATTAACTGTTTGTTTATTTACTTAGAAATGTAATTCCTGGCACTTTCTTCTCGCTGCGGCTTTTACACTTCGACAAATCACCATTGTAATAAAGTTTATACAAAGGTCACTAGCCACTATATACAACCACAGATTATAATCTTTGTTTTTTCTTTATTGTTTTTCGTGGTTCCAATTTTCGGAATCGGGCACTAGTTAGGTGACTAGTTTGCGCACATAGCACGCCCACTTATGGCCTCTAAAATTGTGCACAGCGCCTGACCGGCACAGTTATTAGAGAGATATCGGAAAACCGAATAGCGTCATCCAGTATTTACGCGTACCTTATCATGGTTACGATATGCGCGAGTCAATTTTTAACGCAACACCCGCTAATAACGTTACCGCCTGACGTAATTTTTCTAAATAACCTCTGATAACGTTTATAAATTGCTTAAATTGGCATATGCGGGTATTTGACAACCGGAGCCGGCCGGCGAGATCTTTTATTTTAGGTTATGTTTGAGATGTTTTGAATTATTGCTTTAGTTTTATTAGGTAATTTGATATTTAAGTAGCTGGGATTAGTTTTAATTAAATAAATATGGCCCAAAATATGGATTCCACCTCTTCCAATACTAAAGAACCTATAAAGAGTCCGAGGGGTGTCTCACTTGGGTAAAAAATGTACACGTACTGCCAAAATATCCTTCCACTTCTAAGCGACTGCCAGTGACTATGAAAAGACTGCCTATGACTGCCATGTAATTATTATAGGCGACTGCCATAAGACTGCCAATGACTGCCAGCGACTGCCAAGAAAATGTACATGTAATTCCAACCCCTCGTAAGAGTCTTAGGTTTACAGCAGATGACGACTTAGCCCTTCTAAGAGAATTTGTTGCTTGTTGCCCTAAACCCACTGGCAGACGTTGAACAATACAGCACTTTAGCCCTTTAGTTTTAAAATACTAGTAAATAAAACAATTTCAAAGTTTTAAATTCAAAGTTAGGTTAAGTTTAAATAGCGGACGCGACGTGATCAGAATTCTTTCCGATCCGATAACTATAAATGAAGAGAGTTAATACCTGTGGTTAATACCACCTCACGTAAAGGAAATAACACCTGGCCTTATTAACGTCCATGCACGCTATTCGGTTTAGCGATATCTCTCTATTACTCTGTTTATTGTTATTTTACGCGAGTTTATTTTTGCGCACAGGAAATTTGACTCGTTTGCACATCGTCATAAAAAACAATTTTCGTACCACGAATTAGGGACAAGATTTTTATCTGTATACTTAGAGGATACCTAATCTGTGATATAACTATTAAAAATCGCTAAAATTTGTACCAGGTGACGCCTTCTTTGTTTGGCATCAAAAAAATGGCGTTCTATAATTTTACACAAATACGTTTAAAATAAAGTATACGGAGGGTACCGCTTAAATTCCTGTCCCGATGTTGAAGGATGGCTATAGAATTTCAATGCATTTCCTACATAAGTCTATCCTTGTGTTGTAGGAGGTTTGACTAAACAAGGATGAACCTATGTCTTGAAACCATTGGACTCGATTTTCTGTCCTCCTTCAATACTGGGACGTAAATCCTCTCATTGCTCTTATGGGGAGGCCGTCGTATATTTTTATTTAAACGTATTTGATTTTACATCACGTATGTTGTTCTCCAGCCCGTATATGCGCGTTACACGTCCTTGTATTTTTTATTCATTGTGTATAATATTGTTTTTAGGATGAGAATGGTACATGAAGATTGCGATGAGGCTGCCCGAATAGCTCGAGCGAGAGAAATAGAACAAGGTGTGGATCCCCCAGCTAATTTCAGGTCAGTGAGGAGACTCCAGCTGCTCTGTTCGGATTCTGAATCGGAAAATGGACAGTCGCAAGCACCACCAAGAAGGTTCTGAACCTTTCTAATTGATTGTATAATGTAAAATGTTTTTATTCTATTTTTTTTTGCTAGATTGCAGTTGGTGTGTCCTCCCGATTTGAACGTGGAGTCTTTGAGAGCGCTGTTCCAGAATCACGTCACCTTGAGGTCTTGTCCTTTGGATACTATTACGGGTTGTCATACTCAGGTCGATTTTATACACTGTCTGGTGCCAGATTTACTCAATATTACGAATTGTAGCTTTTATTGGGGTAAGTTAAGTAACTCAACACACTAACACACCACTTAAAAACCACTAAAATTTCATAATATTGACGAACTATTAATTTCTGATAATGTTTTTTTGGCTTTTACCATTTTATCCAAAAACTGACTTGTCCCGCTTTGATCTTTTCTTCAATGCTTTCAGATGTCACGTTTCTTTAAGTAACAAATATAAATAATACGATTAATCTTAATAGTGAGACAAATCAGAATGAGATGAGAAAAAAATGTATTTAATTTGAAAGTTTTCTAATTTTAATTATTGAATAAGTATCTCAAAACAAATAAAAATAAGTTTGTTTACGTGCTCCTAATAAATTTTGATAATGAGAAATATATTACGGTTTCATAAACTAGTTTTATTCCGATAAATGTTATATATATTATTGTATATAATATAATTCATTTGAAAGTAGTAGTCACGTCTTTATAAATTTAAAAGGCAAAATTTACCTTTATAGGAGAGATTATCATGCTCCATATTCTTTTGTTAATTTTTGGCTAACTGTATTTTGAAATTGTCCAACTATACGTTTCTGATATTTAAGAAATAATTAAACTGTGCTGAAAAATGCAATTCAATATTGATTAAAAGTTACTTCGCCGTTTACGTTCAATTTTTAACCTTGGTTTGAAAGTGTCGGGACGAAAACAAGCCATGATTATGAAGTATGTATTCCTTTTCAACGTTGAACACTATAGTTGTATTAAAAAATTTTTTTTTTACTTAGAAAAATATGTAGATTTCACAGATAATAAAGTCAAAATTTATACAGGGTGTTTCAAAAAACATGTGCCATCTCTCGTGGGGAGACTCGTCACGTAAAAATAAGATTTATTTTTCATATCAATATACTACGTCCGATTCTGCTTTGTTGCATAGCTACATTATAATTTTTTTCCAAGTACTTTTAGTGACTCAAATAAAATTTTGAGAGTAAATGTTACTACAAGTGCTACATATTTTAATGCTAAAAAAGTGTCGATAAATTCATCAGGGACGTGCATATGGGTTATCATTGGAATATTTTTCAAGAAAAACTTGCGCCACTTTTTTCTTTTGATATCAAAATTGTGTAGGCCGTTTAATGCCAATTAAAAGATATCTCTTGATATATTGTCGAATTCGGCCTCCTTGATGAGATAAAAACGCAATTTTATTAATCACAATTAACTGCAATTAATAAAATAAAATTAGTAAGTTATATATTTTACCTTATTATTAAATATTAGTTGTAATTATTAGTATAACCTACGTACAGCAATTTTAAATAAAAAAATAATGGTATTTAAGGATTTTAAAAAAACCTAATTTTAAAAAGTTTTAACATCCTGTAACTCTAAAACTATGCATTTCCATACCCATGTTTATAGGAACTTTTTCCATATTTTTTGATGAGGTATCAATGAGTACTTATTTAAAACTTTCGCAAGTAAATGATATTAATATTTTTTAAAGGTTGTTATTAGACTTGGATCAAGACAAATTAATAAAATTGCGTTTATCTCATCAATGAGGCCGAAATCGACAAAATATCAACAGACAACTTTTAATCGGCATTAAACTGCTTACACTATTTCGCTAACAAGAGAAAAAGTCAGTGGCATACAGGCTTTTTTAGGAAAAATATTCCAGTGATAACCCATATGCACGTCCCTGTTGAATATGTCGACATTTTTTTAGCTTTTAAATATGTCTCATTTATAGTAACTTTTACCCTCAAAGTTTCATTGGAAACGCTAAAAGTACTTGGAAGAAAATTATAAAAAATCGAAAAAATATTAAGACTAACACCCTGTAGCTACGAAACAAAGCAGACACGGTGACAACTCCTGTTGGAACTCAAAAGTTATCGTTCACTAAACGATTCTCTCGTGGTTGGAACGCTTTTTCTCCACTGCGCAGAAGCGTTACCGTACCGAGTACGGTTCTCTCCGTCGCGTCGTTGGAACGAAGCTATTAGCTTCACTACTGTGACTCTCAGGGATCTTCTCTTTGGACAGATGATACCTAATATGTTGCAACCTAATATGCGACAAAATAATGTATTTTATTCGTTTTTCATTTCGTTGCCAGGCAAAATGGACCGATACGAAGCGGAACGCCTACTCGAAGGCAAGCCCGAGGGCACCTTCCTCCTGCGAGACTCCGCCCAAGAGGAGTTCTTGTTCAGCGTCTCGTTCCGCAAGTACAACCGGTCCCTGCACGCGCGCATCGAACAGTGGAACCATCGCTTCAGCTTCGACTCGCACGACCCGGGCGTTTTCACCTCGGACACGGTCTGCGGCCTCATCGAGCACTACAAGGACCCGAGCAGCTGCATGTTCTTCGAGCCGATGCTCACGTGGCCCCTCCACAGGAACTTCACCTTTTCATTGCAGCACCTGGCCAGGGCCACCATCGTGAACAAGTTGACATACGACAACATTAACCATCTGCAATTGCCCAAGACACTGAAGACGTACTTGAAGGAGTACCACTATAGGCAGAAAGTGAGGGTGGAGAGGTTCGACGATGACGTGCAGTGGTTGGAGTTGAGGAACATGCCGCCTTGATTAGGAGGAGGTGGGTTGGTGTACTGTCTGCATTTTGGGTTTAGTTGAATATATATATTGAGAAGGTACCATATGATCGAATAAAAACGGCGTCATTTCCAAGCCAACTGGACGCCGTTTTTTTTTTCGATCATACGGTATTTATTCACTAAAGCGAAGATATTTTACGGTAATTTTGACGTTTATCAGTTCTTGTAGGTTATGTTCTGTCTCGATGTGTTTTAAATCTTAAAATAGGGCATTTCGCACTACTGAACTGGAAAATTAAAAGTTTGTGATGATATTAATTACATACATCGAATAAAGAATAAAAAGGAAGGAGGCTTTCTATATTTCACCTACAGAAGAAACGGGGACGGAAGTCGCCATATTGGAAAACCTCTGATGACAGTGATGACAGCCTTTGGTTCACGTCGGACATGCATAGGCGTAACAACATGGGGGCCCGTAGGTACAGGGTCCACCCTTCTATTCATCCTTTTATTCTTTATTCATTGATTACATATGAAAGTTGGAGGATTTTTCGATTTCTAAGTGTTCGTTTTTAAAATATCCTTCACTTTCTGTCACTTCCGGTTTAATCGGAACTGGCTGTCATTTGGCTTATTTTATATAGAACACTCTCTATATTTTTTGACAAAGACAAGCAACATAAATTTATGAAATTGTGCATAACTCACAAGAATACTGGATTTTTGAAATTACATTGAACTAAATAGATATTTTCCCTATAATATATCGCTTTAGTGAATACATATCTTTATTTTTTTAAATGGCGAGTTCATTTACATCACTCTGGTGTATTTAATGTTTTTTTTGGATTAAATAAACAAATATGCGAAAAAAAATTTGGCATCCTAGAAGAATAAACCCGTATATTTATTTATTCAATTTAGGCCTTTACAGACCTTTCTTTGACGTAATTTATCACTAAAAAACTTTGTTATACTAGGGGCTTTTAAATTAAACAGAAGTAAAATTACTGATTTTTTTAATAGCTTTAATATCTGCATTATAAAAAATTGTAGTTTGATGCAAAAAAAAGGATTTAAATAGGTACATATATTAACTTAAAAATGAGTTAGTGGTCGCTGGATAGGTATTTTTTACAATTTAACTTGTTGAAGATTAAATCTAAATCGTTTAAATAATTACTTCAAATTTTGGAAACAAGTTAAATAATACTTTGTACTTTGACTTTGTACCTGACTCATTTAAACGTTTGTTTAATTTTATTTAAATACATCTTATTTGCAACAACCTGATATTTACATTAATAGGTATAAATATAAATTATTCATCTTTATTTTTTAGGAAAAACTATTTTTTTTATTAGAAAAATTTAATAAAAAAAACGAAAAATGTACTTTTTTGTCGCAAATAAGCCAGATATTCTTAGATTTATATTGTTAAAATACTCGAAAAGTGATGAGCATATGATTGAAAAAGTGCCAAAAATAAATCGTTTTTTCAACTGTATTCACAAGTGCAATGACAGAATATTATTATTTAAATAAGAGAACTATTTTTTTTTAGAAAGTTTGATAGTAGTATACTTTTAATTATAACACCATCGATTGTGAAACTTATTTTTTTTTGTAATTGCGTAATTGAAATATCGGAATTGAGAAAAAAATTGGTATATATTGTGTAATAAATACTATATACAGGAAATGGAGGTCTGTCTAACAATTTTGTTGTCACCCTGTATTTTTCATTTTTCAAATTATGCTTGCTGAAAATTGTTTAAAAATTGACAGTATTTCCAAATAACAAAAAAAGTTTATTTAAAAAAACAGACAGTCTAGTATTAATTGTATAAAATAAAAAAATATATATAATTTACCTCAGTATTTTTTCATTCTAATATCATTTAAATTATAGGAAACTCAAAAATTGATAGATATGATATTCGATAATCACATTAGTTTTATTAACGCAAAATGATTTGTCCAAATTTTGTTACGATTGTTTAGCAGAATTGTGTAAATATAAAGATTTTAGAAAAAAAGCGGTGTTTTTTTTATAAATTTAATATAGGGTGATCCATGAAAAAATTAAAAACTAAATTTGAGCTTTTGATGATTTATTAACAACTTCATATTTAAACCTTCTTATAAAAAGTCTATAAACTAATAATTGTAAAACTATTTCTTTTCACCATCTCACTAAAATAAGTCTAATATAACCTTTATATCCTTTCACAAACCAGTTTAAAAAAAATATATTTTCCATATTTACACATTCTTATCCTTTTTTATACCAGTAAACTTTCATAAACATTTGCACACAATGTTTGTAATTTCTCGTTTGTCCTTAAATCTTGAAGGAGATTCTGTGGCAACGATGTTCTAGACAATAGACCATTTAAAATCGGTATTAATTTGGCTAGAGGTTTTTTATTCATCAAGGGATTATTAAATTGTGTTGCCGCCCTTGGCAATTCTTTGATTTTTGGTTCGCTTTGATCAAAAAATTCAGAAAGCTGATCAGACAACAGCATGAATCCCCTGTTTGTTAGGTGAACAACCACATATTTTACTTCTTCGCTTTCCAGAAGATCTACAGTGTCTTTTAACTAAAAAGAAAATTATTAGAAATACTGTATAATCGAAAAAAAAAAATGTTACCATAGAACTTAGCAAATCATCTGAAGTAGGGACGTCCCTCTCAAAAATAAAAGACTTTAAATTACATACTGGCCCTTCTTCATCTGAGTCTAAACTGCCTTGCAAAGACCAAAAAATTGTTTCCAGGTCGCTTAGTTTCATTTTTTTACCTAATTCTACATTTTCTGTAATGCTGGACACCTTTAAAATTGAATGTACGTAAGAAATCACTTTTTTAACACATATGAAAAATTACCAACCTTGTTCTCTATAGTATTAGCTAATTTCTTAACACCTACATTGATAAAATGCTGTGAAAGTGATAAATAACTTTCTTGCATATCAAAGGGAATACTGGTAGGGTCTTTATATAAATAACTTCCAACAATGTTTAACTGTAATTTTAGCAGAACGACTAGTATCACCAAAGAATATATAATACAGGCAGCTTGAATAAAAACTTGATTCTAAAAATCAGATATTTAAAAAGAAAAGAATCAAAGATTATATCATGTTAGAATACTTTTAGCTGGTTCCATAGTTCCACTTTATTTTTGGGATTACTCTTAAGTGTAAGGATAAGATTTTCTGTATTTACAGTTTCATACATCTTGTCTAGTAGTGATGCAGATATATTTAAGGTAGTTTCACCACAAGTGTTGTTTATGGCTTCAAAATGGTTTTGTTTGCGAGCTCTTTCGATAAATTCGATTGCTTCCTTTTTCTGCCATTCTCTCATAAAATTCTCTACATATCGAACTGCAAAAACAGAACCTAAAAAAAGACACATTAATTAATATTTTAAGAAAGCTTATGAAATAATGTTTTTGGTATATATTTACCGGCTATAAAAATTCCTCCAATAAGAAATTTCCTCTGGTGTCTGTTCATGAAGTCTTTAATTTTAGAAAACACCGACATTTTATTAGAAGTTTTTCGTTAATATTTTAGCTTACTGCTTATTCTTAATACTCGTTATCCCAGCTTGAACTCGTATTACCATTATTTCAGATATCTTATGTAAAAAACGCATGTAAAGGTTTTAAAATCGAGTTTTTAAAGTTTATAGTTTTTTAATAACAACCAAACCCGACTTAGACATTTTTAATTTTAATTTGTGATTTTAATCATATATAAAGGAATATTTTAATCAAAATGACATCGTGCGTCATAACAATAAAGAGGCTAACTTTGGTTTGGTTTGTTGGATCATATATGTTTGTTGGATGGTGATCAGTGATCATATATGAATAGTGCTGGCTGGTGGGCGTTGAAAAAACGCGGAGCCATGTAGTCAAGTAACGGTAAATGTGCAGGGTTCGGAAGTAGTTAACTAAGACGTAATTTACCTGATTAAATACGTGTAGTTTTTCTTCAAAAACTACGTTTTTTCCCGTTCATTAACTACATGAAAACTACGTTAATAAACTATGTATTGATATTATGAATAGTTTTCCTTTGTATGAGGTGTAATAGAGATAATATGATGTAAATATTATATTTAAAGCCATATTTCTTCTGTTTTCTTAAATACATAATGTGTTTTTAAAGCTTCAATTTATTATAACCTCACCTCAAACCTTTGACATTTGAAAGTTACATACATAGGTTACATAAACTACATCCTCTACATAAACTACATTAACTACATGTAATGTAGTTTATGTAGTTTTTAAAAGTAACATGTAGTTTTCCGAACCCTGTAAAGGTGTGGATCCGGTGGCTGACTTTGAAGCCCATATTTGCTGCATTTGATCATCGATACTACGCAAGCGCACATCGTCGATGATGCCAAATTACAGTTTATTTTCGAATTCTTTGCAGTTCAATTTTTTTTTGAGTGTTAATCAGTAATAATACAAATTCTATAATTAACTTTATAATTTGAGACTTATCGTGATATCCAAAATTAAGGTAAGAAGAAAAATGAAGATTGTGAAATGAAAGTATTATGAGTATATAAAATTGTAATAATAATAACGTCTGTATTTATATATTTACATTAGAATTAAAAATTATCATTTACGGATTTTTTCTTAATGGTTTTAAACTTATTAGAATGATTTTGTATCATCAATATGACACATTATTTATTACATCCAAGTTATTTAATTTCTAGTTATTTACAGGCAACAATAGTTTTGGTTATATGTATTAAAGTACTACCATGACGAGTCTTATAGAACAATACACGTCAATGGGAGATAGAGGTGACATTTTACCTACTTTGATTATAATGTTTGTATCATAATTTCTTAAAAATATCAAGTTAGTGGATTAATAGCAATTTTAGACAAATATTTTATCGAAGAGTGTGTTGATAAGACTAAAATAAGCTGAATAAGTTTTATGTTTTCTCTTTTTCTCTTTAGAAGGGAGATAGTTTATGTCGTAGAATACATTACAGTATTTAATATCGTGTACTTTGATATTCTTTTATTAATTTACTGTAATTTCTTGTTTCCTAAAATGCCAAATCTTGACAATATGGTGAAGGTTGAGTTTTGATATTATTAGTTTTATATATATATCTATGTTTATACAAGACTACAAGACCAAATTAAGACTTAGTTTGTGATTTATATTAAGATCTTGCTTATAATATTTGTTATGTCTTAATCTTAATACAATATTATGCTTTGTCTGGAAAATAAATGCTAAAATATCTTAATTTTGCATATCCTATTCCATCCTTCCATTACGAAAAATATGGTTTATAAATCATATATGCTAAGAAAATCACATACATTAGGTGTAAGAATAGATTGCTACCGAAGGTAGCAAAAAATTAATGCAATATATGTATAGCAGAATTAAACAAGGTAACTGTTAATGTTGCTGAAGCTGATTCTACAATTTTAATTACGGAGGCTAAAAGGCCTTTTAAAGCCTCCGTAGTTTTGATGGAATGTTAAAAAAAAACTATTATGAACATGACATGGAGCTACAGCAATTAAGAATTAAAAAAAAAATAAAAACTTGAACACATCCGAATTTTTAATGAAGGACTTTTTAAACGTAGCATAATAATCTAGAGCAATTAGATTAATTATGGGAAACTAGAGTTTTATTTCTGTTTAATTTTATTGACTATGAAAATACATAATAAGCGTTCACGTGTTATGCGAAATATTAAAATAATAATATAAATAATATACCGGCGTACTATGATTGAAAAAAAATAGCGTCAGCGATGACTATGAAATGAAGATCGCTGTCATTTTATATGGGAAATGTCCTCAATCGTCGCGTCATTTCCCAGCCAACTGGACGCCGTTTTTTCGATCATACGGCATATATTGACAAAAAAACACTGAAATGCACATATTTGTTTTCTACTGAAAATAATTCCAAAATAACTTGCAATCTGGCAACATCAAAGATGTGCGCCTGCGTAGTGTCTGTGACTATATGCAGCAAAAATTCGTGTCAAGGTCAGCCACCGGATCCACATCATTACCCAAGTACCCCCTGGCAGCAAAAAGGAGACGTTAACTGAAATCTTTTTGTTTAACTAGCTAGAAGAAGAATGAAATATAAAAATGTTCCCTGAAAAACCTTGGCAAAAGAATTATACTTGGCCGAATAGCCCTGGCAGCTCAGGCCGTTAAACTAAAATACTACTATAAGAATCATATATAAAAATGTTCCTTGCACGACCTTGGTAAAATTTAGTAACTAACTTCAGCCGATTTATCTTCAAAACAAACATGGCTAGTGTGACGATTGAGAATTCGGAAGTGATTCCAGCAAAGAAATTAAAATTAGATACAACGAATGGAGAAACTCTTCACGAAAATATAAAAGACTTATCAGACTTTAAAATCTCGAGCGTTTTACATAACAACACAAACAGAAAAACGGTCAGTTTAAGAGGAAACTTCGAATCGAAAGTGGGAGAAGCCGTTGTTATTTTAGAAAAGACCGCGTTCTCCGCAGATGGTTTATCGAATTTTACGGATAACGGCCAGCTAGAGAAAGTTTTTCACAACGATATCTACGGAAATTATAAATATTTCCCTGTTGTCGAGCTAAATAGTAAAGTTAAACCCGTATTTATTTCAAAGGAATAATTTCTAACCTTAGAATTCTTTTAGGTATTAAAACAACTATTATTCATCCTGCTACAGAGAAGCACATTATTAAATATTCGTCTCAGAATACGTACATGGTGGATGAGACACCGGATATCTATAACAAGTTTGTGTTGCCCCATCTCCTAGAAGAAAAATTTGATCTAACAGTAAGCTTTTCTCTTTTTTTTTATAGATAAAATTTCATTTTTTTTTTCTCTTAAAGTGGGTTTACAATATTTTGGAGCACGTTTCTGAATCAGACAGAATCCTTGTCGAAGATCCAGACCCAATAAATGGCTTTGTTATGGTACCTGATCTGAAATGGAATGGTGAAATTGATACTTTATACTTCCTGGCTATATGTAACAATAGAGATATTAAGTCTGTTCGAGATTTAAGTGCTGAACATATCCCATTGCTTGAAAATATAAAGGAAAAAGGAATTGTGAGTAAAGTATTAATGTCTGTTTCTTGCGTAAGTAATTGTTTTGTTTTTTTAGAATGCTATTGAGTCAAAATACGGACTAGATAGTTCACAGTTGAGGATTTATTTCCATTATCAACCCTCTTTTTATCATCTTCACGTACATTTTACCTACCTCAAACATGAAGCTCCAGGTATACTGGCAGAAAGAGCTCATATGCTTACTACAGTGATAAACAATATAAAATTGGTCCCTGACTATTATAAAAAGCCACTATACCCTATGTTGTTCGAGAAAATGATAAATTATTCTTGAAACTAAGTAAGGAAGGTATTTTAAAGAAACAAGAGAAAAACAGGATGATTGAGTCAGGATTTATAGAGTATCGACCTAAGTTGCAAAGCGCCAATCTTTTTATTAAACTTGCTAAAAACTATTCAGGAAATTTTAAAGTAAATTTGTTTGAGGATAATTTTGAAATTAAAAAAAAAACAACATTTTTTGGTAGATTTTAAGAGATTTAAAGCTATTCCTTCAACTTTATCATCTTTAAAAATTTCAGAAAATAATATATCTTGTATTTTTTACCAATTCTTCTGATAGGGGTAGTTTTAAATCTGAGGTCCTTCAAAAAAATGGTTCTTCTTCCAGTATTGTTTTGAAAAATAGATATTTTTTTGAAAAAAATCTCAATTATATGGTCAAATGTAAGAGTTGTGAAAATAATTTAAATAATAATGTAATAACTTTTGAAAGAGTCTTACCATTACCATAGAATACAAATAAATTTTTACCATAGAACCAAATAAATCTGACATTTTTTATTCAAATTGTTTTATACATCTATGTAAAGAAAATATTCAAAATATTAGAGAAAAAGATAATGTAGTTGTATGTAAATTTTGTTTAGCATGGTTGGGCGTAATTTATAAACAAAATACTTTAAAATTCTGGCTAAATACCATGTATTTTCTAAGTAAAAATGGCAAAATTCAAACGGATCCATTACAGGATGTTTTTATATCTATTAAGGGTGTTTTACAAAATAATTTGTTCAATTCTGTAAAGACAATTTTAAAATATACTATTTCGGACACAAAATCTAATCACTTGCTTATTTGGATTTTGGAAAAAGAATTGAATCTAGCACTATACGAAGGAGGTAGTGTACATTTTTTATCTGTTGCCAAAGTTCTGTTTAAATTCGTCGAAAATTCAGATTATGCAATCCTCTTGCAGTGGAAATCAGAGGTAAACGTAGATATTCTAGAAATTTCAAAACCTATGATGCTTGAAGTGCTACAGCATTTATACAAGTATAACAAAATTTTTCCTGTAGAGTTTTCGAAAACAAACGATTTTTCTATTTCTTATTTAATGTTAAGTTGAAACCAAAAAAAAAAATGTTTTTTAAGGTCACTGTGTTTTTTAGATTTTACGATATTTTTTCTTTAGTTAAAGAAGTTTTGTATAAAACAAAAGAATAGTGTATTTCTTTATTGTTACAAAATAAATAAAAAAATATTTTTTTTCTCATTTTAATTTTTTTTTTGTATAAATATAAATAAATACAACTCATTAGGTTGAAAAAATATATTTTTTTCTCATTTTAATTTTTTTGTATAAAAAAAATAAATACAACTTATTACAAAAAATCATTTTTTATTTCTGTATAATACATATAAAAACTTGTACTATAGTCAATGGTTCGATTAGCTTCCTAAAAAAAAATTAAAAAATTACAGAAAGAATGTTTTCTTTTTGCATCTCTTTTTTGCTGTTGACATTGGCCGTTTGTATTAAGGCTTTTATCACTTCTTTTCCTAAGGCGCGTGCCATCGGCGGTGGTACGGCGTTGCCAACTTGTCTGTGTTTGTCCAGAATCTTCCCGTTGAATTTAAATCTATCGGGGAATCCCTGCGATCTAGCGCATTCCCTCACGCTGACAACCCTGTTTTGTTCAGGATGCAACACTGGAAAATTTATAGAAATGCGATATTTCTTTTATATTTGACAGATATTTTACTGTAATAAACTACAGTATGTCTCCTGATTGTCTTTGCAAGAGGAAACATTTTTTATTATGGACATTTTGAGAAAAACGCCTTCTTCATAAAAATGTTTGCTTGTTCCAAAATTGTGAATCCCGTTTAAACCACAGGTTTAAACTTCCAAATTTCCATACCGTTTTAGAGAAAATTAGAAAAAACATGAAAATATAGTTGAATTTTTGTTGAAGTCCTAATATTTAAAAGGCGTTTCTATGGTAATATGATGGTAATTTAATTTCGATTTCATTCTTTGATAGATGGTTATTAATTTTGATTAACGTCATATTTTTTGATGCTGTTAAAGTATCATATTTCTTTCCGTAGCACTTAACTAAATAAATTTTCTGCTTCTTTAACATTTTAAAAGAGCAAAAAATATGACGTTAATTAAAATTCTATAAATAACAATATACATATATTAAAAAATGAAAACTAAATTATATTACCATAAACACCTTTTGGTTTTTCGGACTTTTCAACTTAACGAAGCGGCATGGAAATTTGAAAAATTATAAACGGGATTAACCATTTTAGAATAAGCAAAAATTTTCATGAAGTATATTAATTTTTCTCAAAATGTCAATAATAAAAAAGTTTTTCCTCTTGCAAAGACAATCCGGGGACATGCTGTAGATTGTTACCTGCCCATCCCACGTTTAAGGAAACTCGATTCATTATTAAGGCATTACTCATATTCACAGAAAATAATATTCTACATTTGAACTACTTTAAAGCAACTATTATTGTTCAATCATTGCTTAGGCCGGGGCCAACATAGCTGGACGCGTAGAGCGAAGCATACTGCCAAGAGGAGTGCGTACAGTGGCCCATGTCGCGCGTTTTCGGGCGGATTTTAAGTCTTAATACGTTTACGCATGTAACAGTACGCGCAAAAATTTCAACCAGCGAGTAAATACGCGTCAATCCGCAATACACTTCGCTTTATGTGGAGCCACTTCAATTTACTTTAATGCAGTTAAACGATTCGCGGTCCTCTCCGCTCTACACTACACTACCCTGTACGCCTGGTGGGGCCACGCACTTATATTTAGAAAAAGATATGGTACATTTGAACTACTTTTGAGTTAATATTGTGTTTTAAGTATAAATAGCCAGCTGAAATGTATATAGGACCTTTATTTAGATCATAATATTTGTGTATATTTTCTCTTGCATTAAGTTGTACCTTACTTAAAATTTAAGTATATAAAATAGTTATATATACCTCTTCCTTGTTTGCCCATGGGTTCTGGATTAGTAATAGTAGTTCCAAAAAATCCGTCCCATTCTAATCTACCGTACAATCCAGCCCAATTATTGTGTCTGTCGGCTGTATGAGGCAAACACCATGGTATAAGTGTGTTGTTTTGCTTGTCGGTGGGGTCACATGGGCCCCCTTTAGCGCATACGCAAACCCCTCGAGGTGGATCAGATGATTTTTGCTTCTTTGATCTAAATTTTGTACAGAAATGCATTTTTAAAGAAAAAAATTAAAGAATAATGTTAGAGGTTACCTGTATGGATATAGTAAGATGTTGCTCATAGTTCCGTCATTTAATTTTACGGAAATATTTGGTAAATCTCTCCAATCCGACCCTGGAGCTGTGGGTATTTGAGATATTCTAGCTTCGACCATAGCAGACATTTCTTTGCATATATGGTCTCTGACCAACTCATTATTTTCACTACCTATATTTAATTTTTTTGAAAAATTTATTTTTTATTAAATTAACTTAATGTTTAGTTTTGTATTGTAAATTTTGTTTATACTTTAAAGCCCGGTCTACACATAACATTTTACCTGTCAGTCTTACCTGTTTAGTCCAAACGTACCAAGTAACGCCCTGTATGTAGACAAAAAACTGAATTGAATTAAAATGCATTTGCATAGTTTCACAAAGTAATGGAATTTTACAAGCTTGTTTTACCATTAGTTTTGCGTGTTTACAAATTAAATTTAAACCATATATATACAATTTTGTAGTAAAATTGTATAATATTTTTCTTCAACATCACTAATCGCAATGCTATAATTAATCAACCTCAGCTGAAACGTTCAGTATATATACGCTAGTTTTTAGTCCGTCTACCTGACGGGTAAAACGTTATATGTACATGGGGCTTTAGGATGTTGTTCTACTTACCCCTCATTAATTTCTGAAAATGTGATGTCGGATCTTCGTTGTAAGGTATTTCTAATCTATTACTTCCATTTTTAATGTCGGGTAAATCTGCCATTGCGTCTCTAACGCATATCGTTCTATAAGGAGCTGATTCAGTCCATTTTGAGCCTTTAAGAGAAAAATATCACAAAAAAATAATGTATTTGAGGGAATTAAATTATAATGTACCATTTGTGTACTTAAAATCGTCCAAAATGAAAGATAACTGTGTGCCTCTTTTATTGAACACGTGTTGCGGCTCAGGATATTTAGGAAGGATATAGCCAGGGGCTGCCGCCATTAAAATAAGTCTTCTCCTTTAATAGTCAATGGAAAAAAGTAGGTTAAAAAGAATTGCAAAAAAATACCTCACATATAGTTGGTTATAACATTATTCTGCAAATACTTACAGAAATTTAAAAAAAAACTAGTCAAAAAAATTCTATCATGATAACCCAAGTTCTCTTACCTTGTCTGTGGGACTCCATAATGCCCAGCCTGTAGTATACCCCAAGATACTTGATACCCCATTTTCAACAGGCACGAAACAGTAAGTTTTAGAACCATACCCCTCTTAAATGAAACGAAATTTCTCACGTTCTCTAACATAAAATATTTCGGCCTAAAATAGAAAATAATGTATGTACATATCTATTAATTGATTGTCAAACAATATATTAAAAGAAAATAGTTTTTTATTATACCTGTAGTATTCACAAAAGCCCAAATAAGTAGCAACAAGGGAATTTTTAAATCGCGAATATTGACCTGCGTTGAATCTATTCATTCCAGAAAAGCCTTGACATGGCGGTCCCCCAACCAGCATTTCTACATCCCCTTTAGAAGGTAAACCTTTCTCACCTCCCTTTCCTACAAAAATACAAAATAAAAAATAAAATTACAGAAGAATAGTATAAAAACGGACCTTCAAGAACAGTCTTCAGTATACTGTTACAATCCTCGGAAAATACTTTTGTGTCTGGGTAATTCAGTCTAAATGCTTGAGCAGCGGCCAAGTCAAATTCAATCTAAAATTAAAAATATTCAAGAAATTACAGAAATCAAAGTTTTAATAAATTATTAAAAAAAATTCAACCAAGTAATTTTTCTTTGATCAAAAATTGAGAATATTTATACAGGGAGTGGCAAAATTTTCTAAATTTAAAATGTCATAATAAACCGATTTTAAATATTCTTACAGCCCATTTGGATTCGCAAACTCCAGATTGATGCAAGCCTTCTGATAATCCACCACATCCAGCAAAAACATCCATAGCTCTTAGTGGTTTGTCCAGTTTGGGCCATTCTGGTGGAACTTCCCCGTTTTTAACACTAGACACCTTACTTTTTGATTTGCCACCTAAAATATAAAAACCCTCTATACTGTGTAAAAAAGTGCAAAAAGTCAACTAGTATGATGAATTTTTTGCACCATGTCATATGGAAAACTCATTCATACTATAATGTTACGTTTTTACTGGGTTCCGTGTGGATAATTTAAAGTCTTAATTATGTAAGAACTATATATTGGAGGGAAAAAAATATTTTTTTTTTAATTTTTAGAAAAGTATAAAGTCCCCGTCTATACATAACCATGATACATAACGTTTTACCTGTCAGTCATACCTGTTCAGTCAAAACATATCGAAACCTTGTGTGTAAAAATTTGGATTGTTAAAAATCTAATATTTTTGGATAGTTTCACAAAATAATTTAATTTTACAAAATTGTTTTGAAATATTTAATGATTTTATTACCAAACGATACTATTTTCACAGTTAGTTTTGAATTTTTACAAATTAAATTTAATCCATGAATACAATTTTGTAGTACAATTCCATGATTTTTCTTTTCAGCCTTCTTTAAACACAATGCTATAATTTGATAAAATCGCAGATAAAACTTCCAGTGTACACGCTAGTTTTTAATCCGTCTTACCCGACAGGTAAAACGTTATGTGTGGACGGGGCTTAATATGCTTACCTTTGCCTTTTCCTATAGTACCAATTTTTCTACCATCCACTGGCACTTCACATAATTCTTTGGTCTTGATTAAAAACATCTCTTCAAAATAAAACCTTAAAGGGCCGGCCATAGACCATTTTGGTGCCGCAACAACATTTTCAGCAAAGGCTATATAACATTTCCCAGTCACTTCAGAAAACGAAACATTTACAACTAAAAAAATACAATTTGGAAGAAAAATCTAAGAAATAAGGAAATTTTTTTACCTTCGTCTGTATAATACACTTGGGTTAGGTAAGTTTTGGACGATAAGAATATATTTTCTGTATCTTCAGGCCGTAAAAATATTCTTACTGATATAAAAATGTCTTTTTTCTTATTTGAAATATTTTCTATGATTCCCACAACAAAAGGTTTAGGTGTATCAAGATTGGAACCCTTAACGTTATCCGATTTTTTTCTGTAATATTCCGGATATATTGTTTCATCTACATGGTCGCTTTTCTAAGGAAAAAAAATAGAGGATGTGGCAAAAATTTCGCAAAAAATTGGATATATTTCAATGCCAATTTAACGCTGTTTTTTTTCGATCGTACTGTACTTACAGAACTAGACGACGAAACAGACGCATTGTCACCATTAAGATCATAAACATCCGGGTTTAGAAGAACTCCAGAACCGATTCTATAAATTTCATTTTGCCAAGTTATTATTTTTTCTTCGCTATCATAATGCGGAATGTTTGAATTTCTTTGATCCTTAGCACGCCTAGAAATTACATTTTTACTATAAGAAAAAAAAACATTTAAAATACAATTTTAAAACTTACTTGCAAGAAATACACTCTGTACATTTTAATTCACTGTTATCTATGTCAACGAATCTACTAAAATCACTTTCGTATCTTTTTCGAAAATAAAAATTTTCTCCATCATCGTCCAGCTGTGGCTCAGAGTTGTGAAGCCCACCGAGTTCGCACCAATTTTCTGGGACTCCCCTATATTCAACCTTTAAAAAACAGATTTTTTATTTTTTTTACTCTATATATACAGGGTGGCAAGAGTTTTTTGTAGCTAGACTGTCTAACAATCAATAAGAAAATTTAATCTCAATGCAGGGTGATACAAAAAGCCCTATATCAGGTTTCCTATTTGAAATTTTTACCTAATTTTGTTACAAACTATATAGGAAATAGTAGTGCACGTTTTCAGACGTTTTAAAAACATTATCATAACTATACAGGGTGATTCAAATACATTTTTATACCACTAAAGTTGTAAAATCTCATTTCAGCGTCATTATAATGGCGCTTTTTAGGAAGATTGGGTCTTCTAAAGTCTGGTAGTTTATGGTTTTTAGCTACAAAAACTTGTCTGTCCTGTAAACATCACAAATTTAATACATTTGCTTTTCTCAAAATACTCCCTAAAGGTAGATCTTCACAATTATCCACTAAAAACAGTTCTCTAGGATCGGCAGTACCAGTCAGTAGAGTATCACTGCCTCTACAGTAGAGTAGTCCGTGAAACATGAATTTTTGAGGTAGATTATCGTACATGTAGACCACTTTTGCTACCCAAAGTGGCTCAGTAGGATTTTCTGATTTCAACGTAACAAAATCACCAACAGAAATCTTAATATCATCTAAAATATAATGTTTTTTAGACTATTTTATCCTGTTAGAATACAACAATTTCAACCTATAATCACAGATGAATAACATTTCTGATTTTTGTATGTAACAAGAGATTCTTCCTCCCATTCTATGTTTTTGTGAACTATTTTTTTAGAACAATGTTTTATTTTTGTTTTTACAACACCTTTTTCTTCAACCTCATCTTCATTGTCAGATAATTCAGCGTTGGCAATTGCCAAATTTGGGCATCTTAAAATTACAATTATTTTTTTTCTGATTTTGGATAAAATTAAAAACTTACTTTCTTGACTTGCATGATTGTTTCATTCGTCCTGGTCCACCGAATTTTAACATATCCTTGCAAAAATTGCATTCTCCACAATCTGGGGACATGCATGCTTCACAAACCCCACATCTTTGTTTTTTGGGGGCTTTTTTCTCATTGTTGTTGTCCATTTGCTCAGGAAAAATCATTTCAAAAAATTCCCTTACAAAATCTGTTGTTACTGACTTGGTCCATGGCTGTCTGGTTGAACTAATTTTCATCCCCTATAATAATATTTAGACACAAAAAACTGTTTTAATGATTTTAATAACTTTTACTCTTCACTAAACTCACCTTGCTTTCTAATTTCAGTACTCTTTTTCGTTGTTTAAATGTAACACCGGCCAATTTTACAAGAGATCTCATACAGGGTAAAGATATTAGTGGTTTCTCATCATCAGGTGCGTTTCTATCATAATTTAGCACCTGATCACAAACAAATTGAGCATTTTGTATGAGAGTATCTTCCACTGACTCGTATTCTCCTGTATTGTCAATATTTTGAACTAAGTCCTCATAATTCGGATTGTCTAAAGTGTGATCTAATAAAAACTCAACTACTATTTTAACTAATTTTATTTTCAGTTGAATTGATGTAAAAATTGCAGAATACTCTGGGGAGGCTTCCATTAAATAATATTCAGCAAACTGTGTTGTAAAAGCTATTGGTAATTTTTCACCTCCATCATATCCAGCAGTCCACCTAAAAGGAATGATTTTATAGAAGTTCAGTGGTTTTAAATTAATATATATGTACCATTCAACTATTGGACCTAAATCATGAGCAGGAACTCCATTTTCAATATTGGGGTCCTCATCATCAATTCTCTTTAAGTATCCTGAAAATCTTAGAAAAACATCCTTTTCTATTAGTCCAGTATCAAAAGGACATAAATGTCCTTTCTCGTCATATACACTAAAATGTGTTACCTACAATAAAATTATAAAAAAACTGAACAAAAAGGAACAATTTCTATAATAAATACTTTATGCGTTGGAAAATCGTCATGATAATTGAACATGTCCTCTTTGCCTGTATATACAGACAATTTTTCATCGGTCAACGCAATAAATTCATCGTTTGAGTTATTTGGATGGCCATTATAGAATGATATACTGTCTAAATTTTGTTTACAAAGATTACATCTTTGATTAGTTGGTTTTGTAGACTCTAACTTTATATGGTTGATTGTGTTATTGTTAGAAACTTCTCTTTTTGACCGTTTAGGCGAGTTTTCCTCTGGTTCATCATTATTATTATTATTGTTGTTGTTATTGTTACAATTTCCCCAATCATTATTGATTCGATTAGAGCAGTCAGGCTCGTTTTTTAGGGAACATTCAATACTTTCCAAAGTCATTATAAAAAATATTACACACTACATTAAAAAAAACTGTAAGAGCCACAAGAACTGTTAAAAAACAAAAATTAATTCTTTATTATACTTACTAAATTACATTAATGCTAAAAACACATAAAGCTTATTGTATTTAATTTATAACGGCACATTTAATAAAAAAAACCTTAAAAAAATTTCAGTTCTATAATTTTCGCGCCATAAATTTTAAGAAACTTAGGTTAAGATCTGGTTAAGATTTCTTTCTTCCCTCTCTTTTTTACGAGGAATCCGATCCGCGGGCCGGCCATACCATTTGTGATACCATTCTTCCTCGAGTACTAATCGAACCAGCCACATGCCACATTAAAGAGTTAATATTGTAGATGGTTAATAGTGAGCTGGCTAAATGCGACCATGACGTGTAACCATATTTAAAAAAAAGAAGGAATGACCACAGATTTTTATTTACGCCTAAAGTTGTTTGGTTGGCTAAGTAAACCCTGAGGTACTTAGCCAACTATAAATGTTTAAGAACAGATTTTTGTAATAATAATTAACCTCTTTTCTTTTGTTTTTAAACATGTTTACTACAAAATCGTTTATTAAAAAGAATAAAATTGGTAATTTCCTTAAGGTACGTTATTTTATATCGTGTATTCTCTTTCTTATTTACATTAACCATGTATTTTTTTCGCAGAACGTTAGAGAACACTACATTAGAGATGATATCTACTGTGGAGTTCCCACTTGTAATAAGTGTAAAAATGTTTCCACCAGCAACTTATCTTCTGCACACGTTAATAAATGTTCGTTATTTAAATTCAACCATTTTATTATCTTGGATACCAATATAATTTTAGACCAGGTAATATCAGTTTGAGACCGAAATATTTGAATAATTGCCAGGAGTCCTTTCATACATGAATTTCAGATAGACGTACTGGAAGAACCTTTTATTTGCAATGTAATAATTTTATACACGGTACTAAAGGAAGTAAAACATCGAAGTTTACCGATTTATAAGCAACTGAATGCTATAATTGAAAATCCAAGCCGACATTTTTATGTTTTTATTAATGATCATCATAAGTAAGAAAAAAATATTTTTTTATGAATATTTAAATATTTTGTATTTTACTTTAGGGATACATATTTACTTGAATCAGAAGGAGAACTAATAAACGATTATAATGATAGATGTATAAGAAAAGCCTGTTCCTGGTATATTAATCATCTTCCTGAAGCAAAATTTGTGTTTATTACAGATGATAATAATAACAGAAAGTTAGCTATTGAAGAAAATATTCCAGCTTGTTCAAGTAGGGTTTCTTAAAATATATCATTGGTATACAGATTATTTCCATGTATTTTATGTTTTTTTTTACATATGGACTTGAACAATTGTGTAATATCACATTGTGAAGTTTATGTACAAAAAAAAATGGTGTTGGTTATTTTTTTTGTAAAAACGTGATGATGAAATATTGTTAAAAAATTAAATTGATGAAAATTTGGATTTGGTCACTTTCTCTTGTATACCTACAATATATTGTTAATCTCTATTTTTAGTAACTGATTACGTAAAACATCTTGATAGTAGCTCTCTGCTAGAAGATAAGTTATCTAGAAAAGATCACGGTCCCAAAGAGGGAATTGATATTTTCCCACCTCATTTATCACATGGACAATTACTAAAAGGTGTCAAAGAAGGCCCTTTGCATCAAGGGACTTTTAGGGCATCAAGAGACAACTTTCTAGAAGGATTTGTTAATGTTGAAGGTTATGAGGACTCAGTAAGTGTATATTTTTATATTTTAATGTCTACATTTTTAAGTTTAAAATAAATTAGGTATTATTACAAGGGAGGAATGGTTTGAATAGGGCTGTTGATGGAGATATAGTGGCTGTAAAAATCTTTAAAAAAGATGATTGGGTTTGTCCCAGTGGGATAATATTGGAAGGTAACTATTGCTGAATATATTCTAGTTTAGTTACCTTAAGACTCTTGGTTTTAGATGAAGGAGTGTCAGGAGAAAATATTGAAGATGTTGAAGAGAAAGAGAAGGCTTTAAAGAAATCACAAATTACACAAAATAATTCTGAGATTAGACCAACTGGTAGAGTGGTAGGCATTATAAGGAGGAAATGGAGACAGTACTGTGGCATATTACAAGGTGCTTCTGAAGGCTTGTTCCAAATATTTGTACCTGCCGATCGATCCATACCAAAAATCAGAATAGAAACACGGCAAGGGGAATTTTTGAAATCTCAGAAGTTTATTGTGACTATTGATTCCTGGCCAAGATATTCTAGGTATCCACATGTGAGTATTGTTTTACTGTTACTTAGAATTATTTTATTTATTGATATATAAGTACTGTTTTATCTTTGTTTAGGGTCATTTTGTGAGAGCTCTAGGTAGAATAGGCAGTCAAGAAACCGAAAATGAAGTTGTTCTACTGGAGCATGATGTGCCCCATAGTCAATTTTCTGAAGAAGTGTTGAATTGTTTGCCAAAATTGCCATGGATTATCACAGAAGAAGATGAAAAAAAACGTGTAGATCTAAGGAGCATTGATATATGTTCTGTAGATCCACCAGGATGTACCGATATTGATGACGCTCTACATTGTAGACCTGTTGATGGAAAATTAGAGGTTTTTTTTATTACTTTTTCTGTTTTTTATAACTATTATATTTTTTTTGGTAGGTTGGAGTACATATAGCAGATGTTTCGCATTTTATAAGACCAGGAACTGCAATTGATCTAGAAGCAGCTTCAAGAGCTACAACTGTGTATTTAGTGAATAAAAGAATTGACATGGTTAGTAAAAAAACTTACTTACAATTTTTTCTATGAAAAAACTAATTTTTTAGGTGCCAGAATTATTGAGTTCAAATTTATGTTCCTTACGCGGTGGTGAAGAAAGATTTGCTTTTTCCTGTATATGGGAAATGGACCATGAAGCAAATATACTGAATACCAGGTTCCACAAAAGTATTATTAAATCAAAGAGAGCTATGACTTATGAGGAAGCTCAGTTAACCATCGACGATAAAACTAAGACTGATTCTTTGGCTGAATCTTTGAGAAATCTGAATAAATTAGCGAAAATTTTGAAAAAAAGACGTCTGGATAATGGGTAAGCTTTTAAATTTATTTCATGTGTATCTGGTTGACTAATAAATCAGTTATAATTTTTAGAGCTTTAGTGTTGGCTTCGACGGAAGTTAAAATCCTTATGGATTCCGAAACTATGGAGCCTCTGGATGTGGAAGCGAAGAAAATGTTTGAAACCAACTCAATGGTTGAAGAATTCATGTTATTGGCTAATATAAGTGTGGCCCAGAAGATTTTACAGGACTTCCCCGATTGTGCGATGCTCAGAAGACATCCCACGCCACCCGCGTCGAATTTCGAGCCTTTGGTTAAAGCAGGAAAGCATTTGGTAAGTGAACATTTATATTAAAGGTTTTGAGAAAGTGATGTATATTTGGTTGCCTGTGTATTGTAATGCAGAAACTTCCTAGGGTTTTGATATTCAAATTGACTGTGGAAAAAACTTAGCCACATCTTTAGACAATGCAGTTAAACATGACAATCCGTATCTGAACACAATGTTAAGGATGTTAGCGACAAGATGCATGCTGCAAGCGGTGTATTTTGCCAGTGGGACATTACAAAAAGAAGATTACTTCCATTATGGCTTGGCTGTTCCATTGTACACCCATTTTACATCTCCTATCAGAAGATATGCTGATGTTATCGTTCACAGGCTGTTAGGTGAGTGTCTGGTTTTGGTTATATAGCAGCGTATTATTGGTTGCATATCTTTGTTTATTTTTTTTTATATTTAATTCAATTCAAATTTGAAATTTTTAGCTGTGAGTTGTGGTTCTGATTGCACTTACCCAGATTTATTAGACAAACAAAAAACTACGGATTTATGTCAGAATTTGAACTACAGAAATAGAATGGCACAGTATGCAGGGAGGGCTTCAGTAGCTTTTAATACACATGTAATCATTTTTATTTTAATATAATTGGGTTGTAAATGGAACAAAATTATATTTTTTTTGTTGCAGTTGTTCTTCAAAGGCAAATTAAATGATGAGGAGGGGTACATTTTATATGTGAGGAAAAATGCTTTACAAATATTAATTCCAAAGTATGGTTTAGAATGTACACTTTATCTGGTTAAAAAAGGTGAAGAAAGTTTGTTTGAATACAATGAAGAGGTAAGAAAAAAGTTGTTTTTTTGTAACTCACTGTGTTTTCTTCAGTTTTTTTATTTCTTAATTTTTTTCTTTTACTTTATTTCCCTTTTTTTTTGACTTGTAGATACTTTTAGAAAATATTGTTATTTGTTTCTAGGACCAAACACAGCGGGCTGGTAATGTAGTGCTCCACACTTTTGACCCAGTAACTGTTCGCTTAAAATTGGATTCAACCAATATTCAACACGAAAAATTCACATTACAACTTGTTAAACCATTTATTGAAGGCTTTAGTGTATCACCAATGAATGAGCTTGAAAGTAATAAAATGGATGTTGACAGCACTCCAAAAATAAACAAAAAACGAAAGAGCGAGAACTCGAAAAGTAGCAAGAAAAATAAACCTAAATAAGTTTTTGTAATTAAAAAATTCAATGACTAAAGAATACAAGGATAAGTAGCACCCGAGACTAAACTGTGACCATTCTTCCAAACAGTGCCGTGGCACATATTTTTCTTAACATAGCCGCTTGAAGCGATATTTATATTTTTGATAAATATTTTCACTACGCCTAGTGTATCCGGTGGTATCATACTAATTAATTACGAAAAAAACAAATGTTAACAAAAGGTACAAAACTAGTATCGACGTATAGCACATATCAAGTACATATATCAGAAAAATAATTATGGAATTCAATAAAAAAACGCTAAAAAGGTGTAGTGGACTGTTTATTTACCTATAAAACGTAACTCTTTCTTATTATTGCGCCTTTTACACTTGAAAGCTGAACAAATTACCATTCTAATAAAGTTTATATAAAGTTCACTACACACAACCAACTATTAAAAATCGCTAAAGTTGTCGCTGATGACTCATTCGTTATCTTCAAAAAAAAATGGCGTCCAAGCTCACAAATTCTGCTGCAGCCCGTATATGGGCGTTATATGTCCTTGTATTCTTTAGTCATTAAAAAAATTAATATTATTTTAGCACATTTTTATTTTTAATACAAAAATACAAAAGTTGGGTTGTAGAAAATCAAGAATCATACAATAACAAATGAAAAAAAAACATAATAAAGGTATTATATACACTTTAAAGGACTTTGTTGATTTTAGTTTTTTGACCAAAAAAGCAAGTGGGGCAGTCAAAAATTTCAGGTTTTAAATCCTTCAAGTGCATTGTCGAGCCATCTTCTGAAAATCCAAGTAAATCCTAAAAAGACATGTTTTTTTTATAAAATATTACTTAAAAAAATAAGTAATTACTTCAATATCATCCTCTTCTTCCCAATTATAGTCTTCTTCCGGTTTATCCCCATATCCTTTCAAATTTTGCAGGAAATGACTGACACTTATGAATCCTTGCTGTTGTGCTACAGGCACCAAGACACCCGTAGGTCTTTTACCCTGCCTGGTTCGGCAAATTGAACAGTTACATATGCCTCTGCACACAGGGCATATCCAGTTTGGATCTTTCAAAACCACTGCGGCATCTTCACCATACCTTTCATGCAATTTCATTTTGAAAATAGAAATATTAAGGGGTTTTTAGTAAAAAGAATTACCTGTTTTTGATACAAACTCCACAAAACATTCCTTGAATTCCTGTACATTCTTTGCTCCTGCAACACGTTTTCTGATCAAGAGTTTTTTGTCTGCATTGATGACATGTTGTTCCCTCTGATGAATATTTCTTGCCCTTTACTCTCAAAGCAATATTGTTTATCATTGCCTGAAAACTTGTACAGATTACTACATAAAAGTAATTAATTTGTTTCTAATTTTACTTGTGTTACATCCTCTGCTGGAATAACAATACGTTCTTCTACCTTCCTTTTTATGCTTTTTCTTCTAGGTCTAGCAACTATTTCTTCTAAGTCCTGAAATTGAATTAAAATTATTAAAAATTTCATGTTGTTTTTAGAGTGTGTTTACATCCAAGGTATATTCACTGATATGGTAGTTGGGTCGTTTCAAGTAGGTCGTTTGTAGAGTTTCTGATACATCTTCCAAGTCGTTTTCTTTATATTCTGGTTCTTTATTTTGAAGCCTTGATGATTTGCGTGTTTCAAAAGGAATAAAACCATTAAATCTTAAAAACAAATATTTGTACAATACAAAGTTAAAGTTATAAAAAACAATATTTTACCGAAATGCGATGTCTCCACCTCTTCTTCTCTTTTTTACTTTTTCTTTTGGTAGTTCCTTTTTTGCAATGAACATTTTGTTTTGGGCCTTGAACTGTTTCTCTAATTCTGAATCTCTAATTGAATTCAGTAAGGTGTTCATAGCTTCTATATTTCTTCTTCTAATTTCTTCCACTGAATCTTCATTATCACTGTTACCACCAAAGTCTTCACTATCACTCTGATGAAATTCTTTAATTCCTTTTTCGGCATCTTGTATTGCATGCTTTTTATTATTAATTTCATCAATTTGTAATTTTTGAACTAAAGGTTTTCTCACTATATTTTTAGGAGTTCCAATAAGGGAAGAAATCTTAATTCTAATGGGCTTTGCGTTATATTTTTCCTCAGAGCTATCTTCATCGTCACTCTCTGCACTTTTAGTGTTTTTTTTCGATTCAAGATCTATTTTATCCAATGACACATATAATGATGGTGGTTTAGAAGCATTTCTTTCTTTTCGTAGTTTAGTTAACTCCGCAGACACATCCTTAAAATGAATTGGAGATCCAACAGGTGAAAACGCTGGAGAATCAATATCTTCTACCTAGAGTTATAAAATAGAGTCATTTTCAACATGATTTTTAACAGTTTTAAAATCTAAATACCTCCATTAGTAAAATTTAATGATATTAATTTTGTAGGATCCTTATATGTTATATTGTAAATAGTACTGTATTTAGTCGTGAAAATATATAAAAACATAAAAGATTTTTGTTTTGAGGATATTTAAATTCAACGGTTTTGACGAGTTTTGTGGTAGGGTCAGTCACAGTGTCAGGTGTCAGTTGTCAGCAGGTTGTCATATGTCGCTAACTTCAGGCTATTGCATCATTTTTTCAAAAGTGCAAAATACAATTTTTATGGATTATATGATTACATATTTTATATATGATTTTGTTTTCAGTTTTCAGCCAGTAAATATTTAAAGAAGAACTCGTGACGTTTATGGTGGGGGTTGCCATGTGTCCCGTGAACTTCCACGTAGTTTCGAGCTGGGCCAAATTTTGACATTTTTGCGAAGGTTCGGCGAGATTTTATAATTCTGTGTTTATTCCTTAGCGTTTTGTTAACTAGTGTACAGCAAATCAACCATAAAAATGAAGTACTTTTTCTTATTTTCTCTGTTAATTTTACCATCGGTAATCTTTATGTTTGATAAAGGTAAGCGAATATTTTTTTTGGTATTATTTTTTCAAATTTAAGGGACCTATTTTTTTAATTTAATTACGTGGCAAAGTCCTTTCACTAAAAGACCCACTTATTTTCCTAAAATTCTTTAAGTGTGTCTAGAGTTTTGCTTTAATACAATAGTTATAGCTAAATGTGCATGATCAAATAAGCATATGTTGAGGTTACCAGGTTACCTTAAAAGTTCTTAATATTTCTGTATTTTTTAGGTAACAAACTCATGGCTTACGCTGAAGAAGACCCGATAGATGAGGAGGAAGCAGATGTTGAAGGTGAAGTGGAGGAAGGGGATGTTATAGCTACAGAAAGTGAGGAAGATGACGAAGAGGAAACACAGTCACGAGCTTCCCCAGATGCAGATACAGTGTTGTTATTTACAAAACCTAGCGCACAAGGGGCCTCTCAATTAGGTATGTTCATATATAAATTTACATAGTAAGGTTGGTTCTCTTTAAAACTAATTTTTAGTGTTTGGTTTGGTTTGATCCAAAATAATTTGTACTGTTTTTTTTTAATTGGGTTAGGATCGAAAAAAAACTCAACAAAAGTCCTTTGTTTTAAATTTGTCGACGTTTCGCAAAATTTATTTGCATCTTCATGACTCAAAGGACTGTCTCAAAGGACTTCTGTTGAGGTTTTTTTGTCGGTCCTAACCCAATTAAAAAAAAAGTCTCTTTAAAACCTATTTTAGAACTTGTTGCTGGCACCCCAGTCGAATTTCTGGTTGGTTTCCGTAATGGTGGGGACAAGGACTTTGTAGTTGACGCCATTGATGCCTCTTTTAGGTATCCTATGGATTTCAACTTCTTTATTCAAGTAAGTTTATTTTTATACTGATGATATTTATTTCTAACATGACATCATTTTTAAAACAGAATTTCTCTGCTATTGGATACAATAAAATTATTAAACCCTCTGAAGAAGCAACGTTCTTTTACACTTTTATTCCTGCTGAAGCTTTTGCAGGGAGACCTTTTGGATTGAACATCAACTTGCTCTATCATGATATCTCCGGTAATGATTTTCATGAAGCAGTTTATAATGAAACAGTCCAAGTTATTGAGTTAGAAGAAGGTAAGGATTGATACTTTTAATTTATTTTTTGATTATCTTTAATTTTCAAACAGGTTTTGATGGTGAAACATTCTTCTTGTATGTTTTCTTGGCTGCTGGAGTAGTCCTTCTATTGGTCATTGGCCAACAGACCCTTCTGTCTGTTGGTAAGAAGAGGCCTACCAAGAAAGCTGCGCCAGTAGAGACTGGCACAAGTAATCCTAATAATGTGGATTACGATTGGTTGCCAGCCCAAACTTTGGCTAGCTTAAGTAAGTATTGATTATCACTTAATACCTATTATTTATAATAAAATACACTTTTTTAATATACAATTTTACTTATAGACAGGGAAAAATCACAAAAATCACCAAAAGCTGCCAAAAATCAACAGAGCCCTAAGCAACGCAAACGTACAAAGGGTTCAGAGTAATGACTGAATTTTTACTAAAAAAAATAAGATCAATTTAAGATTAATTTTTTTATACAATTCATTGATGAATTCTAAACATATTTATTAATGTCATTAATTTGAAAAAGGACTTTCACAAATAAAACTTCTCCTTTCAATCACTAATGAGTCTTTTAAAAAAATACTTTTTTTGTAATTCATGACTGTACAGGTTGTGTTTGATTCTTTAATTTATATAAGTTTGGGTAAGAGTGTTTGTGTGAAATGAGATTGTTAGAGATTCAGTTTTTATAATAAATATTCATTGTAAATATTTTGATTTACCACAATGGTAACAGTTAAGAGAAATAAAAGATTTTTTTTTAACTATGTGTTGTTTTTATTGATTTCTCTAAGTAGTTTGGGATTAAACATTTAATTTTTATTAATTTCATATAGAAAACACTGAAAGGTTTATTGATTTGTTTAGTATTAGTATTTGCAATTATTGATTTTAAAGAAAATTTATAAATTATTATTGTTGAGATTGACTTGGCATTCAACTTCTGTTCATTCTATTACCCCATCCTCTCCTATGATCATCTTTATATTCGTCTTTTGCTCTTATTCTTTGAATTTCTTCTTCATCATCTTCTTCAATTTTCTTCTCCGAACTCTCGGCTTCTGTATCTTCATTGTTTATTTCTACACCGGCTAAAGCAGCTTCTTGCAAGCTCAAAGGACCAGTTTTGGGTTTATTGGGATCTGGAAAAATACCATCGGCAACCTACAATAAAAAAATTACCTGCAAATTTTGAATTAATATAATTAGTACTTACTCTTTTATCATAAAACTCTTGAACAGTCATTGTGGGTAATGAAGGATATCCAGCACCATAAATAGCCTTTTGAGTCTCATCTCTAGTAATAATAATTGGTTTTAAAGGTGGAGGGGGTGCTCTTTTAGGCTTAGGTGCTTCATCTTTCTTGATTTTTGCCATATGTTCAAGAATAGGTTTCTCCATATCGATACTAGCCAGTTCGTCCACTACATCATGTATAAAAACTTTTACCATAGTCAAGAAATAATTTCTTTTTATATCCTCATCGGCAAATTCGTTTTCAACGTTCTTCTTAAGGTTTTCCAGTTGACTTTGCAACTCTTTCTTTTGCTGGAACCGTTGAATCTTACTGGATCTGGTATTTACAGCTTGTTCAATCTGTTCAAATTCAGTTTTATTTTGGTTGTTCTCCAGTTTCTTTTTCTCAAACTCATAATTACTCAGTTCGTAGTCGTTGGTTCTTTGTAAAAAGTCTCTGAAATATATTTCGGCTACGTCAAGTACTTCCTTTCGATCTCTTGTGGTTATTTTTAGAGTGAGCAGTCCCAGCAATGCTGGCAAAAGCAAATACTGAATATTGTTTGTTGTGATTTCTTCTATGCTTTCGTTAGTGCTGAAAATATCAGCTAAGGATACTAAACGAGTTGCATCTTCAAAAATTTTAATTGATTTTTTAACATCTCTTTGTACCTCTGGACTGTTGGTAGCTGCATTATTGTTTGTTATTTGGTTGTATAAATCTAGACCCTCGTGAAATACAGTGTGGAGTGCTTTTACCGAGTCTTCTTGAATTTCACTCATTATTTTAGAAATTTTGTTTTACTAACTTTTAAATAATAAATAAACGTTTGTTGATGGTTATAGCATAAAATAATAAAGTTATAGCAGCAGTAGTAATTTGATTTATTGGCCACAGATGCCAGGGCTATCCGGCCGGTTCGTAGAATTTATTACCTATGGGTCGGCCTTGTGGTCGAAATGATTGCGCCGCTTTCTAGTCGACACAAAGTCGCTGGTTCGAATCTGGCCCCCGACATGGATGTTAAATATGTGTGTGAGTCTGTATTTGTCCGATTTTAAACGCTCATAATTAAAAATAAAAATTAAGCTGGCTGAATGTCGTAATAGACAAGTGGCCAAAAAATTAGAAAAAAAAGCTGCCTATGGCCTATGGTTGAGCATTTATGTCTTTTTTTGGTAAAGGTGTGTATCCGGTGGCTGACCTTGAAGCCCATATTTACTGCATTTGATCATCGATACTACGCAAGCGCACATCGTCGATGTTGCCAAATTGCAGTTTATTTTCGAATTATTTGCAGTTGAAATTTTTTTTTTGAGTGTTAATAATAATACAAATTCTATAATTAATTTTATAATTTCAGATTTATCTTGATATCTAAAATTAAGGAATGATATATAAAATTGAATATATAAAATTGTAATAATAATAACATCTATTTATATATTTACAGTAGAATTAAAAATTATCATTTACGGATATTTTCTTAATGGTTTTAAACTTATTAGAATTATTTTATTTCTTTCAAGTTATTTAATTTCTAGTTATTTACAGGCAACAATAGTTTTGATTATATGTATTGATGTATTGAAGTACTACCATGACGAGTCTTATGGAACAATACACGTCAATGGGAGATAGAGGTAACATTTTACTATGATTTTACCTATAATGTTACTAATATAATATACTTTGATTATAATGTTTGTATCAAAATTTCTTAAAAATATCAAGTTAGTGGATTAATAGCAATTTTAGACATATATTTTATCGAAGAGTGTGGTGATAAGACTAAAATAAGCTTTATGTTTTATCTTTTTCTCTTTAGAAGGGAGATGGTTTGTGTCGTAAAATACATTACAGTATTTAATATCGTGTACTTTGATATTCTTTTCTTAATCTACTGTAATTTCTTGTTTCCTATAATACCAAATCTTGACAATATGGTGAAGGTTTGGTCTTGCATAAACACAGGTATATACTTATTAGTTTTATACCTGTGTCTATACAAGACCAAATTAAGACTTCAGTTAGTTTGTGATTTATATTAAGATCTTTCTTATAATATTTGTTATGTCTTAATCTTAATACTATATTATGCTTTGTCTGGAAAATAAATGTTAAAATATCTTAATTTTGCATACCTATCCTATTCCATCCTTCCATTAGGAAAAATATGGTTTATAAATCATATATGCTAAGAAAATCACATAAATTAGGTGTAAGAATAGAGAAATCTTAAGGTAGCAGAAAAATGCAATATATGTATAAGCAGAATTAAACAAGGTAACTGTTAATGTTGCTGAAGCTGATTCTACAATTTTAAGGCCTTAAAAAGGCCTTAAAAGGCCTTTTAGCCTCCGTAGTTTTGATGGAATGTTAAAAAAAACTATTATGAACATGACATGGAGCTACAGCATTTAAAAATTAAAAAAAAAAGAAAAAACTTGAACACATCCCTTTTAATTTCCCGAATTTTTAATAAAGCCTTTTTTAAACGTAGCATAATAATCTAGAGCAATTAGATTAATTAAAGGAATCTAGACTTTTATTTCTATTTAATTTTATTGACTATGAAAATACATAATAAGCGTTCACGTGTTGTGCGCAATATTAAAATAATAATATAAATAATATACCGGGCGTAGTCGCGTACTATGATTGAAAAAAAATAGCGTCAGCGCCGATGACTATGAAATGAAGATCGCTGTCATTTTATATGGGAAATGTCCTCAATCATCACATCCCAGCCAACTGGACGCCGTTTTTTCGATCATACGGTATATATTGACAAAAAAAAAACACTGAAAAGCACATATTTGTTTTCTACTGAAAATATTTCTAAAATAACTTGCAATCTGGCAACATCGAAGATGTACGCATGCGTAGTGTCTGTAACTACATGCAGCAAAAACTCGTTTCAAAGTCAGCCACCGGATCCACACCATTACCTTTTTTTTAATTTTTACCCATTCTTTACTCACATTTCTGTATGTACATGTCAAGATATGCCTAGTGGCTTAAAAAACCTAGTATTTAAAAAATAACGAAAATTCCTTCTTAATTGAATCATATTTTTGTTCTGTGGTTCATTTTCCTGAAATATGTCAGTTAATTTTGATTTGACAGCGGACGATTCTTTTCATGCCAAGTGTTTAGTGAGCACGCACGTGTTGGACTAAAATATCTAAAAATCCTCAAAAAAAATGGATAAACCCGTTGTTTTAGCTCGCGTAATGAAGGTTTTGGGACGTACGGGATCCCAGGGACAATGTACACAAGTGAAAGTAGAGTTCATTGGAGAACAAAACCGTCAAATCATCAGGAACGTTAAAGGACCTGTGAGGGAAGGTGATATCCTCACCCTTTTGGAATCTGAACGTGAAGCTAGAAGATTAAGATAAATATTTAGGGTAAGAAAGAGTTAATTAATTAGTTTATAATGAGAGTTAATTTAGAAAAACGTTTTCTTTTCAGATACGTTTTTAATAATTTAAGAAATTCCGTTTATAAGTGGAACTTGGACAACATGAAGTGATTAAAGCTGTTATTTCCAGTTAAACAAATACACTTTTTACGGTTAATAATGCTTTTATTCACTACAATACCCTTAAATTAATACTCAATATGCACCTATTCTTTGAAATAATTAGCAATTAACTCCTCCACCTTGTTTCTATTTGCCATATTTGATACCTTAGCTTGATACTTGTTTCCCTTACCTGCTCCTTTACCACCTAATAGCTCACATATCCTAAAAAAATATAAATGTATTCCAGATAAACATAAATACAATTTATTATACTTTGGTCCTAGGATCGATACATCTTTCTCAGCACCATATACAACAATGTTCCCTACTTGTTTTTCATCTCCGGTCGATAGAAATAATAAAATATCTTTTCTATCGCCCAGTTCTCTGACAAATGTATTCATAAAGTCTGGTTCTGCTTCTCTTCTATGCATGGAAAAATATGATGGGATTGGGAGCATATCATTGAGTTTCTTGGCCTCTAGAGTAGCCAAATCTTTTAGAACACTCTGAACATTTTTTGTAAGAGTTTTAAGATTTTTCTGTAGCTTCTCTACTAGTTCTGGATGTTGAGATGGGTTATTTCTGGAATATATAATTTTTTATTACATATGATCAAAAAAATATACAAACAAAATAATACTTTAAAAGTGTTCCAAGTTTTTCTTCTCTATCAATACACAAAGATAGTCTTTTCACAACTCTATTACCGACAAGGAAGTATAAAAATGTTTTATCTTTTCTTTTACTCTTTTCTGAATGCAGTAATTTTACAACTTGCAATTGACCTAAATTTGTTACATGAGTTCCACAACACATATTCCCTTCAACATCTTCAATCCTTATCACTCGAATACCTCCTTTATGATCCTCGGGAAGACCCCTTGCACTTCTTGCCTATTAAAAATAAATATTTCTCTAAAAGGAAGTAAGTACAAAAGCTCAATACCTCTTTCAGAAGTTCTTCTGGAGTATCCTCAGTATAAACATCTACTGTCACTTTTTTACCTTGTCTAATTAGGTCATTAATTTCGTTTTCTGCATCAGTAATTTGTTCTGTTGATATTTTTGTGGCATCTTAAATATTCCCTGTTATATAGAGCATATAAAAAACATTTTACAAACTAAAGTGATACCTAATTCAATGTAAGAGACATCTTCACCAAGGTACCAACTAACTGTAGGAATATTAAACTTCCTATCAATAATTGCTGTTATCAAATGCTGACCAGAATGTTGTTGCATATGATCAAATCTTCTCTCCCAAGAAATTTTTTGTAACACTTCGTCCCCAACATTTAATGGTTCTTTAGTAATATGTACAGCTATATCTTCACGCCTAACTACTTTGACCACAGGGACATTATTTAAAGTACCATAATCACAGGGCTAAAATGTACATGATAGTGTGTTTGAAACACAGAAGGTTTGAAAGACTACGAAGTACAAAAATATACACTAACCTGACCTCCACCTTCCGGAAACAAAATCGTATCTTCAAGAGTAACCTCATAAGCCTCTGATGTTGTAGATTTGCCATTGGTATTTTCCGTAAAATTGATCTTATTACAGGAGATTACTTTTGAAGTAAACTAAAATATTTATGTAAAGTAGTAAGTACATCAAGTCAAGAAATTTACAAGCGTACCTCTTTTAAGTATGAATCGCTCTGGCACTTAAAAACCATCTTAACTTATTGACTAAACTGTTTTTAAATTATTTAAAATTATGGAGATATTTAAAATTTAAAATAGAGAGATTTTACCGGCATTAAATTAAAAATTTGAGCAAATTACCAAAGTTTTATTTAGATATGACAATCATATCTTTCTGGATTGGTTTTACAAGGTGCCAGAGGACTAGACAAATTTTTTTTTTTTCCTATTTTTGGCCACTTGTCTATTACGACATTCAGCCAGCTTATTTCTTAATATTTAATTAGCGTTTAAAATTGGACAAATACAGACTCACACACACATTTAACACCCATGTCCGAGGCCGGAATCGAACCGGCGACCTTGCGTCTACTAGAATGCGGCGCAATCATTTCGACCACAAGGCCGACCGATACTAGACAAAATAGGTACTTGTTGCTTAAGCCATTTATACTAAAAAGAAGAAGAATCATATATAAATTAATAGTTACTCTGTCATATCTATAGAAGTTCCAGATAGTTCTGGCAGCTGTGGCCATAAAAGCAAACCACAATCCATAGAAGATATTTTATGACTGTCTAAACCAGATGACGTTTTCTCATATATTTCCCTGATGTTTCCGTGGCTTTGGCTTTGACAGCTGTTTAGAAAATATTTATTTGAAGATCCTTCAGTTTTGAGCGTGATCTAAGAAAGATGAACAATAAAACAAAAAATAAAAATCCAATATACTCATACTAGAACAATGTGAATTAGTAAATAGACTTATATAAATTATGTACTGTCTGCAGTGGCTCATTCCAGTGTTGTTGATGCCAAAACCATCGAATCCAGCATTAGTGCAGACCCACGTAATGTTTATGGTTCTCTATCTGATCGGATTTTTTCTGGAAAGGAAGCCCTGTACAGTGTGCACACTAGTGTTTCTAGTAACAGTATTCCTAGTATGTTATAGCGGCTCCGGCAACTGCCTGTTCTGGGGCACCTTTTGCGAGAACGACAATGGATAACAGTGGCCTTATAAAATCCTGTGCGGGTTTAAGAACGTATTTTTTAACACGTTTGTACAAACTTGATTCCTGATATAGGATATGTTGTGTATTGTTAAACGCTTTCAACCTAATTACTAACGATTATTTATTATTAAAATGTAAATACTCTTGTTCGCCTAATGTATACAATGTATTGTACAAACTCTTTTAGACATAGCCTGGATTGTATTGCTTATATCACACCAAAGACCGAAATTGAAAAAAAAAAAATTAGATTAAGTTTAGAGGCTTATTGATGGCAGCTTTATTTTACTTTGTATATTATTAAATATATAATTGTTCCTTTTTTTTTAATTAGATATTACCAATAAAACTATTTTCAATGAGTATTATGCCTGATTTTTTCAGGTGAAATAGGATAAAACTGATTCACTTGTAATAATAACTGGTTTATTTTCAAAAAGCAAACAGTACAAAAAAAAAACGAAAATGTGAAAAGTTCAATAAAAAATATACAAAACCTGAAACTTAAGAGCTAAAATTAATTAAATATCACTCAAAAGACATAAGATTGCTGGGCAAGGGAACAGGCTCCCCGTTTGAAGCTTTTTGAAGGGACTTGCACCATTTTTCTGCTAAACTTCTGTTACCGACACGAAATTTATACACATTACCTAAAAAAACAACCATTTAATAAAATATTTTTATTATTATTATACCGTGTGATCGAAAGTAAACGGCGTCAGCGATGGCTATGAAATGAAGATCGCTGTCATTTTATATGTAAAATTATATGGGGAATGTCATTTCCAAGCCAACTGGACGCCGATTTTTTTCGATCATACTGTATATTTCTTACCTTTAATATGGTCAACCAACTGAAAAGAATCTTGGTGCAATGTAGCGTCGCAATAAAAAACCTGACAACTGGTTAAAGACACCATTTTGCAAGGCTCCCTTTTGAAATCTGATCTTTGGTGTCTGAAAAAAAAACCTATTATTTTGTCAGGATTTAACAAGAAAATTCTTCCATACCCTTTGAATGACTTTGGTGAGAAGTACAGAAGAGAACTTTGCCAAATTTGTAACCAATATCTTTGCCAAGAAGAAACAGTCGGTTTTTTACCATCTTTTAAGACAGTTTTTCTTCTTACACAGCCCTGCATAATACAATTATTATCTCCTGAACTTGTATTATCTTCCGGTAATCTGAAAATAAATATTTTAAAACTTACCGAGGCGTAAAAAATAAATAAAAATGGCGTCATGGTAGTTTTTGGCATTTATAAAGTTGTCAAAGGCTACTATGGCGTCGTTTTTTAAATTATGTGTACCTGGATAAAAGTGTACAGTTTTCCTCTGTGCTTTGTGATGCGTCCAGCGCGGGTAGATCACCGGTCGGTGATGGTACATTGTGTGATAATTGTGATGTTCTGTGTGCGTCTTCCACTTCGGAATCGTCCAGTAAATTGAGTGTTTTCGGTTTTTCTTTGAGATCGAAAGCGGTGCTTTGAGTTTTGGAAAAAATGCTGCGAAAGAAATGAATGGTACGTGATAGTGTACAGAAATTTCATAAAATTTTTAATTATATCTTGAATAGATATACAGGGTGATTCTGAACCTATACGCATAAACTTGGGAAATTATTGCTGATGAAAAATAGTAAAATATTTTTAGATTCTGAAATAATTCATGAGTTTTTTTTCACAAAAATGTATCAACTTTATCAGTAAATGCACATTCAATTTAATGGAATTTACATTTTTTTTGTTTTTATTTCAAATAGTTTGTTATCTCCGTAAATAAAAATATTTTACTAACTTTTTTTTTCATCATTAGTCATTATTTGTCATCAGCAATAATTTCCCAACTTTATGCGTATAGGTTAAGAATCACCCTGTACAAAACATAACATAAGCCTGATGGTCAGTAACCTTGGAATTCCTGTTAAAAATCTTTAGCAAGCGAAACTATACAAAATTGAATTTAAAATTAATAATAAATACCTAATTATTGTTCTAGCTGTTCAAATAATTCCATCTATAAAATCAATAAACGTAAAAAATATACTGTCATATCTAAATTATACTATTTAAAAAATACATGCTATAGCTCTTATCACGTAAATTTTCCTATTTAAGTTGGTATGAGTAAAAAGAGAGTCGAGCTAAACTAAATTTAGACCAAGTCGTGTCCACATTACAACGACTTGTCCTTCAGTCTTTCGTATTCTGTCATATCATCACTCTTGCTATCAGTTTTTGCTATTTGTTTAAATAAGTTAAAAAAAGGCAAGTTAAACTTTTTAACTATGTCTCTACTAGAATTTATTGGGGTGTTTTAATCGTTCAGAGAATTAAGTAAACTAAAATACTATAGAGACGGATTATAAATATATTCATCCCAGCACCCAAACGAATAGGTTTATTAAGTTTCGATAATTCTTTTGTGTAAACAGTTCTAAGTGAATTAATTTTTTCTTTACTGTATTCCTAGTCGCTTCAGGGTCCACGTCCTTGAACTTTTCAATAATACTCTCTTAGGTCCGATTTTTCTTTTACCTGTCACGGTATTCTTTTAATTTACTTGCCATAAGGAAGGGAAACTCTGATTGAACTGCCTCTATACTATTCGCGAAATAACCCGAAGTAGATCAAAATCTAATAGCGAAGACGGATATTTCGTATTTCCTCGCCTATCTTTGCCTGTTCTCGACTTATTTTCATTAAACGAGAAAACACGAAGTAACCATCTCACTTTTGTCGACGCAAGCAAATCGTACGATAAGTCGTTGCGTTTGGACCGCGCTTTACCATTCTCGATATCCAATGTTGAAACTAGGAAAAGTATCGTGAGAAGAACTATATATATTTATGACGTATGCCTATTCTACAGAAAATAAATATATTAATGTGCTTTTTTCTGTATAAAAATTGTAAAATTACAAAAAATGTGTGTACTGAATCTAATTTCGAATCACGATAAAAACGAAGCTAAAAATAATAAAATACATTGAGCTAATCACAATAACTTTAATTGTAGACTGCCTCAAACCAATATAATGCTCATTTACCAACTATGTATAGGGTAAGCCCAAAAACTTACCTAATGTGGGGCATTTTATGAAAATTTCGAGGAAGACTTGTACTACGAAATCTATGAAAAAATTTCAGAGACAATGACGAATGAAACATGAAACGAATTTGTAAACAAAAAATAAAACTTTATGCAAATAAATAATAAATTTGCGCTGAAAATGTTGTTTTTTTTCTTTTAACTAGAAATAAAAATATATTCTTATATAAAATATAAGAACTAAGTGTCATTTTTATTATTATAATTAAAATAATAGAAAATAAAACTAATAAAAAAAGCACGACGAAACAAAAATTTAACTTTAATAATAGAGACATATTGACTTACTTAGTGCCTAAACTTCTGCATTTTCTGTGTCCAGGTATGAACTTGCTTCCAGACGTTACAGCCTGTAAACGAAGGGATCCAGAAGATGCCTTGGCGGGCGACAAATTTAAGGAAGCAATAGCCAGAGGATCAGCCAAAACAGATTCTTTGGAGCTGTTGTTTGAAGAACTAGGAATTGGTGATTGTGGTTCTATTTTTAACGACAATCTACAAGAAAAAAATATTGAAACTGTATGTTGAGTTCATACAGTTTTTAGCTATTTTAATGAAATATGCCAGTGTTTCTGCTCAGTGTTTGACAGTGGCGCCCGAAACAATTTCTTGGACTGTCCAAAAGCGTACCTAAGAAAAAATAGTAATGTACGGAGTGTCCCATTTTCGTGTTTTTTACAGATTTTTTTCGTTTAGAGCGGAGGCACAAAAACGCGGTTTGCACATCAAAGTGCTACTTTTTTTTAAGAAACAAAGGATGCTATACACAGATTTGTTCTAGCCTGAGTTTTTCATGTAGAATCCAGTGGCGTACCTAGGTTGTCGCTGTAAGCTGTCATTTTCGAAATATGACTCAAACTCATGTGTTTATGAATGGGACACTCTGTATATCATTTCTTATTTTATTTGCCTTGTTACTTGGAATCTTCTTCATCTTTTAATGGCGCTTACTGCCAGTTGGCCTTATAGAAGGTTATAATTTATTTTTATATTCAGTAGAAATGATTTTTAAATGACGTAGTTTAAAATTCGAGATAAAATAATATCTCTGAAATAGATGTTGGAGACGTTCTATAATTTTTTTTAATTTTCTATAATAATTATAGCTAGTGTTAATTTTTGATCTAGAGATTGACCTCGCCAAAATCATCAATTGTCATCGCCAGCCGTCTTTGACGCCGTTTTTCGATCATACGGTAGTTTACTTACTTGTATTGGTCGTCCTCAACGAATTTCTGTAACTCCTCTATGTACCTGATAGAATTTAAATAATCCAAAATATGCGGAATCTTAACTAGATGAGAATAATTCGAGTGTTGATAGTTTGAAATAATTCTTAGTATGTTGTTCATTTTCAGCGTTCTTTGGTGAGATTCAAGCCCTCCAGAATGAGGATGGGCCATGTCAATGTAAATTAAATCAGTCAAATATAGACCTACAAAAAATATACATAAAAATAATTCTGTTTTATATGAATTTTATTCCAAAATAACAATAAATAAGACGACCAAGGAAGAAGTATATCCACAGATATAGAGGTACGGAGAATGAGCTTCGACGAGTGCGCATCCAAATTTTTTTATATGCCGTGGTCGCGCTTGTGTCTACAGGGGAGATCAATAAGTAATAATAACGGCCGATCTTCTGATTTGTTTGAGTTTAATTTCATCTTTTAAGTTCAAAAGAAGTTTAAATATCGTAGTAAAATATATGTGGAAACAAACATGAATAAAATTAAAAGCAGGTTAGAACTCACAATTAATCCCCCAGACTGTTACATATCCGATATTTCTCCGTGGTAGTCCACCAGCCTATAGATAATAATGAAAGGTATAGACTGTGACGGAACAATTTTTTTAAAAATCCTTTGGGTGTATGGGCGGATATTAGAATTTTTGCACACGTTCATGCTCATTCTACCTACCTCTATATCTCTGAGTATTCCAATAAACTTGACAACGCCGTGTAAAACCGGTTTGCAATATGGCTGACGTCCAGTTAATTAATGGCGTTCGATTTTTTATTAAAACAATATATGACTTCATTGGTCATTTTATTTAATGTATTTTTTACCTAAGTACGGTATACAGGGCAATTTAAGACTTTCAATGTGTTTCCTTAAGTTTTCCCAATTATTCGAGTCCGAGAACACTTCAGCTAATTTATCAAAAGATTGCTTATCTTTTTTAGGCAAACTTCCCCACGTTTTAGACAACCTAGAACAAAGATAATAAACAAATTTTCGATAAAATTATAAAAAAAAAAAAAACTGGTTTGTGACTTGCCTATAAATCGAGGCACTTTGCAAGGCTGAAACTATAGCAAACAGCGAGTGTAAGTTGTTGAGTTCATACAGTTTTTTAGCTATTTTTATGAAATACGCTAGTGTTTCTGCTCGGTGTTTGACAGTGGCGCCCGAAAGAATTTCTTGGACTGTCCAAAAGCTTACCTATGAAAAAATCCTAATGTAAAGAGTGTCCCATTTTCGTGCATTTTACAGATTTTCTCGTATAGAGTGGAGCTACAAAGATGCGGTTTTCACATCACTGTGCTACTTTTTTATGAAATTAAAGATGCTACATACAGATTTGTCCTAGCCTCAGTTTTTCACGTAGAATCCATTGGCGTAAATAGGTTGTCGCTGCCAGCTGTCATTTTCGAAATATGACTCAAACTTAAGTGTTTTGAACTTATGAACTTTCTAAAAATATAATATACTCCATACTTATTTTCTTAAAGAAGGTAAAAATGCATTATTTAACTTTTCAACATAAATCAATCTAGTTTAAAGAAATATTATTGTTTTATTTTATTTAATTAAAACTGATAATCTTGCTTTCCATCCTGTTTTCTTAATAAACTGAAAATGAAATTGTGCTGTTTTTAGATAACACGCTGTTAGAGTTACTGATATTTTTGACGCACTTGTGCAATAATTTTACACACAGAAGCTAGCGTGGAAAAACCAATAACCAAAATTTGACGTAGAATAAATTATTTGATTGTTTTGATTACCTAATTCAAAACCGATTGCCTACGTTAAAAAGTTAGACAACATATTTTTTACCTTGTTTATGAAAATAAGTATAGAGTATATTAAATTTTTAGAAAGCTCACAAGACAAATAAAATAAAAAATAATAATATAGACGGTTTCCCATTTAAGAAAACCTAATTTTGAGTCATAATTCGAAAATGACAACTTCTAGCGCACATCTAGTTACGTCATTGAATTCTACGTGGAGAAGAGACGAGGAGGGTCGAGAAATAAAAAAAGGTCCAACCAACAACTTCAAATTCGCCCTGTATTTCAGGAACTAAAAGGGCTAGTACAAATCTGTGTGTAGCATCTTTAGTTTCATGAAAAAGTTGCAAACTCATGCGAAAACCGCATCTTTGTATCTCTACTCATAAACGAGAATCCCCATAAAACACACGAAAATGGGACCCCCTGTACCGGGTGGTCCATATTATTTTTGAAAGACTCACGTGATTGAATCTGCGTGAGAATGCCACAACGTTTGGTGCTACGCTCAGTTTGTTCTTCTTGTTCCAGGCGCAGCTCGACAGTTCTTCCGGTTGTATGCTGGCGAACACCGGCCAGTCCAAGATGGTGAGCTGCGCAGCGAATTCTTCTGCCGGTATGCGCAGAATGTCGAATATGGCGCAGCTGTAGTTCTGTCTACAGGCTGTTGCGCCATGACAGTTCCTGTTCGGCAGGCTCTGAGTTTTGATTTCGGCAGGTACAGAGGAAATGTCGGAAGATCTAAAATTTGGTTTTATTCTGCTTAATTCGAAATATTCTCTAACTAGAGAGACGTTTGCAAGTTTTTACAATTTTGCAAAGAACAAAATTATTCGAGTGCGCCAGATATTCAAAAGGGATGTTAAGTGAACCATAAAGAAGCTTCTATTGAAAAGACTTCTATTGATGATTTGGACGCGACCAAAACTAATGGCAGATTTTTTAGATATATACTGTCCTCAGTACTACACTTTATTGGGGATTTTATTTACTTCGACTTGTAAAATAGGCAGATTATGTTTTCCCGTGATTCTTGAACGATTTCCTTCAAAATAAAAAAATAACCAAGTTCGAGAATGCCCAGGTGACTTTTTTGCAACTTTGTGTCTCCAAAATGAATAAAACTGAATCCTATTTCTTTACGGTACGCTTAAATCGTCAGATTATTTAAAGGCACATTTTTCTGCATATAATTAACTCACCTTGCCAGACTCTGATTCTTTATTGATTTTGTGCAATACGTTTCTAGTTATTTTTATGTAAATTTTATGCTTCAAACTGCTTACCCATAATTGAAGTAAATTCCGGGGGGTCCAGGTCCACTTGCTATACCAGGCGTTGATATTTTCCTACGTCTAATATCGAAGGATTTTGTACTACATTCCGGGAAAGAGTCTAACGTTTTCGATGTATTGAAGTCAGAGTATTTCGTTGTCAAAATAATATCTTCGGAATTCTATAAGTCATAAAATATTTAATTCAGGGAGGTGAATTTAGATCAAATAACGTTATCAAATATACACAGAGGATTGTATGGTAAAAAAATTGTCGAAGAAAAAGAAGTACAAAAATACCATAGAACTTCTATAAATGTAAGGACCATGCTTACCTGCATTGTGCCACTTATAAAATAAAATAAAAAACGAATGAAAAATAAATATTAAGTATAAATGATTCAATATTAACGGTTAGTTTCATCATGGTAAATTCCATTTATCTTTATATTTAAAAAAATATATTTTTTTAAATAACCGTATATATACAGGGTGAATCAATATTCAAATAAAGTCAATTGTATAAACTGCACTCCCCATTTTTCTGTACAGAATTGAATTTGGTATAAAATTCTGTATATAGCAAATTATTTTTATTGGAAGCACTATGCAGCGTTGCCATGACATTTTTTATTTACTGAAACTTATGAAAAAAAATATGTCGGAAAAGTAGCTACAACATGGTGTGAATTTAACTTTATGAATGCTTAACTATATTTCCCTAAAAATCAAGAATAACAGAATAAATCCGTGAAAAAAAGCTCACATTATCTCATGCAGGATATTTTTCATGGCGTGGACAACTTTGTGATATTTAAAATGCTTTATCTAAACATTTTTAAACGTAACACCCTGTATATTATTTTTCTTCTAGATGCAGAATTAAAAAACGAACATTTTTTGTAATTAATGTGTCCGTATATTTTTAACGGTTTCGTACTTAAGATATAGATCGTTCCATTTAATAAACTACAATTGAAGTGTAAATCGTACTTGAATCACTCTATATATCCAGGAAAATATTTTTAAAATGTGGGCTACTATGACCGGAATATTTGATAGAAAATCTTGGAGTGAAAATATCAAATAGGAATCCTTACATGAAGCTTTCTGTCAACACTGGGACACCCTGTATATACGCGTATTTACTTACCTCGGGTATTTTGAGTGTGGAGATGCTGTCTCCTGAAATATCTCTCGGTATTTCCGAATATCGAAGCATTTTCAAGTCATGTTTACGCTTAATTTGGGAGAACTGAAATTAAAAAAAAAGAAAAAAAATTGTGTGTGTGCACTATGTGCGCATATTTGAAAAAGTGTAGTTTGAAATGTTGAAAAGGTAATAATTTAAAAATTAATAAATAATTTCATTCCCTTTCACAAAATTTATATTATTAAAATGATCTTAATAAAAATTTTGTGAACTCTTCGAGCCCCATCTACATTCCAATTTTCAGTCCTTTAGCTCACATAGGGCCCGAGTTACGATGCTCCAAAGACCCATCTCAACTTCCTCATTGGCTTCCTCACTTTTTCGATCGTTACCACTTTTCGTCTCGCCTGTTATCTTGCTAGCTCGTGTGTCAAGGCCTTTAATTTTTAATCCCAGCGCGCGTAAAGAACTATCACTTCAAAAATATCATACACACTTTAGCTAACATTAGTCTATCCAAGAATTTTCTAGTGCGATTTAGATTATTTTATCAGTATAACAATTATTTTTGAAAGGATATCCTGTGATATAAGTTTACAGAGAAATTGATGAGCAATTAAAAATATCTGTCTGATTATACAGGGTGGTCAGAATTGTATTCGGGAACCTTCTGCTGCATATTCTGCGAATAAAAATAAGTAAGAAAGTTCGTATAAATACATCGTTGGTATACAAGAGAAAGTGACCAAGTTCATTATTAACAAAAATGTTTTATTTACTTGTATTTTTTTTATACATATCTGTACCCCAGCAGCAAACTATATAAAGTAACAAAACAGTTTTGAGAAAAACGAATTTAAAGTTCTTTTTTAAAGTAATTTCCTAATTACTCGGTTATTGTTAAACCTATGAATGTAATATTTGGTATAAGAACAACTTATTTTAAACTTAAATAAAATGTAAAACATTTTTTTTAAATAAATTATTCACCAAAGTTAATTAAACTTTTTTTGGAGCCACTTAACATAATTTTTATATTAGAAGAAAAAATTACAGGGCTTAACTTATATTAAGTCCCTATTTATGCCAAAATGAATAAAGTAAAACCATTTTAAGTTCAAATAAAAGTATATTATATTACTGATATGCTTCAACTTCGCCTTTTGTAATACTTATGGATTACAATAAAGACTATTTATTATTATTATTATTATATAATAAGAAATCATTTAACACGAAATTGTAAAACAGGAATGTGCGTTGCAATTTGGAACCAATTTACTATCTTTATTAAGTTTAAATTGAGCCCTCTACTCTATAATTGCAAAACTGTCAAAATCAATTTTCGTCACTTTCGTCGACAAGTGGACATAACACACTACAAAATGTCAAAAGTTGACATATTATATGTCATTCTATTCGGAATTCGGAGTGTCATTTTCTATCGAATAAAGTAAAAAAATACCGAGGGTGCCTTTTAAAAATTAAAAGTTGTAGTCATTTCCGGTGAAACAGGAAGTGGCCAAAAACAATTGAATTCGTCAATCAATCCCAATTTATGATATATACTAACATACCAAATTTCGTTTTTTATCTAAAAAAATAAAAAAGTTATAGTGGTGAGCCACTTTCGAGATGCACCCGGTATACCATGATTGACAAAAAATAAGCATGCTGACTGATAGTTTTTAACTGAAATGATAAATTTGTGAACTTTTTATTTTATTTAAAATTAATCATAAACTCTTCTAAAAAAAATATGATAAAACAGTTTCTGTTGAACTTTTGGCACAAAAACTTTTCAAACTTATATTTCATTATTATTTCAGAATAATATTTATCCAGTGAACCTCGTAATTTTGCGTACGCTCACGACGATCGCAAATTAAGATGCGAAGATGGCTGAAAAATTGAATTTTTAAAACGCATTCGTTTTCTAACACTCGCAAAGTTGCGCGTTCGCATGTAAACGATCAATTCCAAAAATTGCCCCCCTGGTTCAAATTAAAAAAGTAGAAAAAGGACTCAAAGTCTCGGTCTCAACGTTTATACAATGTTAAACTATTACACGTGTTTCGCTCATATACGAGCATCATCAGACAAATACAATTAAAATTAATCCAAATACACGTTCACATTTTACAATTAAAACAACACTATACATATATCAGTGTTGTTTTAATTGTAAAATGTGAACGTGTATTTGGATTAATTTTAATTGTATTTGTCTGATGATGCTCGTATATGAGCGAAACACGTGTAATAGTTTAACATTGTATAAACGTTGAGACCGAGACTTTGAGTCTTTTTTCTACTTTTTTAATGTATTGAATTATTTCGATTCCAAATATCTTGAAAACCATTACTCGTAGCGAATTTTATCAAGTGACCTTTTACGTAAAAAATGGCAGAAATGTATATTTTTTCAGTAGTGTAATACAGGTACGGACGAAAATTTATTATGTACTTACAGTTTAAAAATAATGTATCTATTAAAATAAAAATATTCTCTTTACTTACAAAACAAGTAATCATAGCTCTTTTTAACTTAGAAATTTTCTTCACAAACTTCCACCGTCTCAGACTAGAACTACACATTTCGCGTACAGTTTTTCGTAATAATTATTCCGTTAAAAACAAAGACAATGGTATAAAATGTAAACGACATTTACATAATCCAAAGTATAAAAAAATAAGCATTCAATCGAAAAATTTAGGGATAAAATGCCTGTTTAAATCGGTAGACGAGGTGTGCATGTTATCGGTGCGGCACCTTCACTTTTTTTCATTTAACTAGTACTGTAACTACTGTACACACTGCATTGTTTACTATTAGATTATAGCGGATGTAGTTTGGCGGTTAAACAAGTGTGTCAGCGGTATTATAGCATGGGATTTTCACTTTATAATAAAATATACCGAGCGTTTGGCAGACACGCAGACAGCATAAAAAAATTGTGTGTGCACTATCTGCGCATAATTGAAAAAAAAAGAAAACTTTTTACTTCCGTCTGTCTTCCAGATACACAAATCTATTAAGAAAACTATGTTTTCTCGAATTTTAAACTACACCGTTTAAAAATCATTTTTAGACAATATAAAAATAAATTACAACCTTTTAAAGGCCAACGGCAGTAAGGGCCATTAAAAAATAAAGAAGAGTACGGGCTAAATAAATGAGGTCTAGTGCTTGACCTCGCTAAAATGATGATCGATTGTTATTCCCCGGTGTCTTTGACGCCGTTTTTTTTATTTTCGATCGTATAATATTAGTGACACTCATTTCAGAGCCTTCGGATATGGCTGGTTCCCGTGGAAAACATATCTTTCTTGAAAACCTTTTAAATTTTTTAATTAAAAATATAAAAACTTTACAGCCCTGCTACTAAAAACTTGACCATAACTTGACCACCTATAATATAATTGCAAAAGAATCTTTCGATGCATATTTGAACTAAATTATGTTTGCTAATGCAATATAGAGAAACGCATATCTGTTGGATAAAGATTCTTTAATTTTATAGTTACTAGGCCGAAGAAAAGTGGACCAGACAAGAAATGCAGTGATATAGAATCACATTTAAGAATTTTAAACTCCTGAAAAATGAGTAATCAGTAATACATAATTAAATATATCTACCTCTCTCTAAAGCTTTGACCTATAATTTTTTAATATTGCTAATTTTAACGTAAAAAAAATTTCTTAATAGTTTTAGGGACTAATTAACAAACTTGGTTAGTGGAAATAATTGGGATTTCGAATTTTTGTAATCGATAGTTGGAAATAAAAGAAAAAAAGTGAAATCATGGGCTTCAATAGGTACGTTTTCATTTTTTATGCATTTGTAGCAAGAATAGAAACAAGGCCAAACATTTTCATCATATAACAGGAATCAATATGTGTATAAAAAAGTTTCTATTGTTTTAAAAAACCGGACTAGCCCACTGAAGGTTCCGTATAAAGACTATATTTTTTATGGCTCAATTACAAATGTATAGTTTTCAGATTTTTCCCTATACTTGTCGTATACGACGATATTACTTGCCAATTTTCATAGATTTTTTTTCACAGCTTCAAAAGAGTGTAGATGAGTAAATGGTTTTAATTTCAACTCGATACCTCCACGCGTTCCCGAGATAAAGAGTCTCGACCATTGATCTTGACAGACGGACGGACAGACAACAAAGTGATCCTATAAGGTTCCGTTTCTTCCCTTTGAGCACTGAATATCTAGCTACGCAATATGCGTATATATTCTGTGCTTTGAGGTACGCAATCGGAGGCTACAAATGTTGAAGTCTTAAAAAACAATAAAAAACTTTCAGTTTTTTGTTTTAATCAAAGAAAAATAAGTACGCCTAGAGGGGTTCTACAGTATTCCGGGCTTTCAGAGATCCTTATCTAATTATATAAAATAGAAAAAACGAATTGCATAAAATGGTGAAAACTATATCGTAAATTCGGAGTATTTACATATTTTACTTTAGTTACTGGTTGTATGATATATTTCACCTTGAAACGCATTGAACAGCTGATGGTACTACATACTACAAAACACCTGCCGTTGGTACGATTTGGGTTCAACGGTAAAAGTTTTATCGCTGCTGGTAAATAAATAACGCGGTGTGAACGAACTACCGCGGCACGCTTCTTGCGGTATTTCCACCACTTTTTTTGAAGTCGATCAAGCGTATAAGAAGCATCTCATATATACAGGGTGATCCACTTGACGATGATCCACTAAAGTTGATCACAGTTGATGATGATTCCAGAAAAACGACGTCACCAAACGATAAAGCTAAAAAGTTTCTTTGAGAATGTAATTGTAGATATTTTCTAATAATTGTCAAAATAAAAAAAACTCGTACAAAAACAAAACAAAAACCGTAAATTTAAGTTTTCCGCCATATTTCCGGAAAATACAGAGATAAGTTCAATTACTCAACGGATTATCATTGGACTCATTAACAGGCAATTTTGAACTAATTTAAGAAGCCCCCTCGTATCTCTTACCACTTCCTAGATCGCAATGGTGAGAGTCGAATTTGAAACACCCTGTATAATCAAGATGAGATAATTTAAAAAAGTTATTAGAGATATATGTTAGGGATTTCTACTTTTTGAAGTGAATAAACTTCTTTACGCGCGCTGGAAGTAAAAATTCAAGGCCGTCACACGACACGCGACACGACACAGGCGAGAGGAAAAGTGGTATGGATCTAAGGTATGGAGAGTCTACGGCTTAGAAAAAATCATCCAAGGCCAACTTGACCGTGTACGATCGGCAAAAAAATGTGGGCTAATATTGGTATAATTGGGGACGGGCTACAGGATGACTCCCTCGACGTTTGGAACCGATGCCTCTAATGGACGAAATCATCAGGATTTTTCTTAATTATAGGTCGACTGGAACCAAACTCGGCACGTGGATAGACGTACCCGAATGGAGTCCTCAAACGGTCATTTTAATAAAAATTTTGTGAAAGTGAATCAAATTATTTATTAATTTTTAATATTACTTTTTCAACCTTTCAAACTACACTTTTTTAAAAAGGTCCTTCAAATCCTTCAATTTAATAGCTGTTAGTAAGAAGTTTCACTTCAAATAAGCGCACATAGTGCACACACAATTTTTTTTGAGTCTGACTAAAACTCCATAAAATAAAAATAAATTTTATCCGATCTGTTTTGTGTGGTAGGTATCAATCCCGTGATCAATTTTTGAAGAAAAGCCAAATTTCTGTTATGTTAACTAGGGATATTTATATTATACTCGTTTACACTTATTAAGGTGGGTTCATACAGCCAAATAAAATAAAATAAGAATAAAATAAAATAAGAAATAAGAAATTCTTATTTGTGCGCGTTCATACAGCCAAATAAAATAAAATAAGAAATATATATTTGCTCATGCGCTGTACGATGAAGCTGGATAAAAGTTAACTTTTACGATTGTTTATAGTAATTTTACTATTTATAGTATATTTATTTATTCGTTGCCCACTATATTATAAATTTTACTTATGTGAAATTATAAAATAAATTAATCCAAACTGAAAATATTTGTAGGTTAGAATTAAGCTTGCGCAAAGCCGTTTTCACATAAAATAAAACAAGTTAAAAGATAAATGGTGGGTTCATACAGCCAAATAAAATAAAATAAGAATAAAATAAAATAAAATAAGAAAGTTGGTTATATGGGATACCGTACATGCGTTCATACAGCCAAATAAAATAACAAATAAAATAAGAAGTCTTTATCTTTTAATTTCTTGTTTTATTTTATGTGAAAACGGCTTTGCGCACGCTTAATTCTAACCTTACAAATATTTTCAGTTTGATTTAATTTATTTTATAATTTCACATAAGTAAAATGTATAATATAGTAGGCAACGAATAAATAAATATACTATAAATAGTAAAATTACTATAAACAATCGTAAAAGTTAACTTTTATCCAGCCTCATCGTACTGCGCATGAGCAAATATATATTTCTTATTTTATTTTATTTGACTGTATGAACGCACACAAATAAGAATTCCTTATTTCTTATTTTATTTTATTCTTATTTTATTTTATTTGGCTGTATGAACCCACCAAAAGACTTCTTATTTTATTTGGCTGTATGAACGCATGTACGGTATCCCATATAACCAACTTTCTTATTTTATTTTATTTTATTCTTATTTTATTTTATTTGGTTGTATGAACCCACCATTATTTGTTTTACTAACAATATATTAATGAGTTAAACATTATTATCAACAAACAGAGGACAAAAACAATCTCAAATTCTTCCTTTCAAAGATTCGTTGACCATAATTTTATGATAAAAATTGTTTACTTTTCAGATTAAATTTTGTTATATACCTACTCATAAAATTTACTTTAAATATGATTTTTTAACAAATTTTATTCTTTTTCATTATCTTTTAATAATTCTTGTAATATTCCTTGTAGGTACATAATAACACAGATAACTGTTATCTGTGATAATAATTATAACAAATAATGTGAATAACTTTAACAAGTTTTATATGGATCAAATTAATTTTAACTAAATATAAAATATTATAAAATTAATTTAAAGTCTACCTATGCACCTGATAAGGGAGTATTAAATTTAAAATAATTTATTAACTATTTTTATTATGTATAGTTTTTCTTATTTCCCTTAGAAAATAATGAACTTTAAATGAAATCTAAAGATATTTTAATCTTGACTTATTTTAAACTGAGTTCAAGGTTTTGAACGATATAGTTATAGGATATTGTTTCTGATTATTACTAGCATAGATTTATACTTGAAAAGTTAGTTAAAAATAATATTTTAAATAGGGCAATATAAGTAGGTACTAATAATAGATCTAACATTGAACAATTTCAATATCAATGTATTATGACCCTTATTATAAATAAATAAACAAACTGTTAAGTAAAATACACTTTAAAAATAATAGTATAAAAAATGCGAGTTTATTTTCCCCAAAATTTGTATATATATTGTTTTGAAAGAAGCATAAACAAAAAATGTTTGGTGTTGGTAAATTGTAAATACTTACAAGGATTTTGTTGTTACACTTTTAAATCTTGAATATATTTCTTACCCTTTTTTATACAAGTTTTTCACTGAAATTTATTCACATACATCTTTTATTGTTTACTTAATTTTTATATTATCTTTATGGAGCTGAAACTGAAATAATGAAATTGACTGAAATGAAAAAATGGAAATTGATCGACCAATGATATTTCGTCAATTTGAGGTGGGGACTCTGTCAATTTAAGTTTTTGTTGAAAAATAAGGTTGGTGACAGTGCTTTCTAAAATTCTTGTCATATGTAAATCGTATATGACTGCCTTAATTCTGTACGCGCCTGAAAAATGAAAAAGAAGAGAGAAAATGGTGGGAAAAACTAACCTTAGAATTTTTTGACAGTTAAATTTTTATCTTCAAATTTTTATTGTTTTTTTATTTATCCGCTGTAAAAATATTTGTCAGTTTATTTTAAACTATATTTCAGAAGTAACTTGTTCACTGTAACACGCGAAAATGAATAATATAACGAATATCGTGATGAAACCGTTAGAAAAGTCGATTTATTTAAAGCCCTACACAATGCACTTTACACAAAATGGGGCCAAAAGAACCTGGGATTTGTTAAGTATTCATGACAGTGTAGCCATACTACTGTTTAATATATCCAGAAATGTACTTATTATGGTAAAACAATTTCGACCAGCGGTTTATTTAGGAACAATCAATCCAGAAGACCGTAAAATGGATTCTCAGATTGACACAAAGAAATATCCTCCAGAAAATGGAATTACCATAGAATTTTGTGCAGGGATTGTTGATAAAAAGCTCTCTTTAGCTGAAATAGCTAAAGAAGAGATTTTAGAGGAATGTGGGTATGATGTACCCTTGTCATCATTGCAATTCATAGGTATATATTTTGTGTTTAATTTTTATTTGTTTTACCGTTAAATGGGTTTTTAGGTTCCTATCGTTCTGGCGTTGGAACATCAGCCAGTGTCCAAACGGCATATTATTGTGAAATAACAGACGAAATGAAAGTTACAGAAGGCGGTGGCACTGAAGAAGAATTAATAGAAGTTATAGAAATGACTGTAGCCGATGTTAAAAAATATGTAACCCAACAAGATATAGTACAGAGCCCACCTAGTTTCCTTTTTGGTATATATTGGTTCCTTTTAAATAAAGGACCTTCACTAAAATTATAAGATAATTGAAACCTTATTTCTATTGTGTTACACGCTTTTAGATAAGTTTTACTTGTTATAATATTAAGAGTATTTTATCAAAATATAAATAAACGTTTTTATTCAAATAGAGGAAATTGTATTGTTTTAACTTACTACTTTTAACAACTAAGAAAAAATACCTGCAAGGTCTGTAAATAATTTATTAAGTATAAGAGCAATAATTTATATTTAATTTAGCAAAAATAATTTCTAAATTTGATGTTTATCAACAGAAAGAAAAGCTTATTAAAGAAGAATGATGTTAAGATATGTATTTTTTCCATTCAGAAATAGCATACTAGTTTTAATAAATTTTGAGACTTAATAGACATGTTACACCCTGTATATTTTCTTTAATGAGGAAATATAGAGTGAGACAGTATCCCAAAAAGGTTTTTCACACAATATGTGAGGAATGGCAATACAATTTTTTATAATATTTTTGTAGGTATATACAGCGATTTTACGTACATTCTTTTTGCATCAATAATACGTAGATAATGCGCTTTTTCAGAATACTGACTCACTCTCAGGTCACTCTGGTATATTTTAATAGGCTTTTCTGTATGCTGAGAAAATTGACTAAGTATATCAATCACAGCATAAATAAAACATTAATTAATGCATGTGTGGGGTGATTAGGTCAAACACGAATATAGAATTTTGCAAATGAATTCATCAAAATAATGATTTTTAAAGATACATTTCAAATAACCCTTAAAAATGTGTTTTAAAACAATATTTATCAGATCATTTAGCTTGACCTCTCACCTCTTAATTTAAAAAAATGAAATAATTCCATCTATATTAAAATTTCTCCATATAATTTATAAGACATAAATAAACAAAATACTCAACATTAATCTGTATACATATATAATCTATTATCTACAAATATTATCATTTGTTTAAGTGTATGTATAAGTTTAATTACAGAGTGATGCACATTTAATTCTTAAATACACTCTGTTTCTAGAGCTATTCCTTTTCTATTATCAGATAATATATGATAAAGTTTGAAAAGGTTTTCATAATTATGGAATTGATTCTCGAAAAAGTAAGAGATTCTTTTATTACAAAAAAATTATATAAAACTTTTTACATTTAGCTTAGGTAATTAAAAAAAACTGTTTGTATATAATTTATTGTCATTAATATATGCTGCGTTTGGTCATTTCTAAGAGCTTTTTGTTTATAATATTATTAAAATAAGACAGAGGAAATTTATTTTGATAATAAAATTTACATAATTTAATTGGGTATGCAACCAGCAATATAGGTAAAAACTGACTTAAGTTATATTTAAATTAAATAATACAAAGCGCTTCTTTATTCAAGAGAATAATAAATAGGTATATTATACAGGATGGCACGACGGGGTCTCCAAAAATCTGAATATTAGGTCTCCTATTTGAGATTCCTACATTTTTAATTTAAATTAAAAAATATATTGTCATATACATATACAGAATGATTCATTAAGATTTGAAGTATTTTAAATAGAATGCTGTATATTCTTTGGCCATTACATACACGTCTGGCAAAAAATGTATAAATAATGTAATAATAATCTATACTAAGTTTAAAAAAAATGAGTAGTCCCAAATAGGAAACATAAATAGAGCTCTTCTCCTAATACTGCCTCGCCTTGTATATAGATGTTTTTTTTAATAATTCCCAGCTCAAATTTGATTAAGGAGGTCCTGATAAAAAACGCACTTCTTTGCTGTATGGATAAATCTATATTAATAATTAGAGGTATGTATCAATGTATCTCTTACTTTTTTCGATAATAGATATAAATACCATCGGTAGTGGAAAAAGTATCGATACTAAAAGATATTGAGAGAAGTGACAGAGTAGGACGTTGAAATTTACTTTGTATCGTCCTGATTGGTCGATTTAGAGGGGGTTTGCGAGGGTGTAGCCAGTTGGTCGTCATCAAACATAGGATTTTTCACTTCCAATGGTCCTTCGATCTGAAAAAATATTATTTTTTAATCTATTAATGCTTAAAAGATTAGTATGTAGCAGAGATATAGAGGTAGAGAGTAGTTATGGGCATTACGATTCTTTTTAGTGAATCGAATCACGCGATTCAATTTCTCATAATGAATCAACTCTTAATTACGATTCGTTCATTTGAACAAACTACAAACACACTTTGCGTATCACAGTATAAATAAATATTTTTTTGTAAATAACTTCCGCATCGCTTGCATTTTGTGTCCATGCTGTTTTTGTTTAGGGCTTTTGTTCATTTGAATTATCATACGATATTACCCGATGTTTTTAAGATTAACTAAAGATGACCCTCAAAAAATGTAAAATCACTATTACAGGAAAGTAAACAAATATGGAATACTATCCCTATATGGAATACCGCTATTCTTTGGAAACGAATACCTACGCCTAATCGCAAAAGACAGTGAGAGACGTGCAGGTTTTACCTTGTTGTTGGCCATTGTTTGTCATTCAAACACTCTTTGTCGCCACGGTGAGAGTGTTTTCTTCCTCGATGGGAACAGTTTTTAAGCTACTAAGAAAGTGTATTTATTGATACGTGATAGCAAATAATATTGTATATTATGACAATGCATTGATTACATGTTTGTTTGATTGTTTTATAGGGGCCTTTTCTTGTCTGAATATGTTAAATAATTTTATAGTGGTCCATATTTGGGTACCTATTCCATTTTTAGATGCCTTTATTAAGTTTTAAAACAGTTATTAAGTTATGTGAAACTGTATGACTGATTCGGTTCATTCTTAGTTATTAAGAATGAACATTTTTGATTTACAATACTTTTTTTATATACACAAAAACTAATTGGTATTCCATATTTGGATACTTATTCCTCTACTTTCTGATCTACCCCTATAGATTAGAATTTCTGCGCACGTTTATGCTCATTCCTATCTCTATATTTCTGGTTTTTACTTACAGAAGCCAATCCAGGACATTCATACACTGTATAGTTTCCTTCTTCATCTTCTTCTTCTTCAGTGTCTGATTGAGATCCATGTCCACCCTGTGGATTTCTATAAAATATTTTTTTTATATAAAGCCTTATTAAATCATTTAATGTGATTCTTTTGAAGTTTATATCATTGCTTACCGTCCCATAGCTATAATCTGCTGTTTCTGATGTTGGTAATGATACATTTGAGCTGATTGGGCCAATCTTCTATCACCTGCATCATCTCTGTCCTTCTTTTCGTAATCCTTGTTTGGACCAACGATGCCATACGAGGGGTAGTCGCTGTCTTCTGCATTTTTCATGTGTTTCTGCAAACTGAAAACAGCAAAACACATTTAGAGCTTTACTTTATCGAGCTTGCTTACATTTGTGGCCATTATAGAAACTAATAATTTCACTCACATATCATTAAATGCTATTATTATATCAAAAAAATGTTTTTTAGACGTACACATATAAAACAACTACAAGTCCAATTTTTAAAGCAAACAAATAATATTTCGTAAGCCCATTCGAAATGTAAGGGATTAAATGAAAACTGTTTTGAATAAACAGAAAATTAATAATTATGGCGTAGTTTAAGCTCTGTAAATGTTGTCATTGTTTTAAGGTAAATAAGCGGAGCTGAACTAATACCAATTGAATAGAAACTCTATCTAGGGTCTCTCCCAATTATGCAATCTATGTAAACCATTATTAAAATAGAAGTGATATATAATTGCTTAGATAAAGGGTAAAATAGTAAAAAAATAACTAATAGTAACTTTTCTCATAGGTCTTTTTTGAAGAGATGAATCCACCACAGAGGTATAGACATTTTTTAATAAAAAATAATCATAAGAGTTTTTACTATATTCTACTGTATTAAAAAACTATTTTAAGTACTTACACATCTCTAGTCATTTGTTGTAGTCCGTTTTTGATGGAGTTCACAAAATCAATGACATTTTTAAACATATAGGTAGATTACAGATGATATATTATGATTTTGTTACAAGTTTATTTTTCATAGTTCAGAAAAAACCTGTGTAATAATTTTCTTAAAAAATGGAAACTTTGTACTCTTTGTAACAATTATAGATAAAAAATTAAAAGTAATTATTAGCAACAAGTATATGTAAAATATTTTTTTTATCGGATTTTGATCGTTTAAATTGTATTTGCTAAAGCGTTTGAATATTTGTTAATATATCCCTTAAAATAACATACTATATTATAACAAATGATTACTACTAGACTATTCCATTATAATAATTTCTAAAATAACATTCTACCCTTGTTTATTTGTTTTTACTTTGAACAAGGACTTTAATAAATTGTTCAATGTACACATACTTTCAGAATTTATATTGATCCAAAAAGGTGAAAACTATATTGCGTTCAATTTGAAATGCCCATTTCATATAACGTTTGGTTTTATCCTTGATTATGTTGGGGTTTTATCTATATATCCATTCAATTTAGTCTGAAACGTTTTATTTTCTTGAATTTCATAATATTTTGTAGAGATTATACAGTGAAAAGGTTCGAAAGAAAATACGACTTCAAATTGTACAGAATAATATTTTTTTGAAATACTTAGAAAGGTTTTTTATTCCTATTTTCCCATTAGTGCATAACTAGCTATTAAAACTTGTGTAGAAAAAAAAGGAAAGTAGCTATATTATAATAGCTACTTCATGTTAAATAAAAAAAAAATAACAGTATAGTCGTCATGGATAGTTACGATTTAATAGAGAAAATAGCATGGTCCTAATAATAGTGTAATCACGTGCAAATATCCCTAAAACCATACCTAAAACTTGTATGTATGTAGGCTAGACATCTCTATATACAAGGTTACCAGGGGCGGATCCAGGATAGGGAAAGGGAGGGGCTAGACACAAAACTTTACTCAAAATTAAGAACATAATAAATGAATAATATTGTATTACACGATTGAACCTAATAGGATCCCTCCCCTGGATCCACCACTGAAGGTTACCCTCTTTGTTTGACGGCATTAAATGAACTATAAAGAAGAAAATTGGTGTTTTTCATTTATAAAAAATAAATTTTTGAATGATATTTTTACGAGCACCATATCAAATATAATATATAAAATTTAAGTAGAATTTTATAAAAGTAAAGCAACATAAATATATGAAAATAATGCATTTATGGTGAAACATATTTAATTATATTTTGCTCTGCACACACATAAATATAATTTTTGACATATAATTGGAAATATTTCAAAATTGGTTAAACTTAGATATATTACTTGCTTACATTATACACAAAAGGTGTCTAGAATTTCCTGTAAAATTCAAAAACCAAACATACATAGATCTATAGAGAAAACAAAATTGAAAAATGTTATTCGAAGAATTTTCCGTTCTTCTAAAATAGCTTCTAAATTTTTACAATCACTTTTTAATTCCACTCTGTATAATAAGAGACACTGTTTTCCCAAAAAAAACAACGAACTAAAAAGGTAGATCAAAGTATTTTTTTTTCATATATGTAATTTTTTTTTTGGCTGAATTTTGTCAAAAATCATCTAAATTAATAAAATATTAACAGATATTTATATTATAAACAAAAGTAAATTTAATATATTGAAGAAAAAACATAAAAAAGTTTTATAGAAGACATTATGGTTAACTAGACAATTAAAAAAATCACTGTTTTTAACAATTCCTACCGAATTTTTCAAAAAGTTTTTATCATATTTTTGCATTAGGAAAAACTAATTTTAAATTAAATAAACCCGTTATACCACTTTTTAATATGTTTTCTACAACAGAGGATGTAGTTTTAAACAAATATAATAATAAAAACTTATAGTCGCGGTAAATGCTGATAGAATGTGACCGATCACGACAAACTACCCCGGAAAACTGTCGCCACGAAGACGTTGCTCTTCCATTCAAAACAACCAGCATGCACGGCGCACGGCTGTGTGTTAAATCCCCCTATTCAGGAGGAAAGGAATGTTTCTACCCTTATACAGTACGATTAAAAAGAAATGAATTAAAACAAACTTTAAAAAACACATTTTTACGTAACAGAAAACCTCAATAAGAACTAGGATATGAAAAAGTAATATTTATTAAAAAATATTAAGTTATTTAAGTTAGTTAAGAAACCTGATATCCTTTTTCGGATCATCAGATCGTACTGCATACCGTGTGTTTCAAAAAACATGTGCCATCTTTCGTGTGAAGATTTCCACGTAAAAATTAGATTTATTTTCCATATCAACATAGGTCCGATTTTGCTTTGTTTTGTAGTTACTGGAAGTTAAATCTTAATTTTTTTCCGTTTCTTATTTTCCTTCACTATAGCCTTGGAAATAGATATTAGACTTGGATTAAGGCAAATGTAACCCCCTGTATTTTTTTTGCAATATAAATAACTAAAAGTATTAAAAGCAAAAAAAATCTGTACTATTTCTTTATTTTCACCTCTACCGGATAGAATTTTAGATATTCTGAACAAGTTTTATTTAATAATTCTACCTACAAGTGACATCTAACTTTTTTGTTTTTGTGTTATATCTGCTTGTTAAAGCCACTTGCCGCAAAACTTTCTTAATATACAAATTCTCTCGAAGCAATTAGAGTTAAGATATTGTTATCTACCCCACTCTGGAACATCTAACGAGACGAAAGTTTGAACAAATCGTCCAATTACAGAGATATATTTAAAAAAAGATTTGCCGGTAATTAGAAGATCTAAATTCTAGTAAGATATTTTGTTTTAGAGATTAGATATTGTATATTATCCATTGATTAACAGTAAATCTCTTAGTTTTTTAAAAAAAAAATTCCCTGTTACCGCTTACTACCGCATCCCAAATAAGCGCCTTTTAAAAATCCAATATTTTTGCATAGTTTTACAAAATAATGTTTTTTACTAAATTGAGAGATTTAGAGATTAATGATTATCAAACCATACTATTTCCAAAACCAGCTTTGCTTGTTTATAAATTAAATTAATAGGTACCATTATATATGGGTACCATATATACAATTAAAACCATATATACATACATAAAATATACAATTTTGTAGAAAAATTCTATGTTCTTTAATTCTACAATTCTCTAAATAGTGTTACGTTTTAACTAACAGGCAAAACGTTATATGTAGAGGTGTATTCTTTACTATGACTTTGGTTTATAAATAGCCACTGTTAGCAATGTCAGCACTAGACATATTATAAAGTGTAAAGTTCAAATTAAAATATTAAGCCTCCCCTAAATTTGATATGATGCCCTTTTTATTAGACCACGCGGTATATTATTTGTCAATAACATAAATATGTATACTTTTGAAAAACTCAGATTTAACTATATACCATATTTAGGTTAATTGTAAATCGATAATATGGTTGACAAGGAAATAATCACAATATAAAACAGAGTACATTAATGAGGGCCATTATTTTATACACTGGGTTTAATTTGAAAGAAAACTTCCATTATTATACAATATGATCGAAAACAAAAAAAAACGGCGTCATAGACGTCTGGGGAACAATGATAATTTTGGCGAGGTCAAGCCCGAGACGTCATTTACTTGACTCGTACTCTTGTTTATTTTTTAATGGCGCTTATTGCCAGTTGGCCTTAAGAATTAAGCCTTAATTCAATTGATTTCGTTTGGTTTGTTTTTTGACAAGATTTATGTCAATTTTTAGTAAATATTGGCGTCTAGATATTGTCCTATTCAATGTCAATAATATATTATTAAGAACAAAAGATAAAAGAAAATAAATACTCAGGTTTTTGTTGGATGAAACTTCCAGATTATTTTTATCCATAAGTTTGTGTAAATAAAAGTAAAAATTTAATAGTATGAAGCAAAAATTCGAATTGTAGGTCTCTGGAACGTGTTCGCAGTTATTTCACAAGAATTTAATTAATAAGAAAGGAATAGACTGCGTGAGAGAGAAAAAGACCTACATACTACCCCTGGTTAATATACATACAACGAATGTCTGAAGCTTAATAAAATTTCTGGAGATATCTGGAAATTCCGAACGATCAAAATGACGATATTACTCACATATTTTCTGGATAATTTTGTTTCTGCATATTCAAAATATTTATTTTTATTTGTGTTTTTTTCAAAATTAATTTTCTTATGTTTGTTATAGAAAACAAATTTTATTTAAAAATCTTATACCACATTTTATTGAACATAACATATAGGTAGATAACTTCCATAATAATATAAATTTTAGTAGGTATCTCCATTAACCAGAATCTCCACTAACTGGACCACCGTTCTACTTCCCAGGTGGAAACCAACTTAAAGCAGAACTGAAGAACCTGGAGGTCTAAAACATTCAATGAAGTTTCTCAGGACTTATGACTGAGAAAAATCAAAGAGTTTCTTTAATTTAAGCACGAGCAATTTTCGGATTGCCACGGTTTTTTAACAGAACATTGTCTCGCTTTAATGAACATCTCAGTAGATTGAAGCAAAATATGGGGCAAAGATTGAACGAGTCGTTCACTTGAACGAGTATTAAAAATGAATCGTGAGATTCGATTCGCCGCTTAGAATACGGTTCCTTCAATTGAATCGTGGCCAGTACGGATCCATAAAAATTGAACGAACGAGTCTTAAAAAAGAGTCGTAAATTGAATCGCTTCACAATGCGACTTGTTCGTTTCTACGGCTCGTTCGTGGAATGTTCGAATTATGGGAATTGAATTGATTCATTGCTTACAATATGGTTCGTTTAAAAAATGAATATTAGAATTATAAACTTATATTTATCGCTGTCTTCATAATTATGAAGAATGTGCGTATATATGTAGTAGGGCATCAATAGACTCGAACAAAAGCCCTAAATAAACATGGTGGATACAAAAGGCAAGCGATGTGAAAGTTATTTACAAAAAAAATCTACTTATACTGTGATACGTAAAATGTGTTTGTAGTTTGTTCAAATGAACGAATCGTAAAAGTTGATTCATTATGAGAAATTGAATCGCGTGATTCGATTCACTAAAAAGAATCGTAATGTCCATCACTAATTGAAGCTAAGAAATAACGGTAGATGCAGATTCTGTGGGGAAAATAGATAAACACTAGAACATGACCTCATCACTGAGTGTTCTGGTGAGATGGGGAACTAACTTCTATAAACCAGTCTCAGAATGGCTTTTGTTAAAGTGCTGAGACTGTATGATGAGTTATAACTCAAGAAAGGTGGACACAATAGATCTATAAGGCCACGGAGATTAAGTTCTCCCCTCCGATATAATCTACAATCTACATAGAGAAAAAAATCTTTTTATATATTAAATATATTAAAAACTGTACTATAGATGTCATTGGTACTACCACCTTTTACTGAAAAAAAAACATATAGGTAGATGAAATATAATATAAATTTTAATAGGTATTACAATTGAAACTTCACCATCGCTTAATAAAAATAAATGGTACAATTTAATTAACCATAAAAAGCATATAAAATGGCTATAAACTCAGCGTATATTTTAATTTAAACCAAGAAGCAATAGCGAAAAAGTTTTAATTATTATTTTACAGTTTTTGCTGTTTCTTCAAGTTAATATATTAATTCTAATATACAAACAAGAGTAATCAGAACCTTTATATAGCGGAGTTGGAATTTATTTTGAGTTTAGTCACGTTCGACACATAAAAAATAACAATAAATTTAAACTTGAGTTTTTTTCTTTTTCATTTTGGTAACCCTTATTTGCTATTCTTTCATTGGAGATCAGTTTCTTTCGAAATGAAACCGTAATGGCTATAAAATAAAAAAGAAAATTTTATTCCTGCCACAATAAAAAAATTTCCCTTATAAGGTCCCCTATTACAGGGTGTCTCACATTTACGTACCTTTGTTATAATTCACAAACGACTTATAAAGAATTAAGTTACAAAAATAAGGCCTTTTGAATGAAAGGTTAAAAAAGTCTAAGGGAATTGTATCATCGAAATTTTATCCCATTGGGAATACCCATAGTGCAGTAAAACTCTGGATATATTAAAACAAGACCGTCCTCTGGAGAAACACTGAACACAGACATAGAAAGCACAGGCATAGAATTACACGTAGAATTATTAGGCATATAATTACGGCGTAGAATGAGTGGAAGGGGGTTAACCACCGCGACTTAAAAGATCTATTGTGTCCCCTTTTCTTGAGTTATAACTCATCATACAGTCTATAACTCATCATGCATGGGGATCTTTCTGTTGTAGGGGAGACCCGGTATTTCCCATTCTTCTTTCTCTTTCTTATCTTCTATTCATCATCCTCCGAGGAGTAGACATCTACCTCCTGCGAGGGTATACACCCTTCCATGGTGGAGGTCTAGCCCTCTGTACCCTTCATAGTCGAGGATCTTGCCTCCGGATGAAGTACCAGTGAGGTAAAGGCTGGAGGATCTGTCTCCATTCTGTCCATCTCATTAACTTGGTCTCTCCTTAGACCTGATACCGGTGTTGGCACAGGCATAGCAAGGACATAATTCTAAAACCACCAAGGAACTGCTAATGCTCAGAAGGAATAAAGTGCGGATTATAACAGGGTACGGATCTCTTGATATGGTAAAGAAGAGCTACCAAGTGCTACCTGAACAACCTGAATAGCTGTCAAGTGCTACCTGAACAAACTTAACCTGTATCAAGGAAGTATTTGCTGCAGACTATGCGGTAAAGGTCCTGAAACAGCAGAGCCCATAATATGTTACTGCGAGGCTCTGGATCGCAAGCGACACTTTCTATTAGGGAAAGCAGGATTAGACCCGCAGGAACGAATGCTCCCATCCTATTAAGGACTTGCACGAGTTGGTGCAGGGTACAGGGATAGGAGAGTGGGTGCAGGTGCTGACATAGAAAGGGGACCAACACAATAGGCCTTAGGTATAGGTCGCCCCTGAACTATATTTTATTGGCAAACATTTAATATGTTCCTGATTTGTAATTCTGAATGATACGCCACTGTAGATATTAACTTGTTAAAATATACCCACAATATTCCCATGCTGGATACCTCAAACATCTCAATAGTTTATACGTGAAATAATGATGTTATAAATTAATATCAACCAGATAAAACATTCATACTGAAAGGGGAGATAACACACATCTATATAATCAATTTATTATCACTACTAAATCATAAAAAAATAATTATGGAAATGCAGAATTTTTGAATAAAAAATATATTCTGATTTTACCACGCCACTGCAATCAGACACTTCGGTTCAAGTAGTAAAATTACGAGTATTTTTAACATGCTGTGTTTGTGTGTATCATATCAAAGTTATATCAATTTTCATAACTAGTACTCTTTCAAAAGTTAAACCGGTACATAGTCAATGAGGTTTTACAGTTCTGGTAATTTTTAAAACTACCTATTTATTGTAAAACTGTGATAAAAATAGATATAATACGTCATGAGTTTTAATCCTAACGGTAAGTCTATTAAAAAAAATAATATTTTACTTGTTTTTAATATACATACATAATCTTTTTTTCCCTTAGCAGATTATGAGAATGTAAACTTATTTTTGTTTATTATAGATATGTATGTCATTATCACTTTTGACTGCTTAGTAAATAACCACATAATCACTTTCTACCATAGGCGTGCAAATTTATAAATAAATGATCAAAAAAATAAATTAATATTTTTCATATTATATCTTAAAAAAACATATTACTGCTGTTTTGAAAATTGAGATTTCATATTCGTATTATAATATTTTTAAAAATATTTCACAGAAATATCAATATTTGTTAAGAAAAAGGAATAAGTACGTATGCAACCAGTAATATTTTAGATGAATGTAAAATAGTTAATGCATTTTTAGTTTAAATGTTTAGTACAGTACGTCTGTCAGTTCTGAAGATACAGGGTATCCGTGAGAGGGGTAACGATATTCTCTCGATGTTTTTCGTAAAAAACAGACGACGCGTCCCATCAATAAAAATTCAACAAATTTGCAAGTAGCCAATAAAATGAGTGGGCGGAGCGATTTGCAGTGACGCACTCGTCAAATCGACGTATAAAATATATTGCTGTTTATTTAAATGTTTTTTGTCCGCATTCCTTTCATAGACACAGATCCAGCAGATGTACTGTACACAGTACAGTACGTCTGTCCGTTCTGTAGCTACGGGGTATCCGTGAGAGGGGAAACAATATTCTCTCGATGTTTTTCGTAAAAAAATAGACGACGCGTCCCATCTATAACAATTCGACAAATTTGCAAGTAGCCAATAAAATGAGTGGGCGGAGCGATTTGCGGTGACGCACTCGTCAAGTCGACGTATAAAATATATTGCTGTTTATTTAAATGTTTTTTGTCCGCATTCCTTTCATAGACACAGATCCAGCAGACGTACTTTACAAAAAATACACAAAATATATTTTTAAATCATCTTAATCTTAATAATCTTAATAAAATACCACCTTATCTAAATATCAAATACATAAAACTGTCAGAACTGTATATTATTGTTCTTGTATTGAACTACAATGATGTATATTGTTTCAGAGCACCAACATTTAAGATACAACCCTTTAAAAGACGATTGGATTCTTGTATCACCCCATAGAGCTCTAAGACCATGGAGTGGCCAAACTGAAACACCTGCTATTGAAAAAGTTCCAAAATTCGACCCAAGCAACCCCCTATGTCCTGGAGTCACTAGAGCTTCTGGAAAAGTCACTCCTAAGTACGAATCAACTTATGTTTTTGAAAATGATTTTCCAGCTCTTTTGGAAGAAGGACCAGAACCAGAACCTTCTGATGACGAGCTTTTCCAGACCAAGAGTGCTAAAGGGACTTGTACTGTAATGTGTTATCATCCACACTCTGATGTATACTTTACCAGTTTGTCTAAAAAGGAAATTCTGGATATTATCAATGAATGGATTAAACAGACTGAGATACTGGGCAAGAAATATGTTTGGGTGCAACTGTTTGAGAATAGAGGTCAGATGATGGGATGTTCGAATCCACATCCTCATTGTCAAATATGGTCAACTAGTTTTCTACCGAATGAAGCAAGAATAACAGACTTGAATTTACGAAAATACTACCAAAAGCATCAGCGGCCCTTACTACAAGACTACTTAGAGAAAGAACTCAAAAAGAAAGAAAGGATAGTAGTGGAGAATAAAGAATGGTTAGTCGTGATCCCATATTGGGCTGTATGGCCTTTCGAGACCATGGTACTTCCCAAAAGACAGATCCTACGTTTCACAGACACAGATCAAGCTCAGAGAGAAGCCCTAGCTGAAATCCTACCGATTCTGGTCTCCAAATACGACAATCTCTTCAAATGTAACTTTCCTTACTCGATGGGATGGCATGGGGCACCTACAGGAGAGAAATTGAACCAATGCCAGCCTCATTGGACGTTTCACGGACTATATTATCCTCCGTTGTTGAGATCGGCGACTGTAAAGAAGTTTATGGTGGGCTATGAGATGTTGGCGCAGGCGCAGAGGGATCTGACTCCCGAGAAAGCTGCGGCGTTGTTACGGGAACAACAAAATGTTAGGTTTAAGACTGAGTAAATGTGTCCCTCTTGTTTATTAAAAAAATATAACATGTTGATTTAAATATTTAATTGAGCTTTTACTCTATTCTTTTTTAATTAAAAATACTTTAGGCTATGTCAAGATGTGACTAATTTATACAAGTTAATAAAACTCAGTGTTACATTTACCTAAAACAATATCATCTAGTTTTCCTAGCTCATTTTTCATTCTCTGTTGGTAGAAGGACCAAAAGCAAAAACCTATCTGATGATGACTTTTTGAAACATAGAGTGCTAAAGACCTCTGTAGTGTGATGTGTTATATGATACAGCCATACAGTGATGTATACTTTACCAATTTGTCTAAAAAGGAAATTTTGGATGTTATCAACTAATGGATTAGACAGACTGAGATTCTGGGTAAGAAATATGTTTGGGGCAGGTTTTTGAAGATAGAGGTCAAATGGTGGATTTTTCGAATCTTCATCCCCATTGTTAAATAATGAATGAAGCAAAAATAACAGATTTGAATTTGAAGTGTACAGGGGAAAAACATTATAAGCGTCATTTTACTAATTTTACAGGAGAGCGCTGCGCTGGACGGCTTTGTGATATTCTCGTATTCTATATTTTTGCTAGACATATTATCATAGGATTTAACAATTGCCCTGCAGAGTTTATACACTTTGTAGGGACCAGTTAGACCTACTATAATATTGTAAAATCCTAAAATTAAGAAATTAGCGCTTATCAAGTTTTCCCCCTAAATCCTTAGTTTACGAAAATACTACCTGAAGCATCATACACCTTGACTACAAGACTACTTAGAACTCAATAAAAAAGAAAGAATCGTAGTGAAAAATATAGAATTGCTAGATGTTATCCCATTACTGGGTAGTATGGCCTTTCGGAACCATGGTACTTTCCAAAAGACAGATCCTACGTTTCACAGATACAGATCAAGCTCAGAGAGAAGTCCTATATAGCTGAAATTCTACTAATTCTAGTCCCCAAATACGACAACTGCTTCAAATGTAACTTTTTTTGCTTCATGAGATGGTATGAAGAATAATGTCAAATGATAGGCTATTCTGACCCTGGCCATGACAAAGAACACAATAAGAAAGAATAGAAATCAAAGAATGGTCAGTATTAAAATTAAATAAAAAATATCAATTTTTTTGTGCATCCCAACTTCTGGAGAATTAAACCAAATTTATTTCCTATAGTATTACATTGTAGGCTATCATATTCACGTTTTTTTCTTCATCAACAATATAACCTCTACAAAAATGCTATTTTTCATATATGTCTTTTGTAATTTGTATTTTTCTCGGGGCAAATTCGCTATTTTGATTTAATAAAACATTGCTAAACTGATTTGTTGAAACGTTTATTATAACTTTAATAACCTACAATGTAACACTGTATAGTAAATTTAGTTTTAGAATAACAAATAATCCATGTATTTTGTGAAGGTGCATTTCAACAAGGTGCAGTAATTTATATGATTTTTCGTATCCTAAAAGCAAGTGTTCAGTTCAGTGCAAATTGGATTTAGTTTGTTGTACTTACTTGTACCATCCTATACCAACTGCTATAAGACCCACAGTAGCGGCAGCGCTGATTCCAGCAATGACAGCAATAATGTACACACCGGCGGTGTCGACTTGAGGAGAATCAGGCTTGAAGGGAACTACTTCAACATCTTTCTCGGAAGATCTAAAAATATATATGAAAAATAATAAAACAATATGCTTCTGAATTTTCTTTATTTATTTTAATTTTACATTGTGTGAAAATTGGATTTAGATCAATGATGGAGTCGCCCACCGAGGGTTCCGTATAAAAACTATATTTTTTATGATTAATTACAAATGTATAGTTTTCAGATATTTCCTTATGTACTTGGTAGTATAAGACGGCATCACTTGCCAAATTTCATAGTTCTAAGTCAACGGAAAATACTCTATAAATTTTGATTCCCTTCAGAGTGTCGACATTTTTTTTACCGGCATAAACGGCCAGAAGTTGGTTGGTAAATTCAACATTAAATAAAAATCTAAGTATAAATGGTCAGAAAACCACCTGTTAGTCAAAGAATGCACAGAAGAATGTACAATACAATATATGTACAATATTCCTCAATGGGTATATACCCTAGACCTTCTGGGTATATGGCAGGTATATACCCAACTTTTATTGATGTTCCCGTTGCGTTGGGTACCCACCGCCCATCACTGCTCTATAGTCAACGTACCCTTGGTTTAAAAGTGAGTTTTCGTTTGGTTGGTTTGAGTCACTTCTAGAAGCCACTATTTTTGGTTTGGTCAGATGCAGTTTGACATCGGCCTGTTTTGAAGCAATCTTTGATCTTGGTGTTATGGTGATCTCCTCTTCTGCAAAATAGAGTTTAACAGATTACAGTTTTTTAAAATTAGTTTATTAATTACGTGAGGAAATCAAAAGGGGAGGAGTTCGAGTCGAGTATCTCTGTATCTTATGTTTTTTTTTGAATGGGGAAAGAGGGGTTTTGGCAAATATCAAGTAATTTTTTCGTGTAAAAAATAGTATAAAGATTTGAGAAAATCAGATTAATTTAAAGTAAAACATATTAATAGACTAAAATATTTGGAAATCTGGCACAATTCTTACGTATGTATATTAAAATTAGCGTTTCCAGTTTTCGGGATATCGTTTTGAAATCCCGGGATAAGAATCTATAATTCTGGGATTGACTATCAGATTTTTATATTTAATCTAAAGAAATACTTAATACTGCATGTATCAAACAGAAGATGAGGAAAGACCTTTATTAAAGTAGACAAAACAAAGTAACATTCATATTTAGTAAGTAAAAAAATACAATTATTTTTTTTCAAACGTCACAAAAGTATTAATTTTTGCGACGGGATTGACAATATAAAAAAGTCATTTTAATAAAAGTAAAGCACTTTTACGCTTAAGCACAAAAGTAGGTACGAAAATATATTATTAAACTGACATAAAGTGTCAAATTCAACGAGCGTAACCATAGTTTCTCGATATACAGAGTGTCCCAGAAATAAGTGCAAGTATTTTAAGGGGTGGTAGATCTCGATAAAAGAAACATATCTTCTCTTTATCGTTTTTCAAATAAGTCCAAAATAACGGAGTTATTTTACTTTGAAAATTTCCAAAAAAAAAATTTTTTGCTTAAATTTTGAGAACCACTTGGATCTTTTCTGGATTTGCTTTCTAGTAAATTTAATCTACTATCTATGTTGCCATATTATCAAGAAATTATGTTTTTTTACTAAAAGCTAAAAAAAATTAAATTTTCTAAATTTTCAATTTTTTTTTTCGCGAAAAAAACCTTATAGGTGTGTTTCTGGGGTTGAACTATCCCAGTTAAAATACTTGCACTTATTTCTGGGACACCCTGTATAACTACATACAAGGTATGACTTTTATATATTTTTATATTATTTGGAACGTTTGTAATTGTTTAAAAACTTATTTCTGGCGTTTGAAAAAAATAGCATGTTCTGTTCGGAGTAAAAACGACTTTTTGTGCCTCGGCTGTATGTCAAGGCCTCGCCACAAAAGTGTCATTTTTACTCCTAATAAAACAATATACTTTTGTTGCAAAAAAAAATAAAATATAGCAAACACGGAAATATAACTTTTAGATATTGACGTTCTGCTTAGTATAAATAAAATATGATCTTTGAAAGACTAAAGTATATAAAGTCGAATATTTTAGATTGGGATTTAAATTTTTGGAGATTTTCGGGATCCCGGAATCCTGGTTTGGACCTTAATTAAAATCCATGAATAGATGTAAAGTTATTTAATACTCATATATTGAAACTGTGGTCCTCGATTCCTTATTAGATGAAAAAATATGGCGTGCAGTTAAAATTCCACATGACGAGCTACTGAAATTCTGTGCGCAGTTAACAACGGTTTAGACTGGCTCAATCAGAGTAAAGGTCATGGAGCAGATAATTTTCCTGAAAATTCCTCACGACATCTCACTAGTGGGGGAGGGGTTCCAAAAATCCTCAAAAGCGCCTCACGACGTAATAAAGGTACGTTCCCTTAATAATCCATACCTGTTCTTAATGGGTCTTTGAAGAATCGTATATCTGAGGGACCCACACCAAACTCACTAGGATCATCTGCCAAAGGTATATCATCAAACGATATCGTTTGGGGGAACTCTTCACCCTCCTTGAATTTGTAGTCTTCGTGATCGTGATGTGAAGAGTGTTTTGGCACTTCTTCTTCAGCTTCTTCATAGTCTTGCATTATCTCACGAGCGTTTTTAGACTTATGGAGAATGTTGGAGAATATCGGATGTCCGAGAGAACCTTGGTAAGTCTGTTCTTCTTCGGGGAGGAAGTTATTCTCGCTTAGTTGATATTTCTGAAAAAAAAACACATATTTTATTATTATTTATCGTATGATCGACGATAATTTTGGCGAGAGTAATCTCTAGACTAGACGTCATTTACTAAAAATTTACATAAAACTTGTCAATATTAACACTAATTATAAAAAGAAATAAAAAAATGATAGAAAGTTTCCAGACAAACAAATCTATTTCCAAAAAAAAAATTCTTTTTTCGAATTTTAAACTACACCATTTAAAAATTATTGTTAAGTACTCAATATAAAAATAAATTACAGCCTTCTTAAGCCAACTGGCAGTAAGCGCCATTAAAGAAATAAGAAGAGTACGGGTCAAGTAATGACGTCTAGATCTTGACCTCGCCAAAATTATCATCGATTGTTATTCACCAGGCCTGTTTGACGCCGTTTTTTTTCGATCGAATGGTACTTACATCTTCAGGTTCATCATCATCATCATTGAACGTGAAATCTTCTTCCACAGGGTACATTCTGGCTTCTTCCAGTTTTTCTTGCGTGGGAACATTGTACCTTATGTACTGACTCAGTTGACTGGGTAAATCGGCCATATGTCTCATGTGCTTGTTGTAACTGTCATCGCTCGTGTGTGGATTATATTCTTGATATTGTCTGTCTCTAAAATAGAAACAAAAAATTATTGTAGATATGAGCTGACTCGGCTAATTTTGCAACCCAACAATGAAGTGAGAATTTTTTTTCAGTCTTGTAGTACGGATAACTGATTGACCGATTTTATTTATATTTTCAATTCGAATTTTTTCAATATTTAATAGTTATTCTGCTATTCGAGGCTGAGACGAATACAACAAATTAAAGCTCATTAAAATCGGTCCAGTCGTTCTTGAGTTATAAATGGCGTAACTAACTCGACTTTTAGAAGAAGAAGCTTTATCATAGGAAAGAAGAAAAAAATATTTTAAAATTATACTAATACAAAAAAAAATCCAAATGATTGTCTTTGGAAGGTCAAAATATAAAAAAAAATATAATAGATAACTCAGAGGCCCATATTTAAAAAATAAAGTCGATGATGGTATGTAGGATAAAAGGAAGAACTTCATAAATTTAGATGAAGTATTTTTATTTGGAATTAAAATGAAACAAAAAGCTTAATCTCTTCAAGCTTATATTTTCCTTCGTCTTTCCAAAGAAGTATAAAATCTGTAATCCCGGTATTTTCCACTTTATTTACCAAATAAACTGTCCAATAACGGTTTGTGAAAAGCCCTAGCTGTCTCGGCAAATGGGGAGATTTTATTTTTATTTTTCTGCGAATTTTATTTGCTCTTCTTACGCGAGAAGAGAGAGAGAGCTTTTAACATTTCAGATGAAAAAAGGGATTTTTGTTCTTGTCCTTGGTCTTTAAGTCCTGTTTACACATGACGGTTTACCTGTTCAGTCAAGACGTATCAAGTAAAACCTTGTTTTTTGTTTACACGAAAACAACGGTCTGTTTTACTTGAACTGAATTAAAGCGGAAGACCGTCTATATAACTGACGGGATCATTCAGTTTTACAGCAAAACTGTCGTTTTGCCTGCACAGAAAAAAATATAAGTAAATTTACAAAAAATACTATGGATATATTCATAATCACCATCATTTCTAGTTTATTCAACCATTTTCAATTATGGTGTAGCCTCCTGTACATATTTAGATAATCCCTTTGTAATTAAAAAAAAATTGTCGCCCATTGTTGTCTACTGTTGCAAGCGGGTCCAAGTTATTGTATCTCTGCTAATTTCCTAATATTACGGTCACATCTTAGGTTTGGTTTTCTTCTGTGTCTCTTAATTCCTCGTGGGTACTATGCTGTAATTCTTGTGGTTTGGATCTGTTGTCCATCTTTCTTGCCAGATTTCCTACCCATTGCCACTTTAGGGATTTAACTTTGCGATTGCCGTCTATTACCTGGGTCTTTTGTCGTATTTATGTCAAAGATGTTGAAATTCACCAAATTCATTTATTTTCTTAGTATCTCACTCACCCATACCCTCCTTCTTCTTCTGCCAAGGATTCGTCATCGTAAAAATATATTTTCTAGAAAATGTAAATCCTAAATTGACATTTTAAACAACTATTCCTGCAACTGCTGCTCGCAACTTTTTATCGCAGTCACTGTGCGGTCTCAACAAACGTATACGCAAGATTCGGTTAGGCGCATTTTTATAATTCGCGCGTATCCGCATCCTCTGTTATCCACACTAACTGGACTCTACCTACCTGTTAATCCATTGTTCTCTAGCCAAGTCTGCCACATCCTTCAAGTACTCCAAATTCTTCGAATTGATTCTGTTGTCGAAATTTGCATCTCCACTTTTTTCCAGGTTTTTGGGTTCCGGTGTTTTGGGCACCAGAAATGGCCACTGTTTGTGCATGTCGTATTCCAACTCGACATTTCTTCTGTCCAAATCGTTAAGGTATTCCAGGTATCTATGGTCTGTAATTCAATAAATAAGTGAATAAACATTCAAGGAAAACACAAAAAGGAGTTGAATTAACTTAAATTCAATAAATATCATTATGTATTTGCAGTTTTTTACAGAAGCTGATAAAAATGGATATAGTTCTAGTTAATACGTATTATGTAAACTTTTACACTATTAATACTGGTTTATCGTAAATAATTTATTTATGTAGAAGTTTGCATTTAAAGATAAGAATATATTTAAATATTTTTATTGTCAGGAATTTTATTTTTAAAGTATATGCATTTAAAGATCGATTCACACACGTCTCTGTTTCGTTGCCGTACCGTTTCAGTCTCATTCACTAAGAGATAGAAGATAATGAAAAGGAGCGAACAATGGTGGCTGGTGGCTGCAACGACTTCCCGTAATCATGCTGTTAAAACATAACAGCTGGTTTTTATATGCAGCTGGTTTTTATTATATATTATATACAGCTGGTTTTTATATATAAAAACCAATTACTTAACAGCAGGATTACGGGAAGTCGTTGCAGCCACTCTAACTGGACCAGAAGTTCTGCTTCCCAAGTGGAAACCAACTTAAAGCATAATATAAGAACTATACGATATTTCTCAGAACGACCGAGAAAAATGAAAATTTTCCTTGATTTAAGTAAGAACAATTTTGCAGATTGTCACGGTTTTTTTTATCAGTACACTGCCTCCTCCATGAACACCTCAGTAGATTGCAGATAAGAAACAAGGGCGAATACAGATTCTGTGGGGAAAAAGGGGAAACACCGGAATCATTGAGTGCGCCGAGATTACAACCATTCTTCCATAAACTTTGGTACGACTGATATCGGAGATGGACGACTAACCTCTGTAAATCAGTCTCAGATACTAGCTTTTGTCAAATCTCTGAGACTGTATGATGAGTTATAATTCATGAAAGAGGGACACAATAGATTTATAAGGTCGCGGTGATTAACTTCACCTCTCCCATTATAACTACTGGATAACTGCCGATTTTGTACGAACTTATCTTATTAGAAAATAAGAGGGTTGTTATGCTGAAAATTGCGTCACATAGTTCGAGACCTCGTTAAATATGTATTTATCTCCGGAGTATTATGTACATATTTACCCTATACTCGGCTTTTGGAGAGTAAATATCTAAAATTAGTTTTGGAAGTTTGCAGAAAATTGTATTTTCGCTTGTAGCGTACAAGAATACAAACTAGGATCGATCTAAGTTTCTATGTACAAAGGAAATCAACGTTTTGTTTTGTGTAACTAGAAGAGTTTCACTAAACAAATATTATTATAGTATTCGTATTAGTTTTGAGGGTTTTTAGCTCACTAACTATATAACAAAGTCAGTAGAAAATACATTTTTATATTTTCTTTTCCTAATTCTTTTAAGACCAGTTTGGGGTTTTAAAGTTTTTATCTGTCTTTCTTTCTTCTTAGCATCTATTTTAATATGAATGTTAATAAAACTAAAATTTTGATTGATATACGACCATTTTAATACAGATACTTTATAATAAAACTTCAATTTAATGTATTTGTTTGTTCATGGATTGAAATTGATACTTTGACATGTGCTTGTGTTGACGAGTTCTGTTTTGGACAACTCTAATTATTTTAGAGCTAGATAAACCCTAAAGTGTCCTTGGCATAATTTAATAATGAAAGTGCCAATAAAATAATTTAAATTTATAATTCTATGTCTCTTTATTATTTTCATTATTTTTTTTCCAATATTTGTTCTAGTTAACCTAGATTTTTTATCAATTGTTTCCTTCAACTACAGTATTCTTTCTCATAAACGGCCTACAAACGTAACGATTTATCGTACTGCATGCAGTACGATATCCATCGAAACTGCCGCATTAACAATAAATCGTAGCGTGTGTAGGGAAATTGGATGGTTTGCAGTACGGAGCTTCCGTAAAATATCGTATCAACGGGTCGTGTCTGGGGGGGGGGTTTGAACGCAAGTCTGAATGTGTGGAGTGCCTGCCGCAGCGCGCAGTTAGGATATAATTTTTATTTATTTTTGGATTAATCAATATTATGGATTTAAAAAATTAGACGCTGGGAAGACTTTATTGATTTATATAGAGAAAACAGATGCCTAGGGGATGTGAAATCAAAAGATTATGCAAATAAAATGAAAAGAAATTCCAGTTATGAAAATATAAATAAATTTTGTTTATTTTTTTTTTTGAATATTTCTTGCTCTCCAGCAGCCACTTTGCAGTACGATATCCATCGAAACTGCCGCATTAACAATAAATCGTAGCGTGTGTAGGGAAATTGGATGGTTTGCAGTCGTCAAATCGTTTGCAGTACGGAGCTTCCGTAAAATATCGTATCAACGGGTCGTGTCTGCAGGGGGGGGTTTGAACGCAAGTCTGAATGTGTGGAGTGCCTGCCGCAGCGCGCAGTTAGGATATAATTTTTATTTATTTTTGGATTAATCAATATTATGGATTTAAAAAATTAGACGCTGGGAAGACTTTATTGATTTATATAGAGAAAACAGATGCCTAGGGGATGTGAAATCAAAAGATTATGCAAATAAAATGAAAAGAAATTCCAGTTATGAAAATATAAATAAATTTTGTTTATTTTTTTTTTTGAATATTTCTTGCTCTCCAGCAGCCACTTTTTACACCATTTCCGCTCTTTGATTTTTTTTATTCAGCAATACTGCAGCTACAAGCACGGCAGCTTTCTTCTTTGAAATTCTTGACATAACGGTAGCCCTTCTCGACGAAAATTGAATAATCTGAACTGCGGCAGTACAACGTGTTGCATCGTGTGTACAAAAAATGGCTGTACTGCAATCCGTACGATCTGTAGAAAAGGTAGAAAAGTGTGTAGGCCGTTATAGATTAGATTGTAGATTGTAGGGAGAGGGAAAATTGATCACCGCGACCTTATAGATCTGTTGTGTCTCTTTTGTGAGTTATAATCTTAATCTAAGGTTATAACTCATCATGCAGGCTTTGAAAAATACTAGGTTATGGATGAGTTCTGCTCTAAGTTGGTTTCCAATTGGGAAGCAGTACGGTTCTGGCCCAGTTATTGGAGTATTCGTTCCATTTCTAGCTAGATCGTTTGCTTTTTCATTACCTTCTATCCCTCGGTGGAGTAACACCCATACTAGGAGAACTTTATATTCTTTCTCTAATTTGTCCCGCTTCTCTAGGCATTCTTTAACCAACTTTGAATTGATGGTTACTGCCTTGATCGCTCTTAAGGCTGCTTGACTATCGGACAAGATGTTGTTTCCGATAGTTTCTATCTAAGATAAGTTTTCGTCTCTCTGGATAGCCTTGATTTCTGCCTATTCATGAGTGATAGTGTTCATTTAATACAAGAATGCAAAAAATTGAAAAAATATATATTTTTTAAAAATATTATGATAATTAATAGAAATACTATAATACTCGGTAATAATACTTAACTTAAATATAAACTGTCACATATTTTTTAAATAAACCTTATAGCATTTAGTAAGTTTATCACTTTGTTGATAACACAAAGTTAAAATATGCGTGGGTAGTCAGTTACATTACTTTATAAAATAAACTCTAGGAGAAAACAATAACATACCTTTTTTTAAACAGGCTTGAACGACAAATGTCATTAACCTATTTTATTCTGTTTATCAATATTATTATTATAATGGATACCATCATTTTCATTCAATCTTATAAATTCTAATTTTTTGGGGTAGTAAACAAAATAAATATTTTTAATTAAATACTAGATGGTATATTGTATAAATTTGTAAGTAACTCTGTAAGTAAGTCACCACGAAATTAGTGGAACGAATTAGTGGAACGAATTAGTGGATTCAATTAGCGCTGAAGTTAGCTCTAATATCAATGTAAGCGTTTAAAATGTCAAAATTAGTGGTAGTATTTTTCAGTTGGTATAGAAAAAGTTAACACATTTTTAACTTTTTCCACTAATTATTTATGCTTCAAAATTTGCGAGTAGTGTCATTTTGGCCTTTGATTATCATCGGATAAGAGATATTGTTTTTTAGAAATCAAAAGTTTATTTTTTATAAGCTAATTATTAGGCTTTCTCTATGGACACAACTGACTACCGCAAACTGTTAGGACAATCTATTAATAGTAATTGTATTTTTTAGACATTATAAATAATCGTAAATTTTTAAGTGTAATTGAATCCGCTAATTTACTCCACTAATTTCGAGGTTCTGAATGAAGCTTTAATCATTTTTAATAAATATACGCTTTTGCCTTTGTGAGCAGTACTAAGATTTGTACTGCATACGTTACAAATGATATTACAATTGGATTACCCTTCTTTAATAGAAGAAAACATTTGGAGGATTTTATTACTGACCTTACGCGTTAGTGTGAATAGTAAACAAAATAAAAATAAAGCAAAATAAGTCAGTAATTCATCACAATACACCAAAACATATTACTTTTAACACTGACTAGTGTTAAAAGTAAAATGTTTTAGTATAATGTGGTGAATTAGTGTATTATTTTGCTCTTTTAACACCAAAGGTTCCAACCCCAACTCTATATAACCATTTTTTATTACTCTTGTCGAATTATTATGATTAATAAAAACCTTAAATCATTTTTTATTCAACTGTAAAAGTCGCCATGTAGTACTAATATATTAATTAATGATTTTTAATTACATTTGGTACCACAATTATGAATAATTGAACTTTTTTGTTTGTCCGTAATTGTTTAGCTTCAGTTATTAACTTTCAACCCTTAAAACGATAAAAACAAAGATATATATTCTTTGACTTACTGTTAAACAATCTGCTGCCCTCGTGCACTGTTCTCTGTCCAGAACAGCATGCCACGAAAACCATCCCTACCAAAAGGGTCAGTCTCATGCTGCAATCAATCCTTCTATCTACCCTTTTGACCGCTCCATATGTTTTCCCACAGACGCCATTGCTGATCAATATCCGAGGGAAACTCGACATGCCATTGGCCGACTCGAGCCTGTGACGTCAGTGACGGGGGAAATAGAGATTTCCCGGTGAACAACGCGAGGCCTTTTCATTGACTGTCCGCTTTTCTTCTGTTTTCTGTACGGGGAAACGCGTGGGTGAATGAACATGCGCTTGAATCGATTTGTACAGGGGGCGATCAAAAAATTTACCACCTGTTTTTTAATTTTAATATCTATATATTTTTTATTAATCAGTCTTCTACACCACTGGCGTGTACGTCGGATAATTAATTAATTACTGGTTTATTACACATTTTATTTGATTTTTGAGTGAAACCCTTTATTTTTTTGAGTAGATTATATGGGAGGAGGGTGCCGCGACCTTACAGATCTATTATTGTGTCCCCATTTTACTTAGTTATCAAATACAGAGTTCTCCATCTCGGATATCAGTTGTACCAAAGTTTATGGCCCGAATGGTTGTCGTCTCGGCGGACTCATTTTCCCGACAGATCCTGCATTCGCCATTGTTTCTAGCTTCAATCTACTGAGGTGTTCATTGACGAGACAGTGTTCTGTTAAAAACCTGCTAGCTATTTCCTGTTTCCGATAGTTCCTATCTTAGATAAGTCGTAACCTCTTTATGGTATGGTCTGTTGACGACTGAACAGGTAAGACTGACAGGTAAAACGTTATGTGTTGAAGGGACTTTAGATGATTAATGATATTTTTAAGTTAGTTAATATGGAGAAAAACGTTGTGTATATATGTGCATACGGGGCTTAAAAGATTACGTTAACCAGTCAGTGTCTGTTTAGTATTATTTTTAGATTTGGCTGAGTGAAAATTAATCTTCCGAACCAATTTGAATGGTTTAATGGTATGGAAAAAGCTTTTAGCTAGGAAATTACGTCGAGAGATCTGATGCTACGCTATTCTCTGCTTCTACTTTAATTATCTCTATTTTTCTATAAATAAAATAGTTAATTACGAAGAAAATCAACGTGGATATAAATAAAAAGGTCTGGATCAATAAAATTCGAGTCCCAAAGCATCCATACATATTTATTTTAAATTCTATTTTTATGATTTCTAATTTGAAAATTAAAAATAAAAACTTAGAAAACGTTAAAATAAATTTTTCGTCAAAAAAACACACTTTTTCTTCTAATAATTATTTTTTTATTAACATAAATATAATACCATATGTCTTTTAAAATAAACCATTTGTATAAAAAAAGAAATATCTTTAATTCTCTAAATCGTCAGTCGACTCCCCCGCTTCCAGCAACACCCTGTGTTCCCCCCTCCTCTTGTTCTTCTTTTTTCTTCGATTAACAACGCCATCTTCTTCGTCCATCATGCGAACTATCAGCGTCTGATCAGACGTGTCCAATGGAGCCACAGAAATATCTCTGACAGCTCTGAATTTCCCGCAGTTGTTAAGATGCTCGTTTTCCAGTCTAAAGAAGTTCCATACAAAACGCCTAATAGAAATAAAAAAATATTATTATTATTTTTAAAAAATAAAATAGTTATTTATGCACTAAGGGTAAATATTGAATCGTTTTTTATATTTTAACAATTTCTTAATAAAATTAGAACGCCACTGGTAAATCGGAATTTAAGTCCGCCATATTGAGGTGCCATCATCATGATAATTCAGTTGATGTTGATATACTCTATCTTTAGTCATTTTTTTCAATGATGTTAAGAGTATCTAGTTATACGTACCATAGATTGAAAAAAAAAACGGCGTCAAAGACGGCTGAGAATGACAATCGATGATAATTACGGCGAGATCAAGCCCTAGGCGTCGTTTACTTGTTCCATACTCTTCTTTATTTCTTAATGGCGCTTACTAGCAATTGGCCTTAAGAAGGTTGTAATTTATTTTTATACTGTGTAAAAATGATTTTTAAATGGCATAGTTTAAAATTCGACAAACTAACACTTTTTTGGAAAAATGTTCTGTTCTTTTTTAATCTTTCTATATTAGTGTTAATTTTTGACAAGCTTTATATATCCATTTTTCGTAAATGATGTCTAGAGATTGATTGTTTTTTTTTTTCAATCATACTAATAGGTAATTTATGGGACTTACCGGAATACCTCTAGTGGAGCTAAAACACAGACCATGGAATTCTCCATGGCAAATCCCATTTCTGTCATTCCGATCAAGAATGCCCATCCAAATCGAAGAATCAAGTCTTCCACGATGGCAAAATAATAGAACCACTAGAAAAATAATTGTACTAATTATTTAAATTAGATAAACCCGTCACAGAGATATAGATATTATTTTTTACTATATGGTTTTGATAAAAATATAAACACTTGGGGACAGAGACAGCAATTGTCGTCTATAATGTACAGGGTGGTCGAAATTGGTCTGTTTTAACAGAGAAAACCTATTTCCTGACTAGATAGAGCAAAACCGACATAGATGTCATGGGCTCGATTTCTGAGATACGTTTAATGGCGTAAACCGCCTGTTGATATTTTCACTGCCAACTGAGATACGGGGTCTTTTTGAATTTTTTACCATTTGGAAAATTGCCCATAACTTTTGTATTTCGCGGAATAATAAAATTCTGTAAAAACGTTCTTGAGGCACTTTTTTAAACACAATCCAGTGGCGTAGTCAGTTTTTTTCTATACATGCTCTTTTTATCAGAAATAATAAAAGTTAAATTTTTTAAATGGAAATCATAGTTGGTTACGAACTTAAAAAAATGCTGGCGTTTAACCCTCTTCAACGATATAAAGTTATGTGTATTTATTTCTAAGAATGAAAGAAATATTCAAATAATTTAAGGGTCAGTCTCATGCTGCAATCAATCCTTCTATCTACCCTTTTGACCGCTCCATATGTTTTCCCACAGACGCCATTGCTGATCAATATCCGAGGGAAACTCGACATGCCATTGGCCGACTCGAGCCTGTGACGTCAGTGACGGGGGAAATAGAGATTTCCCGGTGAACAACGCGAGGCCTTTTCATTGACTGCCCGCTTTTCTTCTGTTTTCTGTACGGGGAAACGCGTGGGCGAAAAGTTTTTTTTATCTTTGTATAGAAGCGGGCCTTGATTTTGTGTTGACCTAGTTGCCTAATTATTTTTTATCAAAATTTAATATTCTATATTATTATTTGTCTGCATAATTAAAAACTTTTGAAAACATTCTATGTTAGTAAATTACCAATTACAATTAAAACGCCAGCGTTACAACTGTACTATTAAATGGAAAATTTAGAAAGAATTGGGTTGAAACAAGGGGCCCATGTCTTGACCTGCTAGGTCCTGTGATTTAACTCCTTTCGACTTTTTTATGGGGGAAATTAAAAGACCTTATATATAAGGGAAGAACCATTGGGACGAGAGAGGAATTGCAAAAGGCTACTAGGCAAGCTTTTGGACTTATTAAACCAGTTCGCCTAATAAATCGTTGTAACTCTGTGCGCAAAAGATGTTTATTGTGTATTGTGTATGTATAACAATGAGGTGCTCAATTTCAACATCTTTGATTTTTTTAAAAAACTATATTCGTCAAAAAACACGTTTTTTTAGTTTTGTTCTTTGTTTATTGTATCGATTTAAGTTATAATTACTAATACTAATAATTACTATTACTAATAATAATAGAATGTTAATTTACCTTTTCAAAAGTCTTTAATTATGCAGATAAATAATAATATAGAATATTAAATTGTGATAAAAAATAATTAGGCAAATAGATCAACTCAAAATCATAGCCCGCTTCGATATAAAGATAAAAACCCTAATATTTCTCTCATTCTTAGAAATAGATACCAATAAATTTATATCGTTGGAAAGGGTTAAACGCCAGCATTTTTTTAAGTTCATAGCCAACTACGATTTCCATTTAAAAAATTAAATTTTTTATTATTTCTGACAAAAAAAGCAAGTATAGAAAAAAACTGACTACGCCACTGGATTGTGCTTAGAAAAATGCCTTAAGAATGTTTTTACAGAATTTTATTATTCCGCGAAATAAAAAAGTTATGCACAATTTTCAAAATGGTAAAAAATTCAAAAAGACCCCGTATCTCAGTTGGCAGTGAAAATATCAACAGGCGGTTTACGCCATTAAGCATAGTTCAGAAATCGAGCCCATGACATCTATCTAGTCAGGAAATAGGTTTTCTCTGTTAAAACAGACTAATTTCGACTACCCTGTACAATATAAAAATAATGTTTCTTGCTACAAATTGACATCTTTAAAAATTCCTGTAATTAAAAATTAAAATATTTAAGAAAAGAGTCAAAAGAGCAAGAATAATTTAACGTCAGAGAGTCTTAACTCTCTTGGTTATTCCCTAAAGATCAATTGACAGATCGACGAGTCACTTACCGTCGATGTATAAACTATTTCTTCCCTCAGGAACTTATTATCGCCCGCTTTGGGGTCAAACAAACCCCAATCCAGCTTGATATCCCATGTGTATGCGTAACAAGTACTGATAATGGATGCTCCTATCCACAGATACAGAAACGGTGATAATTTGTCTTCTTGAGGATATTTATCTATGGAAAAAGTTTATTCTGATATTCTCTAAATGTACAGGGTGTTTTGTAAGTAAATCAAACGTGTAAAATATTTTTTCATTTATTATGATAAAGAATAACTGATATGGATGACTTACATTCATATATTTTGTTGAGAGTGGAAAAAATGACAACAAAAAACGATGTGGCGTATTTGACAGCATTGGCAATGTGAGGAAATGCTTCTTTGGTATCTCTGTACCTTCTCAAGCATTGGGCAAATCTAAACCAGGGAGGTAGACATGCCATGAAGGCTCGAATGTACATATGGTTTTCGACGCAATAGTTTGCATCTAAAATTAAAAGAAACAAAAGTTGTTTTTGTATCCACCCAGTATATTATACAGTTTCGTTCTTATTGAATTTGTACATTTTTTTGACACAGTAACAGGTAAATGAGAGTAAATATTAAAAGGTCTGATTTATCAATTATTAAAACGGCCCACACAGATAAGACATGTAGCACAACAAGTTGCACAAACCAAGCAAATATCTAATCTTCAGAAATTTTGGACATGTATAACTGTGGAAGTCTGTTTCAAAAAGATAATGTAGACATTAATATTTGTTTTTTTTAATGAAAAGACTTACTTTTTCCTTCTGACCAACTGCCATTGGTAACGTAAAAGCATACAAAATACTGTAGGTCAGTGAATAAGGTGACTAAACTGTTCAGCTGATCAGCAAGCCAGAAATCAGCAAAAGTCACAAAGAAAAATGGGGCAGCTATCACTTTTCCCTGAAAATATAAGAAGACATACCACCCTAAGAATAAAAAATAAAAAAATACCCTTTGGGATGAATTAAATACCAGAAAATGACGATATAGGCAATATCTTAATTATAGGTAATACGTGCTAAGAACAGTGCAACATTTGCAATATTTTTTTCATAAGAACTAAATAACAGAATATGTTTTGAATACTTTTTTATTTGAGTTCACAACAGTCATTAAAAGTTACGCCCTTTTTTGCCTTTAAAATTAATAAAAAAATATTACTTTATTATCTTATAGGCATATACTATTAAAGCGTTAAAACACGTAAGATAAAAAATGGCAGATATTCTACCGAAAAAACTATTCTCTCTGGCTAATGGCATGTTATTGACAATATAAAAAATATGAGTAACAGTTATGTTAAAAAATACACAAAACCTTTGATGTTAAAACAGAAAAGGTGCAATATTGTTATAAGATATAAGTATCTGTTTTTTTAAATGATTAAAAATTTGTTAAGGACATATACTGATCTACTACTTTAATATATCAAATTATAAAACATTTTTGGAACTGGACATGATTTTAATGACGTCATTTAATAGCAGAATATTTTGGTCCCTCTTCGCAACTCTCTAGTACACGAATCACCTTTCTTCTGTTTTAATATTATGAAACTATATTGTAAAACCAAAAATTGTGTGTGCCAAAAATAAAGTAATAAGCAATTATAAATGGATTATTATTCACGAAAAGAATTAAAAAATAAATCTAAAATGAAAATACCTAATAGCCATAGATATAGCAAATACTAAGCATGCAGCTCTACACACCAGCACTTTCAGCGCCCAGAATCTAGCCTCGTGCCTGAAGGTCTTGGTGGGATTGAAAACGAACATCACCATCATCACAATGAGGGCCAGAGGGTGAACGTAGGCCGGTACACCAATCTGATCACTGTACAGAAAGGACAACACCTGAAAAAAACACCTTTAATTAAAAAAAATACATTAAGAACATTAATAAGACGTAGTGAATAAGAAAAACCACGAAAAAAGAAGATCAATACTATTTTCATATTAATTTGGAAGAGAGAGATGTTTGATCAGCAGGTAAAAGACTATACCATAACGTGGTATAGTATATATACCGATGCTTCTAAAACCAAAGCTGGAACAGGAATAGGAATATTTGATATTTTGTGGTACAACTAATCTTAGATAGGAACTATCGGAAACAAGAAATAGACATCTTATCCGATAGTTAAGCAGCATTAAAAGCGACCAACGCAGTAACTTATAGTAAATTTGTTAAAGAATCTCTAGAGAAGCTGAAGAAATTAGGCAAAGAAAATAAAATCTTCCTACTCTGGGACTCTGGGTGCCAGCCAACCAGTTAGAAAGTAAACGAAAAAGCAAACGATCGAGCTAGAAAAGAAGCGAACACTCCACTAACTGGAACAGAACCGTTCTGCTTCTCAAGTGGAAACCAGCTTAAAGCGGAACTCAAGAACAAGGAAGACTCCATTCGTAATCTGCAATGGAAATCTTTCAGCGGCCTAAGATACTCGAAAAAAATTTTCAGGATTTACTACCCAGAAAAATCAATAATATCTCAATCTCAATAAACGCCTCAGTAGATTCAAGCTAAGAAACACCAGTGAATATAAATTCTGCGGGGAAATGGGGAAACACCAGAACACCTTATCACTGAGTGCGCCGAGACGACAACCATTCCAACCCCAAAAAAGGGGGAACACAATAGATCTATAAGATCGCGGTGATTAACTTCCCCCCTCCCATACAATCTACAATCTAGTCCTAACAAAATCAATTGATGAATGGATATTCAAACACAGTCAAACAATTTTTTCTTACCGAAATAGACCACATCACGCCAAATATCGCGGCCATTTCGATGATATGTTGTTCTGACAGGTGGTTCCTGGGGTCCATTTCAAAAATAAGGACATGGTTAACACCAGATGAGCGCCAACCATATATATTTATGCCCCAAAGAAATAGAAATTCTATGATAAGTAGGGGGCCCCTGTATAGTCTTGTTACTATTCGCCAGTCATCTTTGTGTGTTCTAAACACACCTAAAAACAAAAATATTGAATTTTATACCATATTTATAGTTCTAAAGTACAGTCACAGAAGAAGTGTTATTTTATTACTTCTTCTGTGATCTCATAACTTAATTGGATCTGATACACCTGTTGTCTTCAAATTTTGCATTTATCATTTTTCAATTAGTAGAAAAAGTTAACAAACTTTTAAATTTTGTCACTGACTATTCTTCAAAACTAGCAAGTAATATCATTTTGACTTTTGATTTATCGTCCGTCAAAAGAAATTGTAGTTAGGAATGAAAAGTTAATTTGGAAGTTCTGAATGAGGCTTAGTGTCTTAAAAATACATTTTTTATGTTTTATAAAATTGTATAGTATTTTAAGAGCATCAGACAAAATAAATATCAAGGCAATGTTAATAACAAACGTAAGTACAAAACTGTAAAAAATTAGTGTTCATACAGTTTTTCCACCTCCACAACTTTCCCCCTCCCATACATTCTACTGATTTACTCTCACTTTTTATGAGACGCTCTATGTTTATTGGACTCACCAGACAAAACAACGGCTACAATTAATACCATAAATGCTCCAGAAAATAGTCCAACTTTAAACGTGGTCCACGGACTTTGTTGTTCCCCTAAAGGTGGAACCCTTAGTCTCTTCATAGCTCTTTGTCTATCTCCACTCTCCAAATCCTGAGTAAAAGTAGCTTCAGTCTCCCTGATTAATCTGTCTATATCTTTGTTTGTGTAAAAATGCGAATTTTCTACGTTTTCTATCCTCCATCTTGTCCCTATATCAACTGATAATAACTAAAAACAAAAAAAAATGAACAAATAGCATGAAAGAAAAAATCTTTTTTTACTTTGTCGTGTTTTTTCAGTATTTTCCTGAACCCTGTAAAATTCAAATTTTGATAATTTTGTAGTAGAATTAGGCTGAGGTAAAATTCGCTGAAAGCTAGTTTAAGATCCTGTATTTTCCTAGCCGGGACATTCCTTTTTCTTAACAAATTGTTCTTGATCGAAGTTTTACTCTTTCCAGCAAATTCTATTTCTTGAGCCTCACTAAGATCGCTTTTGAGGTTTGCAAATTTCCTAGTTGCTTCTGCTAATTTTTCTATAATAATATATACAGGGGGCTTCTGAATAAGTGTCTGAGATTTTACCGAGTAATTTCTGTTTAAATAAGGTAAAAAGTTCATATCAACATGTTGTGTTCTAAAATACTTCGTTTTCGAGATACAGGGTGTCAAAGTTTTAAGAAAAATGTTTTTAATACCCTCGGATCGAGCCAACCCAGATAGTTTTATGAAATTTGATACACGCCTTTTCACATTTTTAACACCCTGTAGATTAGAAAGTAAGTAAGTTAGACCCTATATTTGTACAATATGAACTTTTATTCTTAAAAACATGTGAGGAATCATACACTGATATTTTTAGACTATTTATAGGAAATACCCTGTATAGTGTAGATGGCATTTCAAATTAAGTAGTGTTTAAAACAGAATTTTAAACATGTTTTAATCAAAAAATACTTAAAACAATAATGTTTTAAACTATAGACCAAAAATATTTAAAAACATTTAAAATTAATTTAATTATGGCGAATGCGCTGGGATATAAAGACTATTTTTATCAAAGCTAAATAAAATTATATACAGAACAGAACTGTATAAATATAAGCATAAAAAACTAGTATTCTGCTTTGCTAAGTACCCGAATATTCTCAAAATAAATACCTGAATAAAAAGTATTAATTTTAGTCAATTCTTTATCACAGTAACTGAAAAATTGTTCGTCGAACTTAGCAAAATATCTGGTTAATATGTGGGGTTCCACTACTTCAGCCGAAGGCGCCTGTTCCACCGCAGCGTAGAGCATTGACTTCATTTCCTAAAATTAACGCTCTTTATTTGTAATTAAAATTTTACTTGTACCTTTTATTTTTACCTCATAATTTATATATTGTTTCCTCCATTCCGGCGTTATATGAGCTAAAAGGTGCTCCGCAAACTTCATTTCTACCAATTTCGAGGTATTTTTACTCAAAATTACAAGAAAAACATTATTTTGGTTTACATGGACGTCGCGACGTCTGACGTCTCACTGAAAGACGTCTAGTTTCAGAAATATAGAATAGCAAAATTTAACGATGTCAATTAAATCAATCGCAACTGTCACATGCGATAATAATGATTTATAGACACGGATTATTTAAAAATTTCCGTTAAGCGATTAAATATTTATTTATTGCCCGTCAATATTTTAAATTATTTCCTAATATAAGGACCAATAAGGACCTCCCTCTGGACCTCCTTCATTTTTTTCACATCGTCAACTCGTCAACATGTCATCAGCCATAGAAGTAACTCATAGGATTAACCAATCATTCTTAATCTAAGGGATTAACTATGGATATGGATTACCTATTTTTCCCTATTTTTTCCTTAAATTTTTCTAGATTTTTGATTTTTCCAAAATCAAAAATGATTTTGAACAAAATCCTTAAATTTGATTAGGACTTTTTTCAATACATTTTCTTCTTTTAATATTGTATAGTTTATTGGTTTAATGGCCACAGCTGTCAGGATTATCCGGTCATTTTTGGTTTTCTTTTTTTTAAGACAGTTATGCCCAAGAGTTATGCCTTAAAAAATATAAAAGAAGAAGGTGCCACAGCTAGCATTTTAAAATTCTTCTTCTTTTCATATTTCTGTTGGTCTTTTGTCTTAGGACAATTATCCAGTATAAGGCAATTTACGCCTGAAAATTTCGAAGAGGAGGAATTGTAATGTAACTTCCGATGTAACCCTAAAATTTTTAAAATTTCTTAAAAATAGTCTTTTAATTATGTTAACAAATAACTTAATAAAATCGCCACTTCGAGTATTTTTGCGTAAAGTAAGCAGAGCTTTGTACGATTTTTGTTATTAACTTATAGAATATTTGTTTTTATTGTTTATAGTACTCGAAGGTGGCCCCAAAACCCTTGATTATTACGGATAAAGACGTTCTAAAGGATATCGAACAGGAAACTTATAAACCCAGAAGACATCCTGGCGTAAATAAAGTTAAAACAGCCTCTCTACCAGAATATTATATCAAATCAATTGAAAATGTTATAGAAGGTAATATAAAGGATATATTTATTTAGTAGGTGCTTTCTAATGCTAGGCAATTTAGATTTTCCATTAAAGACCCTTGTTGAGGCGACTAACAAATTATCAGCACACTTAAGTCGAAGATTCCCCCCAATCGAAGTGGGAGACTATAAAGAAAGAGTTAAAGGTATTAAAGAAAAGGTATTAAACAAACACAAGGACTTCAAAGTAGAATGCGAAGAAGATGAAAGGAAATTAAAACAAATGGTCGAAGACAAAACAAACTCTCTTATAAAGTATTATTTATGTTTTTATTTTTATTGGTTCAGGAGTTATAGTTTAAATCTATTTATATTTTGTAGAAAGACAGTTTATAATTGGAAGCCTATTAAATACGACGTATACACTTCTCTTGTGTATTTGCTGACAAGATCAGCCGCAGAATATGCTGTTCTGTTAAAAATTTTTGGGGAAATAAATCAGAGGGATCCTGAATTTGTACCTAGAAGTTTTTTCGATTTTGGGTCAGGTGTTGGTACTGGAACTTGGTAAATAATGAAAAAATATATATTTTAGTCTTTTTTTAACACCTTTTTATATACAGGGCAGTAAATAATTATTGGAAAAACATATTTGAATATTTCAATGTCGATGTCTCATCTGATATGAACGATTTGGCACAAATATTACTTCAAGGAGGTAGAAGTACTGGCAACTCATCACTAAAAGGCACTTTTTACAGGCAGTTTTTGCCAGGAAGGGGTGTAAGTTAATTTTATTTGTATATCAAATTAAGGTTTCTGCATATTTTATTTATAGAATAGTTATGATATTGTTCTTTCGGCGTATTCTTTGCTAGAACTTCCTTCCTTGGAATCCAGGATGCAAACTGTATTGAATTTGTGGAACAGAACACAAAAATACTTGATTATTGTGGAGCAGGGTTCGAATGCCAGTTTTCGGGTAAGTTAAAAACTATTTTATCTAATATATAAAATTCTCGTGTCACAGTTTTATTTACCATACTCCTCCAAAACGGCTGGGCCGATTTTGATGAAATTTTATATGTATATTCTGTAGGTCTGAGAATAGGATGTTATCTATTTTTTTATATCCCTAAGTGATAAGGGTGGTCCCACCCCAATTTTTATTATTTCTTGGGCAAAATTATTTTTTTTATGATGTGGCACTAAAAAATACATACAACCTTAAATTTTAACCCTTCTACCATGAACCCCTTTTTTTTAATAGCGATGGCAAAACATTTCCCGGGTCAGCTAGTTTTAATATAAAATAATTGAAGAATTGAAATGTGTTTCAGGTTGTCAATGAAGTCAGAGACTTTCTCCTACAAGTCAACAGCAATGTACAAAGCTGTCACGTTTTTAGCCCGGTATGTATACCATACTATAGCCTTTAATCTATACAGGGTGGTTCCAATGACATGCTAATATTTAAGGGGACCATTCCAATGACATGCTAATATTTAAGGGGGTGATTCTTGAATCTATTCTTAGAAAAAAACTACATATATATGTCTGTCATTAGGGAACCACTCTGTATACAGGGTGCCTCATATGAAACTTTTTATGGAACTTTGGGTCACACTGTAAAGTACCTTATGATTGAAAAAAACGGCGTCAAAGACGACTTGGGTATGACAATCTATGATAATTTTGGCGAGGTTAGGTTAGGTTGTAGTGTTTTTTACGTGTCTCTACGTGTTATTTAATAAAAATTTGTTATAAAACTTATCAAAAATTAACACTAACTATAGAAAGATAAAAAAAAAGGATATAACATTTCCCGACACAAATATGTATCCAAAAAAAAAATTCTTCAGTTTGAAACTACCTATACCATTTAAAAATAATTTTTACTCAATATAAAAATAAATTGCAATCTTGTGAAGGCTAAGGCCAACTGGCTGTAAGAGTACAGGCCAAGTAACAACACTAGGATACCTAATCTGTGGTAACGACGTCTAGGGTTTGACCTCGCCAAAATTATCGATTGCCATTCCCCAGTTTTTTTCGATCGTAGGACAATAGGAACGTTTATAGTGCCCACATGACATGGAATGCCCCAGATTACTAGCAAATGATGGGACACCCTGTAATTTTGAAGCGTCATATTATTCACTCCCTATTGGTAAAAAACTGGAAGTTTTTAAAGAAAAATATTCGTATGTCGTTCTTAAAAGAGGACCTAGATTGGAAAATGATAATAAATGGCCTAGAATAGTAAGACCTACATTAGTTAGGAACAAGCATAGTATTTGCAGGGTGTGTACAGCAAATGGGAAATTAGATGAACTGATTTTTACAGCCAAAAGACATGGAAAGTAAGTGAAAAATATTCATATTTTGATTTATACCATACGATAAAAAAAACGGCGTCAAAGAGAGCTGGGGAATGACAACGATAATTTTGGCAAGGCCAAGCCCTAGACGTCGTTTACTTCACCCGTATTCTTTATTCTTTAATGGCGCTTACTGCCAGTTGGCCTTAAGAATGTTCTAATTTATTTTTATATTGAGCGTAGTATTTTTTGGAAATACATTTGTGTCTGAAATTTTTAGTAAATGACGTTTTAATGTCAATTCATAGTAAATGATGTTTAGAGATTGACTGCGCCAAAATTATCATCGATTGTCATTTCCCAGCTGTCTTTGACGCCGTTTTTTTCGATCAAGTTATCGGTGATGAGAGCCGAATTTGAAACACACAACTCTATTAGTTGTATTGCCAACTTTTTTTTCTTTTTACAGAATGACTTATCATTGTGCCAGGTCCTCAAAATGGGGCGATTCATTACCTTTAACCCTAGAGTATCAAAATAATAAGCCAGATGAAAACGAATAAAACTAAAATAAGATATATTTCAAGACTGAAAATATTTTTTTATTCTTTTTTTGTAAATGTGTACATATGAAATAAAACAATTATTAAATATTAGTGAGTTTTTTTATTATAATATAATAATTGTAAATTTAAAATTGTGATAAATCTATCAAATTATTTACCTATTAGGTCAAGAATAATTTAATACATGTATGTATTATAATTATTAGTTTCCTTTATAAAACGATTTCGAATATAAAAAAATGACTCGTAAATATGGTCAAATATACTAGATGGCACAAAGATTACAAAAATGCAATATATACTGGGTGGTCAAGACTGTAATCGGGAAACTTCGGCAACATATTTTGCAGAGGAAAAAGATTGTATACATTTATGTCCTAAAATGGGGGGCTTCGTTTTGGAGGTTTCCCGATTACCCATTTCGGACCACCCCATATATTATAATTAGTCGTCTAAAACAGTTTCGAATAGGTATTAAAATCTTGTTTTATACAGGGTAAATTAAATAAGTACAAATATTTTTAGGGCTGGTAGATATCGATACTCGATAAAAGAAACATTTTCTCTTTACCGTTTTTCAAATAAGTCCAAAATAACCGAGTTATTTTACTTTGAAAATTTCGAAAAAAAATGTTTTTGCTTAAATTTTCAAAACCACTGGATCTCTTCTGGGATTTTTCTTGTAAATTTAATCTACTACCTATGTTACCATATTATCAAGAAATTATGTTTTTTAACTAAAAACAAAAAAATCCAGAATATTTCAAATTTTAAAAATTTACTTTTGCGCGAAAAAAAAATCATAATTGTGTTTCTGGGGTCGAAATATACCATCCCAAAAAAATATTTGCACTTATTTAAGACTCGCCCTGTATAACTATGGTCAACTATACCGTATGATCGAAAAAAAAACGGCGTCAGCGATGGCTATGAAATGAGAATCGCTGTCTTTTATATGGGAATTATCATTGATTGTCGTTTCCCAGCGAACTGGGCGCCGTTTTTTTTCCATCATACGGTACTTATGGGACAAAAATTACAAAATAGAATCAATATAATATATAAAATTAATTAAAATACCTAATAAGTATATACAAAAAACGGTTTTTTTAACAAAGTTTTGATACCAAATTCTTTTTTCCTCTAATTACTAACAATATTTTCCTTATCGAGCTTTTTTTTCGAATGAAACTTCGGCGATATAGGCTCAGTTACTTTATTCGATGGCTCAATAATCACCTTTTTGTACTTCCGTACTGGCTGGGCCTTGAACTCCGCCTCTTTACGAGCCCTAGCTCTTTCTTCCTGCTCCAGTTTTAATCTTTGTTCTTGGTCGAGCTGTTTAAAATAGGCTAATCTATCCTCTCTTTCTGCTTTCCTGATTTCGAATTCCTCTCTTTGTGGAGCTCTCATGTCCGAAATAAACTGGAACGGTACGACTTCAGTTACCTTTGATGTTTTAGCCGGTATGAACGGTTCTTTGTACAGTACCGTCGGAGTTCGGGCTTTGAAACGAGTTGAAAGACTCTCTGTACTTCCCTGTAAAATATATTTTTTTTAGTTCAGTTCTTAACCACGTACAGGGTCCCCAAATGAGAGGTGGCGCCTCTCATACGAAAATTGGACATGGAGGCTCCTAGGAGAATGACATTTTGTACTGAAATGAAATTTTGTGAATACGTAGCTTAACTTAGAGCATTATTTAAAATATATAGGGTTCTACAGAGTGTCCCCTAAAAGAGTTACACATTAAAGTTGTTTTTTTTTGTAATGGAACACCCTATATATTAATTGATTATCTAATTCTTGGAATAAAATAAAGGTAAGTTTTAACTAGATATAATCAAATACTACAGGGTGTTCCCGAAAAGAGTTACACATTAAAGTTGGATTCTATGTAATTTGTAATGGTACACCCTATATATTAATTGATTGTCTGATTCTAGGAATAAAACATAGGTAAGTTTTACCTAGATCTTTTCAAATAATAACGATCTACTGATATTAAATCGTAAAAATTAAAATTTCTATGAAAATCTTGTCTGAGCGGTAGGCAACCTTAATATTATTTTGAGGAGACATGATTTTACTCTGATTTACTTTGGGTCAAGTTTTACTCTGATTTAAAATACAATGGTTATTTTAATTATATATTAGGCTTTAAGAGCAAGTTCTAATTTAGGCAGCTTTATTGAAATTTAAAGTTTATTCCTCATTTTTAGAAAATGTTCAATTTAGTAAGTAATATCTGTGGTAATATATTTCTCTAATGAAACTCATCTTAATTTTTTTCCTACAATTCGAAAATTAATTACTATATAGGGTTTTTTCTTATAAAAAACATAACTTTGATGAGTAACTTTTGTTGAGGACAACCCTGTAGAACTCTATATAAATTTAAAAAATGCTTTAAATTAACCTATATATGCTCACAAAATTGTTGTTTTCCTTGTAGCTTCTGCGTCGTATGAGAGGTGCCACCCTGTATTTTCTTATATTTCTTACGTTTTTTTTGCCAGATCCCCCACTAACAAGCGAACCCTTGCTTGATCTGTGATCTGACTTTATGCATTTAGGCACTGGATTTGCATGGAATTCTCTGGCTTTTTTTTCTTCTTGTAGTACCTGAATTAGAAAATATTTCCAGATTTTCTGTAAAAATTAAAAAAAATATATATATACCTTATTTATCAATTCCTGTCTTCTCTTTTGAACCATCTGAACCCTAGAGTCAAAAGTAAAAGGCTCTGGAACTGTAGGTTTCTTATGAACTGCAGCAGTAGCTTTCATAGGTCCTTGAATTACTTTTTTGTTCAATTTTCGGGCTTTAAAATTAGCTCTGAAAGTTTCAAAACAAGTTGTATTGCAGAAAAAATAGCTTTGATATATACTCAAACTTACTTTTGTTCAATCTCTAATTTTTCTTGCTCTTCCTGCGATAAGACATGTGGCGGTCGGTATCTTTTTTTCGTTGCAAGTGCCGGACTTTGCGGAATGGTCCTAAAATACCATAAGACCTGTTTATAAATAAGCTTAATTCTGTTGTTAACTTACAGTTTAAGTGGCTGAGGATTGTGGACTTGCTGTGCCAAGTTTTGTCTACTACGAAACCGAACAGGTGTTTTATTTTGAAACAAATGCATTGACTCAGCAAAACTAATAAATTTGTTTTCTTTAACGTTCTCTACTGAACCATATCGCTTCATATTGGAAGAAATGTCCTGAAATACATAACTAATAAAAACAGTCAAAGCACTAGTTACAAATAAATACCAATTTAGGTTTTTCATGATTGTTACATATTTTTTCACAACTTCTTGATTGAGGTGGAACTTCAGCTATAGTAAGCTTATTAATTTGTGTACTAAATTCAAAATAACTCATTAAAGTACTTTATGTGAGTTAAAACAGATTATATTGTACCTTATTTGAGTAGTAAGATGATCCTGTTCACTAAAAAGGATTAGATTACCTACGCTCATAGACTTTCGTAGTTTCGGCATGGGCATCTTGTCCCCATCACCTTCTCTGAATTGGCGAGCTGCATCTAAACAATATTTCCCACAGTTATCATAAATAAAATACATTTGAAAATAAAAAAAAAATGGTAGGAAACGATCATACCAAAATAAGACTCTACATCCTCCTCATAGTTATCAAGATACTCGAAATCGAGGAATTGGGGTGCGTTATAGGCATCGAAAGCTTCTTCCATGGTTTTAAAGTTTAATTTTAAATCACAGTCTTGAAAAATATTAACAAATCTGACGACGGTTGAAATTTGGATGTTGAGTGATTTTCAAACTGCGAATGACAGTTATGACGACGTTGACAATTTGATCTTAAAATTAATTTATATCCAATTTATATCCCTTTCGGTATTTGAATGATAATGAAGAGTTAAATATTATACAGACCTTAGCTTATGCAGTTGAAAATAAATAATCTTAAGAAATAGAGTTGATTTTGGTTCAAAATGCACCGATTTTAATTTTAATATCTACTTGATTCTTCGACTTGGCAACGTCAAAGTCCTTTGTTAATGTCGAGTTTTATCTGCTGTGGTGTGAGCCAGACAGATTGACGCGGTAATTTTAAAAAATAAATTAGGTTCTTTCCTTAAAATAAACGATTTCCGAAGCATATTAAGAGCCTAAAAAATGCCTACATTAAAAGAACAGCTTCTTTTGTCGAGGACCATTTAAGAAAAGAACGAAAGGCGCGAGAATTAATGAGATTTTGCTTAATTTCACGTCGATTTCCATACAAAACCCATTATTCCTTATTGGCAAGGCCTTTTCAACGAGATGAACAGTCCCAGGACCCATTTTCCAGACCGCAAAAGACTACCGAGGAATTTTAATTAAAAATTATTAAAGTCCGCCCCTTTCCTAAATGACTGTAGTAGAATTTTTTGCTTTTAACGGTGGTCGGTGGTTCGTTCCAGTTGGGGTGTGATTTAAAAGTTTCTAATGTACAAGGTGTGTCAATGATAGAATAAAGTTCATTATTTTATTTGTGAAAATTTTGAATAGATATGTTTTAGGGAATGTTATAATGCATATTTTAAAATTATTTTTGCGAATGCCGAGAGTTTCAAAAAGTGTGGTCGATGTAATCATATATTTTCTTAATTGTAGCGTTATTTATGTTTTTTTAATAATTTATTTTCTTTCTCAAAAACAGTAGTATAGTCTCGCTCAGAGATATACAGAGTGTTTCAAAAAACATTCCTCACAAATAAGATTTATTTTTCATATTAATATATATAGGGCCGATTCTGCTTTGTTTCGTAGCTACAAGGTATTAAATTCTTTATTTTTTTTCGATTTATTATAATTTTCTTCCAAGTGCTTTTAGCGATTCGAATGATATTTTGAGGGTGATTTAACTATAAAGGATATTAACTATAAGTGCTACATTTTTTAGTGTTAAAAACGTGTTGACGATTCACCAGGGCCATGTGCGCCACTGATTTTTTTTCTTGTTTGCAAAATTGTTTAGACCGTTTAATCTCTCTGGTTTAATGCCGATTAAAAATTGTATATTGTATCTTGATATTTTGTTGTTTGTGTAACTCCTTCATGAGATAAACGAAATTTTATTGATTACAATTAATAAAATAAAAATTAAATTAATAAATTATTTATTTATAATCTAATTTATTTTTAAGTTCTATTAAAATTTATATCATTGCTGTTCAGTGCTACATACGGCAAATTCAAGAAAAAAATAATGATATTTAAAATAAAATACTTTTTTATTGAGGCAAATTAATATAATAATAATTGTGTTTATCTATTCAAAGAGACCGAAATCGGCAAAATATCAAGAGGCAACTTTTAATCGGCATTAAAGGTCAATACAATTGTGTTAACAAGATAATCAAATTAGTGGCGCACATGTTTTTTTTTAGAAAAACATTCCAGTGAAAACCCATATGCACGTCCCTAGTGAATCTGTCGATACTTTTTTAGCGTTAGAATATGATGACGCACCTATAGTAACTTTTACCCATAAAATTTCATTCAAACGAAGAAAGAGAATTATAATAAATCGGAAAAAAGATTTTAACCCCCTGTACGAAACAAAGCAGAATCGGACCTATATATGTTGATATAAAAAATTAATTTAAAATTTATTTTTACGTGAGGAGTCTCCCCACAAGAGATTGCACATATTTTTTGAAACACCCCGTATAATATATGGATTTGGCAACTTGCAGCTCTCTCGTTAGCTGGCTTTATCCCTTGCCAAAACTTTCGCGTTTATGTTAAACGCATAATTATGGTAGAGTCAATGAAGATTTACAGAGCGCTCATCTCTCTATATAAATACTAGCACTGTTTATAATTAATTATCATTTACTTAACCGAATTTACAGAGCAGAGCATAATTTACAAATATATGAAGCACGTATGCGTTTGAACGTTAGTTATAATTGATAGAGAGTTATGTATACCTTTCCATGTTTATCTTTATTTGCTAGTTTGTGCATAAGTACCTAGGTCTTTTGTAAATTTATTTAATAAATAACCTATTTTCTAATAAATATGTCATATTTCCCGGAAAAATAATATAAATAAAAAACCTTACTGTTCATAACGAAGTTTATTTTAATAAATAATAGGACTGGAGAATCTAACCTATATAAGGATCAGAAGAGGATCTCAATAGATCTAAAAAGATGATATATATATTTTTTCTTCTTGTCACCGCAAAATATTGCTACTTGACAAAGAATCCTGCGAACGCCACTTCTTATATGACATAAGGACGCAATTCTACCACATTATAATCGTTAATGTTGGTTACAAGTATAGTAGCCAGCGCAAGAGGGTCTATTTGATATATGGTCTAAGATCCGAATTAACGATATGCACGTAATAGTTAGTTATTTAGACCTGTATTGTTTCTGGACACCAAAAACAACTATATAGCCATAAATTAATACAGGGCTATTCTGATAGAACCTCCGAGCAATTCGTAAGTAAGGATACCGATATCCAGATATCCAGACAGAACGTATAAGAGTTGAAATATGAGCCATGGGAGACATTGCAGTAGTACGGGAAAGGTGATAAACGGGTTGGACGTGTGTAAAGCTAGGTCGCTCTCGCGAATAGAAATTATCGGTTTCGATAAGAGTGTAGTTGTCGGATTTTTGCGCTATTTGCCTTTTGCCATGGAGAACTACCAGCGCCGGAATTTAGTGCAGGACGTGATGGAAATGCGAGATGGAAAGTTTCGCGAGGTGTTTTAAAAGGTTTCGCCGTTATCAGGAAGGGGATTGGAAGGTTATACGTTCTATATTTATTATTTGTTCGGTCTGGAAACTTAGATACATTGTAAAGAACGATTTTCACTTTATACAGGGTTCTGCAACAGTGCGTCGGGCATCGGCAACCTAAGTTAACTCCTATAAGAAAAAACTTTTGTTTAAGTAGAAATCTAACATACCTAGGTACTAGGATGTACTCACTTCAGGAAAATATTTAACTTTTACGTGGCTCAAAAAAGTGTGAATATCTTATAGCATTTTTGGCTTAAATTTGGTTTAATAATTTTAGAGATGCAAATAAATAAAGGGAAAAATATTCTTCAGTCTTTAAAAAAAATATAATACAGAGTGTTCAAAATTCCATTCCAAACTCTGCAAAATGTAAAATAGTTTTTCCTCGTTTTTTTTTTAAATGGAACACTCTGTATATTTTTTTTTGTTAGATGGCAAATTAAAAAATGAACATTTTTTATATGTAAATATTTTAATATTTTTAACGGTTTCCATTTAAAAAAACGAAGACAAATTATTTTATATTTTCGAAAGTTTGACGTGGAATTTTGAACACCCTGTATGATTTGGTATTACGATATTTATAACATAGTAAGTTCAGACCAACTATAGTAAATACGTAGTATAATTTTGATTCCATGGGCACAAGAAATCTGATATTTTGTATTAGTTTATTTATATCTCTGATGCTACATTTACCAATTTAATAATATCTTAGGATTATGTAAAGTGATCAGAAACAAAGCCAAAAATGTAATAATAAACAGGGTGTTCCATTTAAAAAAAAAACCATCCCGATTCACTCACACTTTTTTGAGTCCACCATGTAGAAGAAGTCGAAACATTTTCCTGAAATAGGCTCTAGAGCATAATTTAGGTATGCACTTAAACAAAATTCCTAAGTTCTTTTTATAGGAGCTACAAATGCCCGACGCACTGTTGCCCGTCTTAAACTTTTTTAAACTAATCTATCACGTTGTATTATATATTATATTCCTCTAAACGCTCCTAACATTATGGTAATCCTGCAGGACAGGGGACGGCTTGCGGAAGCCCATGAATGATTTATACCGGAAATATCAGAGGGCGCTCCTCATCCGTGCGAACTGGCCACGTGACATTTGACTGCGTGACCCGCATCAAACTTTCAAACCTTTAAATATCAACCCAGATAAATTTCACCGGCCGGCTCCTATATCGTCATTGATCGAAATAAAACAATGGCAACGACATTTAATGGCAAGGATTTAAATATGGACATAAAAATATCATGTGTTAAATTAAAATGTGAGATATTTCTAAATAAAGCTATATATGGTCTTACTAAAAATATTATTATTATCATCATCATCATGAGTGAGAAACATCTGCAGCCAAGTGAAGCACAGCCGTACCGTCCTTTTCTCGAAGCAACTCACGTTACTTTTGAACCCCCTGTAACTTCGTTAACTGGATAACTCAATAATCTTAATTTTTAGTGATCAGGAGTAGGTACATAATATAACTGGCTATACGAGGGAATATACATATATTATATGGGGGATTATATTTCCCTCGTGTTGTATACGAGGGAAAATCGCTGATAGACCAATAGGAGATATCGTAATGTAATCTGGCAACTTGGGCACTTTAAGAAGCATCACCATTCAGTCAGTGAACTCGAAACATAATCAACACTACAAACACTACAATTCGAAAACTGTGATCTGCTGTGATGGACTGTTGAGAAGCACCGTTCTGGCTGCGTCAAAGCGAGACCACACTGTGCTGGGTGCCAGGCCACAGCAATGTGATGGGCAACCAGAAAGCGGTTAGACTCGCTAAAGAGGGGGCCAGGTGAGAAGCCCTGGCGGATGACCCACCACCTGTGACTACACATTGAAGAAAGCTATAGGAACTACCATCAAGGCCAAGCAGCAAGAGACGTGGCAACACCGTGAGAACTGCGCTACAGTTCCAAGACTGTAGCCAATGGTAGGTAGGAAGAAGACAAAACAATTACTAGGGCACAAAAAGAACCTAGTACGCATAATAGTATCTAGTTGTCGTCACTAGAAACTACCCAAGAGGAGTAAACCTCGTTAGGCCAGGTTAGGCTGAGAACATAGTGGAGCGACGAGGATAGCGGCGAGCAAGCAGCGCGATACCGCGTCAAGCAAGCCTCGAGGTGCTGAAACATAGTAGAGCGGCGAGGAATAGCGAGATACTTGTTATATATTAAAAAGATAATTTA